CCTTGATGAAACATCAACCTATCATTCTGGATTATTAGTGAACCATCAATTTACAAATTATGGTCTTCCAGCATTTGTAGTGATATGTTTCCTGCCTATCAATCAAAGTATTATTCCTTGGGATTTACAGATTAGTGGCAACCTTCCTACTGTTAACATCAAGGGATCATTTCCATCTTGAGTTTAACAAATCTCTCAAAAGCATACCCCCAATTTACTTCTATGAGCCAGAGATGAGTATGCTTTTATGGGTGTCAGAAAAATACCTAGGTAATCCTGTTGAAAGTGTACTTTCATGTATTAGTATTTTTTCCCAGTGTTTTCAAGCGCCTCTGCATCACATATCTGCCTAATCTTGGAGGTTTATATTTTTAAAAAACCCTCAAAAATCACATTTTCTTCATTGGAGTTAAATATTTTACTGCTGAATGAAACTTCTATATTTCCTTTTATAATGAATGTTCCTTTTATTGAGCAGTTTTTGAACTTTGTGTATGTTTAGTTTCACTTTGAAAACTAAATTCAAGCCTCCACTGATACCAGCCCAACCATGTTGAAAGATTGTGGTGCAGATACACTAGTGCATCTATCCTGACCTACATGTTACCACTGGGTACAAGTCTTCCCCAAGCTCTTCCAATATGCTTTCAAGCTTAGCCGGATTATTTTAGTCCTAAATCTCACCTCTTCTTTGTTTATGCAGCTGCCATCACTGTTCTTCCACCAATTGTAGCCCACCTTTGGACTAGTGTGCTTGTAACTGTTCCATGTCAGTCTGTTAACCACTTGCAACATGCTGGCAGACTAACCTAATCTGAGCTGGACATTTTAAATTCAAAATACAGCCCTCAGCCTATTAATCAGGCTTCCTCAAACTTGGCCCTCCAGATGTTTTGAGACTACAATTCCCATCATCCCTGACCACTGGTCCTCCTAGCTGGGGATCATGGGAGTTGTTGGCCAAAAACATCTGGAGGGCCGAGTCTGAGGAAGCCTTCTATTAATGGATGGCTCCCTCTAGGGATGGGGAACCTGGAGCCCTCAAGATGTTGCTCAGACTATGACCCCATCATCCCTGGGCGGTTGGTGGCTGATGGGAATTGGGAGACCGACAATGTCTGCAGAGCCACATGTTTCCCCAGTCCTGAGGTAAAGAAAGGAGCAGGTGAAGTAAGTACATGTAGAACTTTGCCTTTTTATTCCCACAACATGGTATCAGTCTTGCTCCTCTTGGCATCGTATTATGGGGAGAATTCTCACATGCCAGATAGAGTGCTGGCTTGGTTAGGGGTGGGGTGTTGGCTTCCCTTCTATGAATATAGTTTGGACATTGGACCTATGTGCTGGGAGGTCCTTTGGATGGTGTGAAGAAAAATGGTGGGGGAACACCTTTGACACTCAGCCCACCGTATAAGCATGGGCTCAAATGAGGTAACTGGTTCGCCTGAGAATATGGCCTGCAGAGTCCTACTTAGTCCAAGATAAATCGTCCACAAAGTTTACTGTGCATTTTACTTACAGACATAGACGGTAGAACATTTTTCAGAAGTTGTCCTGAATAAATATTTATACACAAACCAGAACAGCACAGAAGGCTCCTTTTAAAGTCCTGAATATTTCAGAAAGCATCTGTTACTAAACTGAGGCATAATGTACAGCCAATCATTACTGTTTAATGAGATAAACAAAGAAAGGAACTTCTGCTATGTAAAAAAAGAAAAAGAAAGAAATACACACCACTACATTCGACAAATCCAATTCATCTGAGGAGGCTGAATCCAAGAAATAGAGCCAACTAGCATAATAGTTTGTTAATGAAAACAAAACATACACATCCAGTCTTTACAATCAAGAAAAAGATCTGCTGATGTTCTGGTTAGATAGACAACTTCCAAATACCTGGTCTCATTTAGCTAAGTCCCTTTTGGCTTGCAGTGGGAACTTTCAGTTGAGCATTTCCAGCGTTCATAAATGGGAAAATATACTCAAGTTGGATTGGAATTACTGATTTGGTAATGGCCTTCAATCCTTTAACACAAATATATGCAAAGTTGTGGATGAACTTGTGCATTTCCAACTCACTGTTGGAGCATGACTATTGGCTGGTTTGATGCAACAATAAACAGATTATTTCCCATGGTTCTTGGCAGGACTAGATTCTGGCAGCTGTCTGCAAAAATGGGATCAGGGTGGCTATGAAATTCTTCTTGCCACTAATTTTCCGCTGGAAAATGAAGGAAAGGGAACCATAAAAGGTCGGTCTGGATAACCTGAGCATCTTTAAACCCTTTCTGATCAGAATGGAAGTTACAGAACAGCCTGTAGAGCACATGCTCTAAATGCAAAAGATCCCAGGTTGGGTCCCAGGCATCTTTGGTTAAACAGGGACCAGGGACCTTCAGATTGTGCTGGCCTCCAACTCCAAGCCAGCATTGGCCAGTAATCTGAGGCAATGCAGGGAGCGAGGTTGTCCAATGATGGGTACTTCCAGACTGTGGCAATTTTCAGGTGGAATCCAATCACATGGCAGCAAATTCAGCTTGCACAGTTATAGCTGATTGTGAGGCATTATGCAAGGATTGGACTTTTTGCAATAAGGCAAGTGATGGGGGAAATGTACTGGGGTTACACTTGCTGTGATGCAATGCCATCAGACCTTCCTGCAAACAGATGAGAGTGACTGCTCAATAAGCAGCTTGTCTGGAAGCATCCAGCCTCTGGAGGGCCACAAGTCTGCTATCTCTGAAAAAGGATCGGACTAGCAGGTGACGAGGAAGACCTCTGCCTGACCAAGCTGAGCCAGTAGCAGGGGGCCAAATAAGGTCATTTCCTATGTTTCCATCACATTCCAGGCAAGCAGAGGAAGTGTTTACCAATGCTGTAGAAGTCTGTGGAGTCAAGGAATGTCCCGGCCTGACAAGAGAATACCAGCATACGATTACCGTATTTTTTGCTCTATAAGACTCACTTTTTCCCTCCTAAAAAGTAAGGGGAAACGTGTGTGCGTCTTATGGAGCGAATGCAGGCTGCGCAGCTATCCCAGAAGCCAGAACAGCAAGAGGGATTGCTGCTTTCACTGCACAGCGATCCCTCTTGCTGTTCTGGCTTCTGAAATTCAGAATATTTTTTTTCTTGTTTTCCTCCTCCAAAAACTAGGTGCGTCTTGTGGTCTGGTGCATCTTATAGAGCGAAAAATACGGTAAGTGCTGCCTGAAGGTGTCATGGTCAATAACAATTATGCAAAGATAATACTGTATTGTATTCCAGTTGGGCTCTTTTTGTATATGTTTAATTACATTTTAAATAAATAAATAAAGCCTTATATCCCACACAATCCAGTTCCAGGGATAGCAGACATATATGGTCTGGTCCCAAAGATCTCCTGCAAGCATTGCCACAGGTTCATATGATGGGAGGGGGGGGATTTCATTACAATATACAAGCACTGACAGATGCTGTGCTGCATGTAAAGTAGGAAATTATATACAGTAATGACTGAATAAAGCATGGGTAGGCAAACTAAGGCCCGGGGGCCAGATCTGCCCCAATCGCCTTCTCAGTCCGGCCGGAACCAGTGTGTTTCTACATGAGTAGAATGTGCCCTTTTATTTCAAATGCATCTCTGGGTTATTTGTGGGGCATAGGAATTCGTTCACCCCCCCCAAAAAAAAATGTAGTCCTGCCCCCCCCCCCAAGGTCTGAGGTACAGTGGACCGGCCCCCCCGCTGAAAAAGTTTGCTGACCCCTGGTAAAGCAACGAAATAAAATTCGTACTTGTATTGCTGTTACATCCAACGTCCAGCAGAGGGGAGCAGCGAGCACTCCTGTTTAAATCATTTAGGCTGAAGCCATTGCACGCTGTGGCTCAAAGCTCCTATTGTGATGATCTCATAGCTAAGTGTCATGCGTATAATTATTGAGATTTTCTGCCTATATTCTTGTGTGTGTGGTGCTGAGTTCAGGGAGAGAACAGGCACAAGCTTACTTTGTTGCAGCGTGACTTAAACTAAGGGAAAAGCTCCACTCAGAGACGAGGACTGGGAGAGAATGATAGGAGCCCAAGCAGGTCTTAAACCACTAACTTAAAACCATGACCATACCAACAGTGTATAACGTGTGAATGTGTGTATACACGCACGCACGCGCACACTTTTGTCAACTGTGGATAACAAAGTGGGCTGCAGTCCAGGAAAGCTATCCTAACAAAGCTGAAATCCTAACCCCACTTCCCTGGGAGTAAGCCCCACTGAATTCACTGGGTAGAGAGTAGAGAGGGTATGGATTGCGCTGTAACTCTTGTCACAACAGAAATTTTCACCCTAACTTCACGGTAAACGTGAGTTATTGTCAGGTAACCGCGCGCAGGATAGCTGCTGTCATTAAATTAAATTAAATCGGGTTTCCTTGCAGATCAGGGTTACACTCTTCGTTGAATACAGGCGGTTTTTGACGCGGCCACTTCTCCTCTGAAAGCGGAAATCAAGACACAAAACAAAAGCTCCCGCCCCTCTGTTTGCAGCAAAAGTAAAAAATAAACTAGATAAATCCCCTCCCTTCTCAACTATTCGGTTGCACGCGGACACCTTGCGCTTTCAACCTTTCCAAGTGTATAATGCAGATCCTAAACACAGGGCAGTGCTGCGCCTGCCCACGCAGAAGTAAACCCCGTTGAGTGTAATGGGACTTCCTCCTTGCTAAGTGTGCATGGAATGGAACCCTCAAGAAGTCACTCGAGGGAGTGGACGTCATGCTATTATTTCTATCTCTATGTGCTCCAGCTTCTCAACGCGAGGGGAAAGAGAAGCGGCGAACGGAATCTGTAAAGGAAGCGGAAGTAGCGTGTGCGGCGGCAGCAGCAGCGGCTTCAGTCCGGGCGGGCGAAACCATACTACGGGGGGGGGGGAGAGAACGGGCGATACCAAGCGTGGTTCTCAAGAGAGAGAGGGCGGCGGGCTGGCCTCGTGAGAGAGGCGTGGAAGGGGCTGCTGCGCGGAAGCAACATGGCAGCGGCGCCGGCGATCTCCTCGGCGGGAGCCCAGCAGGAGCAGCCTGCGCCCAAGAAGATCGTGGCTCCCACCGTGTCGCAGATCAACGCGGAGTTCGTGACGCAGGTGAGCCCCCCACCTCAGACCCGAAGGGAGCAAAGGGATCCGGAAGATACTGGGCTCAGGTGGAGAGAGATCTGGGGCTCGTCCCCCTTTGAAGTGGCACATGAGGGAAACCCCCACGAGGGAGGATCCCTTTATCTATTGATTGCACTTGTCTCCCACCTTCTCTCCCCCCCCGAGGAGGTTCTTCCCTCGCCTTTCATTTAACCCCCCCCAAAAAAAACCACAATCCTGCGAGGTAGGCTAAGGTGGGAGGTCCAGGGTCGCCCAGTGAGCTTTTAAGGCCCAGGAAAGTATTTGAACCCTGGTTTCCCAGGTTTTCGGTCTGTCACTAACCACCAGGCCACCGTTAGGATTATAGAGGCACTGCGTCTCTGGGTAATCAATGGCTAAGGGTGCTGTCCTTTGGGTTTGTTGGTTTGTTTGTTTCATGAAGTTTGTTGGTTGCAAGAAGAAAACACCTCAAAAGCCGTTTACGAAAAGATAAAACCAGGAAAAGTTTACGGTGCGTTGAAATACAGTGGTACCTCAGGTTACAGACGCTTCAGGTTACAGACTCCGCTAACCCAGAAATAGTACCTCGGGTTAAGAACTTTGCTTCAGGATGAGAATAGAAATCGGCAGCAGGAGGCCCCATTAGCTAAAGTGGTGCTTCAGGTTAAGAACAGTTTCAGGTTAAGAACAGACCTCCAGAACGAATTAAGTACTTAACCTGAGGTACCACTGTATACAAGAAGTTAAAACATTAAAATAGATTAGAATTCGCACCAGCATTTCTAAACATCTGGATTGTTGTGGTGGTTTTTATATTTCGTCATACCCCACTTTCCCCCCTGTCAGGGACTCAAGGAGGCTTACAGATAAAAATAAGAACAACGAGAAACCATTAAAAGCAGTTAAACACTGGTCGAATTGAAACTATGTCCTGCTCGTGGGTTTTCCATAGGCACCTACCCGGTTGACCACAGTGAGAACAGGATGCTGGGTTATATTGGCCTTTTTGGTCTGATTCAGCAGCACTCCTTTTATGTTCTCGTAGGAACAGTGCTGCTGAATCAGACCGACATTTCATATTCTAATCCAGCACCTGTTTTCTGCAGAAGCTGGATAGATGCCTCTGGGAAAGCCAAGGTAAAATATGGAATCAGTACAGTTAGACTAGGTGCACTGCCCCGGAACATGGAGGTTTTGTTGATGATCACACTAAGGCAGGATACCTCAACCATGTTTCCTGCAAAGCATCATGTGTCCAAAAGACCTTCTGTCTTCAGTGTCAAAAGTATTGTATTTGTGGGTGTATTGACCATTAGGCACATATGACTTGTTTCTCCCAACACTGAACTTTGTATTTAATAATAAAGGAAAGCAATTGTTCTAAATACCCATGGACAACAATTAACACCATGAAGAAAGGTCATTATTATCATCTGTTGATTGCGGTTGCATATAGTTGCAGTAAGCCTTTTGACAGGCACCATCATTTTACTGACTGATAAAATGAATGGCTGGAGCACACACAGAGGATATACTCACTGTACTAACTGGGGAGGGATTAGGACTGTGCCCCCAAAGCAGACCATTGTACTAGTAAGATATTTTGCCTTATAAATCAGGGCTCAAAATAAGAATGTCTGCCGGTCCTTTTTCATTATTAAAAAATAGAGCTTTCAACAAACTGGTGTGCATGCCACTCACCTAGAGGAAACTACTTGCTTACTGCAATCTGGCCCTATAATGAGTAGCTAGCTCAGCCTTTATCCACCTGGTGCCTTTGACATTGAACTGCAATGTCCACCAGCCCCTGCTAGCACTGGCCAAAACATCTAGAGGGCAAAGGCTCAGCAGTGTTTGAATATTCAAGTTATTAAACTATTATTTATAAACGTTTGGAAACCAAAGCACAGCTTCTGATTGGTTGCAGGAAGCAGCCAAGCTGTAGCCCCGTCAGACATTTGGCTTCCATATATAGTTCACAAACCGAAACAGTCGCTTCTGGGTTTGCGCCGTTCAGGAGCCAAAATGTTTGAGAACTAAGCTGTTTGAAAGCCAATGTACGACTGTATAAAACCTTGCATCCTAACCCTTTTTGTACACAGAGGGAAAGTATGGAAATATTCTCATGTTATCCTATAGAATGGAGGTTTGGTTAGAATAGGCTAGGACTTCTGATTGTATATTTTAATGGAATGACCTTTTATCTTACAGTTGGCAAACAAGTACTGGGCACCACATGTCAAGAAAAGGCTACCTTTTGAGTCGAAGGTAAATGCTTAAAACATTGTTAGTTCTATTTTAAATTGGTAGTGCAATAAATCCTAGAAACTCGTATTTAAAGTAAAAAAAAAAATTACTTTGGATTACAGAACAGGAAGAATGTTGATTTGATTTCAGCACTTTGTTTAAAACTGTACAAATAAGGCACCCTGACAGCAGCTTTTACAGTCTATTCTATATTTGCTGCTTATATAATGGAATATTTTGTCAAACCTCCAAAGGTTCCTTGAAGTTTATTTTAAAAACCAATTTGATTTCAGTGCATAGATTATTATTCCTTCCCTGCACAGTCTTCTTAATACTTCTGATTTCATTTGTTGAAAACATGACGCATTATTTGTAGTTTTAAAACCGTGCTACTGTGTTGATGGTGTTAAAGAATTCATCTCTGAAAATGCATGTTACTGAAAAGAGGAGATAAAGGAGAGCAAGATTTGTGCTGCATATCTTTTTCTTTTTTCAAAAAACCCTCTCTCTTTCTTTGTTGTAGGTTATTGAAGATGTGTATGGAAAAGAAATTGTTAGGTCCAAGTATGTATACTGCATTTTCTCTGTTATCCATTATCAGTATCATAATAGACACATTTTTGACTTTTCAAACAGTGAAGTCTCCATAAAATAAGTGTCCGAATTCTGTGTATATATATGCTTTTCTTGCATAAATTGTCTTGCAAGGACAATTTTTTATTATTCCTTAGAAAAAATACAGGCCATAGTTCAGTGCATCTCACCACTGATTATGAGCACCTGTCTAGAATTTTTATTTAATTAAAAGATTTATAGTCTTTTTCTGTCTTTATGAGTACAGTGGTACCTCTACTTGTGTTCACTTCCAGTTACATATCCTTTGGGATACGTACGTGGCAAATCTGGAAGTATTTTTCCGGGTTTCACCGTGCGCGTATGCCCAGAAATGGTCCCTCCAGTTGCGGAAACCTTGGGATCTGGTCAGAGCTCTGGTATGGATCCCGTCTGCAACCCGAGGTACCACTGTAAATCTCATTCAAGTTGGCTTATACAATAAGAGAGAAAAATACAGTTTAAAACCATAATATAAGACTTGCAACCTTCATATATCCCAATGCCATCTGGACTGAATGAAAAAGAGAAATGCAGCTGGGAGTTGTTAGTTTTCTGATGACATCTCTGATGGCAGTTTCATGTTAACAGTGAAAGCTGGTGCCCATCACAACTGGTAGGGAAGAAGGGAAGGAGGTCACCAGCCATAGACAATAATATTCAGAACCAACTAATTCAGGTTTTGTCCCCATCCTTCACCCTGTAACACTAAGACTAAGGAGGAGAAGGTTGATAGCCAATGCCACCTGCTGAACTATTTGTAAATGGGGACAGACAGGTGGGAGCTGGTTGAGGCAGACTGATATTGATGGTCCATTCATTCTAATAGACCAGCCTCTGCTGGATGTTACATAGCATGGGAGACAGCAGAGAACCCAGCAGTGATTTATATCACAAGAGATGTGGAGCAATCAAAAGTCCATCATCAGCACCATAAGGAATCTGCTATCCAAAGCACAATACCCCTTGAGTTCAAATATACAACATAAGGTAAACTAATTTAGGCAAGAGTTGAAATGTTAATTTTTCCCCCTGCCTGTGATTTCAGATTTGCGATTAGAAAAATCATGCTTCTGGAATTTAGGTAAGTGTTTTTGGAGAAAGAAATGCATTTTAAAATGATAATCTGCGGTAGTGTCTTACTGGTTCAAAAATCTCCTTTGCCATAAATTTACTAATTGGCTATTAGCAATCCACTATATCCCAGCTTAATCTCCACATCCTCCATCTGCAAGATGGAGATGATAATTTTGTTTGTTTGTTTGATACATATATAGCCCACCAGAAAACTCAAGGCATTGTCACAACGACCCTGTAAGGTAGGATAGACCAAGAGACAGTGACCGGTTCAAGATCACCCCTGAGCTTCATGGTTGCCTGGGGATTTGAACATGGCTCCCTAGTCCAACACTAACCACTGTGCAATCCTGGCTCTATCTCTGAATATATCTTACAGGGTCGTTATAAGGATTGCTGACATAATTTGTATGAAATGCTTCAAACATTCTAATTTCTGTACAAATAATATTTGTATTTACCATTACTAAGGCAAGGATGAAATACCATAGCTGTTTGGAAAGATAATGTAGCTCATTCCTTCACCTGGCCATATCCCAGTGTGTCATAAGCTATATAGTTGAAACTACAGGAAATACAATGTTATGCCAGCTAAAGTATAGGTTTTTGTTTAACTCTTCCAAACTTTTAGAGAAAACAAAGCTTCCTCCTGCTTCGTTTTTTTTCCTGTAAGCAGTGATGACACTCTGGGTGTTTTATGTAACTTTGTTGAAACCTTTGCTTTTGCACTGAGCCTGTAATGTACAGTGGTGCCTCGCAAGACGAAAAGAATCCGTTCTGCGAGTCTCTTCGTCTTGTGGTTTTTTCGTCTTGCGAAGCAAGCCCATTTAGCGGTTTAGCGGATTAGCGCTATTAGCGGCTTAGCGGGCTTAGCGGATCAGCTGATAAGCGGCTTAGTGGCTTAACGGATCAGCTACTAAGCGGCTTAGCGGATCAGCTGATAAGCGGCTTAGTGGCTTAACGGATCAGCTGTTAAGCGGCTTAGCGGATCAGCTGATAAGCGGTTTAGTGGCTTAACGGATTAGCTGTTAAGCGGCTTAGCGGATCAGCTGATAAGCGGCTTAGCGGCTTAGGAAAAAGGGGGGGGGGAAACCCGCAGGAACTCGCAAGACATTTTCGTCTTGCGAAGCAAGCCCATAGGAAATTCGTTTTGCGAAGCACCTCCAAAACGGAAAACCCTTTTGTCTAGCGGGTTTTCCGTCTTGCGAGGCATTCGTCTTGCGGGGCACCACTGTATAAACTTTTAATGGGATGTGATCCTTGCCCAATTAGATTGAAAAACCTCTGAGCCTTTGCTGGAAGAATGGAGATGGGCTGGGTAAATAGGTCTTTGGATGGAACACAAATAAATTTTCATAATGGGGCTTGGAGGAGCCTCGACATGTGCTAGATGTAGAAAAGGTTTGTTGTTTTGGTTAGGGCAGTGGTTCCCAAACTTACTCCTCTCCCATGGACTACTAGAAAATCGTTGATGGTGGACCACGTAAATATTTTTCTGCTGGTAGTGGCAAGCGTAATGCAGAGGGATAGAGGCAGTGGTATTGTTATTGCTTCTTCTGTTTATTATATTGTAATACAATGTATTACAACTTGCATTCCAAAGATTTCAAATTATAATACAGTAAGATACAATATAGGAAATTTTAAAACCCCAATATGAATAAAATTTAAAAATCAGTATGAATATTTAAGGGGGACATGCTGCAGACCAGCTGAATGACACTTGAAGATCACTGGTGGTCCACAGACCACAGTTTAGGAAACCCTGGGCTAGGAAGAAGCAAGTTATAAGATGCTGTAGGGAGGAGGGGGAGTGCATGGAAGTTATTTGTGGCCACTCTAGGTTGAATATCCTCAACTCCCAAATAGGTTTTTGATTTTGCTTATGCTTGTGAAACCAAGTTGTCCTGCTTTTTAGCGCATTCGCAAGTGTCCATCCTGTCGATTCAATTTTTTCCACAATTCATGTTTTATTTGGTGTAGTAATGACTTTCCTAAAGCCTTTCTATGTTAGGCTGATGGCTTTTATTTCAAGAGACAGGAGGCATTTGCCTTTGAGTACTAAAGCAAGTGTCCGCTAAAGTGCGTGTCGCAAGTAGGAGGGATGCTTATTCTTATTCTCCTTACAAAATCAGCATGAATTAGTGTTCAGGCTAATGTAGTGCTTGTACCAAGTACATGTAAAACTTCTTTAATGAACAGAGTGTTCCAGAGGGCTAATTCATGTGCTGTCCTCACTCAGATTGATTTAAATGGCCCTGGTAACTTTTATTGCAGTGACCTGTGTTGGAGGCGACATTGGAAGCTACGTACAAATCATATAGATGACTTTTTTAGTTTTTTAAAAAGATCATTATGTTTCTTGTCCCCCGATGAATGACATATTAGATGGGTGGTAACTCTCTTGTCTTTTCACTTTTCACAGCCAGTACCTTGAAAATTACTTGTGGATGAATTATTCTCCCGAGGTGTCCAGCAAGGCTTATTTGATGTCAATCTGTTGTATGGTGAATGAAAAGTTCAGGGAGAACGTTCCCGCATGGGAGGTAATAGACTTCAATTATAGCCTGCAGTAACTTTGAGCCACAATTTGCAACTTTCACATTGCCCACTTAAAGTGTCGTCGCATGTCAGAAAGCGCAATACCGGCTGTCACTGTGCCTCGTCTGAAGTCGTCTGCCGCGGCCTTTTAAAACAACAGCAGGCTCCTGTTAGAGAATAGCAAGGGACAGTTGAAAGGTTTCACAGTGGAAGCAGGAGAAATGTGAAAAGAATTGTTTCAGTGATTGGAGGTGTTTTCTCTGCGTTGTGACTTGACAAAGTCTGGCACTTAATGGCGAAGTTTTTTGTGCTGTCAAAAGATAATGGCAAGAGAAATGTTTGTTTCTGTAGGACAGCTTTATTGGAAACTGGAGAACAAGTTTGCTTTGGGGCCATTTTACATTATCAATAGTTTCCAGTCTCCATGGTTCCATCTTCCAGTAATGCTAAGAGACATCCTTACATTAAGAGGCATGCCTGTGGTAATGCAATGAAGCGTTCTTTGGGCAGGGGGTGGGAGCATAGTGACCTTGGTGGAGGCAGAGGAAGGAAGCAGCAATACTGCTAGGATTTTTGGAATGGGGTCTTGGTTTCCATTTGGAGCCAAAGGAGATGAAGTTGGATAATACACATTTTTGTTATGTAAGTAGCAGCCTTGAGAGTTCCAGAGGGGAAGTAATAAGTTTTAACTAATTATTTCCCTGACATATTCCTGATTTTTTAAAATTAAAAAATGCCTCTCTGAAGCTGCATTTCAAGAAAAGCTTCTGTCAGCATATCTTGTTTGGGTCTCAGTTTATTTATTTATTATAAAAAGCCTTCAATTTTCTGTACACGGTCTATTTCTACTTTTACTTTTTGAGTTTTCACTGATAACCCAATTTCTATCATGCTGCAGGACACAGGTCTGTTGTGAGTGAATCACTTCTGTTATTTGCTAGTTTGCCCCCATTGTGATCCTTTGTACATTCAGAAAAAAGATGTTGTGCTTACCCCTCAGCTGGGTATAGAAGTGTGGGTATTGTATTTGGGTACTACCCAACTATTTCTCCTCAAGAAGATAGAAGTGATTGGTCTGACTCCTGCTTCTGTCCCTTAACACTCTTCAGCAATTATATCCAGTGTTTAATAGGAGGAAACCCATTAACAGACCTAAATAATTTTAGTCCATTGATTTCAGTGGATCTACTCTGAGTATAACTAATATTGAATATCACTCATTGTCTTTTGCATTGTTCAAAGATACAGCTGTTGTTGGTGTTCATCACCAAATTGCTTACTGTGAAGCACAAACGCTACAATGCTACGATTCCTACTACATAGCTAGTTCTGGCAGTAAACCTATGAGCAAATGGCCAGTCTGTGCTTGCCAACAGCTTACAGTTGTCATGTCCAGTGAGTGCATTCCCCCACTATGCATCCACACAGCATAGAAATATGAAAAAGATGTTCCATGTGAGCTAACTTCTGACTTTATGTTCCCCTTAGACATTCAAAAAGAAGCCAGAGCACTTTCCGTTCTTTTTCAAACGTGTGCTGGATGCTTCCTTGGCTGAGAGTGACAGCGAGTTCTCTCTGCAGGAGCAGACCATACTCCTGCTTTTCCTTGACCACTGCTTCAACAGTCTGGTAAGCTTTATTCTTCAGAGATTTGTCATTGTTGTCATTTATGGTGTGTTTGGCAAATATGGCAGTAGTGTCCATAGTCCTGTCTACTCAGAGCAGCCTCTTCTTGTTAGCATGCTGTGCCTTTCCACATTCAGTTGCACAGTATTCTTCTGAAGGAGTCCTCTTAAGTGGCATTTATTACGCTAGGATTCCAAAGATCCATTTAGAGCCATTCCCAATGCCTGCTCCTCAACTAGAGATTGTATTTCTCTTAAGGATAAATCAGAGCCTATGTTTGAGCAGGTTCTGCAGGTGTTCCAAGACCTCTTTCACTGGGCAAATATTCAGTAGCTAAGCCCTAGGATTTAGTAAGTGGGACTTTCATGAAAGTGTCGTATTGCAGAGTAACTTTTGATCAGTGTTCCTGCTAGTCTTGTCCTCTTTCAGGCTACTCTAGCCTCCCTCTTCCTCACCTTCCCCACCGATATTTTCTTTCTCAGTAGCCACATTGGGCTACATAGCCGATAGAACTCTGCATCTTTGTTTGCTCTTAGTATATATGATTCTTCAAATGGACAGTTAAGTTTTCCTTTTGGTTAGCATTTGGCTTTATAGAGGCTTTATATAGTTATGACTCGGAAGCCACTCCTTGCACAGAAAATTATATAGACGCAGATGATAACCCCTTAACATCATATCTGCAAAAAAATTGACCCACCAAACGAAGTGCATTAGTGGGGATTTTTCTTCTTTTTCCTGCTTTTGGAGAACTGACAAGCCATGATTCGTGGCTCACGGGCCGTGTTTGGTTTATGGAATACTAGTGATCATGGCCAGCTGTAGATTATTTATTCCCCTTTCTTCATGGAATAGAGCTTTCCTGACTTACCACTGCAGCCTTCCAAAAGCCATTCTGGAGGGTTTGGAGGCCCTCCCAGTAGAGCATGGGAGGTGGCATGTAGAGGCTGTAGTGGGAAGGGAATTGCCAAAAGTTGGGGGCACCCCTTTTTCCTTGTGCAACTAGAAGTGCCTTTCATTTGTGCAACTGTCGTTTTGAATCCAAGCCTCACAACCATACTAATAGCCTGTTCTGTTTCTTGCAACAGGAAGTAGATTTGATCAGAGGGCAAGTCCAGCAGCTTATCTCCCTGCCCATGTGGATGGGCCTGCAGCCTGTAAGTGTTTCATAAAGAATGCAGGGAACCTTTGAAGCATCATGTGGACATGGAGGTTCACTGGACCATTTCTGCTGCATTCTAATGAACCGTTGCATGACAGCTTCTGCTGTCAGAGATTTATTGCTATTTTAATCAGCGGTTTTGGAGACTTTTAAAATCTTCTGCCTTTACAATGGGCAAGCGTAAGTTCTTGTTCAGTTTGGGGTTTTGAAATTACCTTTGGGGCACCCAAATTAGATGGATGGAAATACTAGAGATCTAGCTCATCATACTATTAAGAATTAATTGTCTCACCCTTTTAGGCTCGTCTGGCACTCGAATTGAAAAAGACATCAAAGCTTAGAAAATTTTGGAATTTGATCAAGAAGAATGACGAGAAAATGGATGAAAATACTCGGGCACAGTAAGTTTAATAGTATTGCTTTAAAAAAAATCATGTGTGGGGATTGTAATTTGCTGTCTGTGAAGAAAAGCTGTTTTGGCAAAGGCCCATTTGTACCTCATGCTGCTTGGGGAAAGCAGGAGTTGGACTGACTAAGACCCCACATCTGCTTGCCATCTGGGTATAGTGCTTAGTGGATGTGATACAGTGCAGCTGTACCACAATATGTTCCTGCATATTATACTGGCATACTTGGTTTATTCATCCAGTACTGACACATGAAATAGACTGACCAGGAACCTTCCCCAAGTAAGCCAGGTTGAAAGACATGCAGTAAGACAACTGCTTATGTGAGAACATAAGATGAGCCTTGCTGGGTCAGAACAGAAGCTTATCTAGTCCAACGTTCTGCTTCCTGCCATGGTCAACCAGATCCATCTGGGAAGTTCATAAGCAGGATGTGGAATCATGTGTTGTTGTTCTTTAGGGCATTTCAGGAAAGAAGATTCCTTTCGCAACTGATCCAGAAATTCATCTCTGTATTAAAATCAATACCCATTTCAGGTATGTAGTGCAAATTGTAAGTGCATGGGCTTATGCAAGAGACCCTCTTCTCTTTTACCTTGCCCTTTCCCCAAATTTAGGCATCCCAGATGAAAATGTGATTTGTGCCGTTTCAGCTTATTGCAGCTTATAGTATCTTGGAGGGAGGGCATGCATTCCTGCCTTGAGAGCTAGCTCCAGAATGGGAGCAAAATCAGCATGCTATTAAATGCACAGGAGTTCTATTCTGTAGAATACATTATTTGAAAAATTCTCCTCATTACACGACTTTGTTTCTCTGATGCAAAACAAAGGGAGATTTCTCTGAACCCTTTTGTGGGGAGTTTTTGTTCTTGTTGCACTGTGTAGAATTTGCTAGACTGACGTAGTGACTTTACTTTTGACGTGATTCAGTTGAAAAGCAGTCAAACAGATTTGCTAAATATCGAAAGGGAACTGTCTTTTTTTAAACTAGCTTCAGTTCTTCAAATGAATAGGTCACTTGTAATTTCTCAGAAAACTACTTTCAAATTCAGCGTCGCATTGTAAGTTTGAAGTAATGGCAAGTCTTATTCATGCATAACTTAAGAGTCTGTGCTTGCCCAACTGCAAATTAGCTCTCTACTTTAAACATACTTGGCTTCGCATTAAATATTATTTGGTGATTATTTTTTAATATCCACCAGGATTTCTCTCCCTGCTGAAAGACCCGACACCTCAAGGATATCTCTCCACTGAGGGTTTATTTTTAGAATAGACAAACTTGGCCTGAATATTTTCTGCTTATACAGGGAATAATAATTCTTATTTTCTGCGGCCGCTGCCACCTCCTAAGTTTTGAGTTGGAAGTAAGGTAGGAGAATGCCAGGGACCTCTTTGGCTGAGGAGCCCTAAGAAACCTCTCTTCACTGCCTGCCCAGCCTTTTGGCTTCACAGCGTGAAAATCATGTGGGAAAAGTGTTGGAAGCTGTTGCCTGAAGGTGATTTGTGCACCTTCAGATACCTGCTCCCAACCTTGCATACTCTCACCCTGTCTGACCTTCCCTTCTGGAAATACCAGGTCAGTTGGAACATTGGGTACCGTTGCCTTAAGGTGCTCTGTTCAGCTTCAGGCTCCCCATGTGGAATGCTCTCTCCAGGGAAGTTTGCGTGGCACCTTCATTATACACCAGGGCTTTCCAAACTTGGGTCTCAAGCTGTTTTGTACTACAGTTCCCATCATCCCTGACCACTGGACCTTCTAGCTAGGCATGATGGTAGCTGTAGTCCAGAAACAGCTGAAGACAGCTTTAGGCACCAGGCGAAACCATCCCTCTTCAGCCAGGCCTTTGGCTGACCAACACCCTATATCCTTTTAAGTGTGTTTGTGGGAGGGGTGGTTTTTGCTTTCTTCTGTTTTTATTATGTATTTTGTGGTTTTATCTTTTATTTTTATGCTGTGAACCGTCCTGAGATCTGCGGATGAAAAGCGGTATACAAATTCAATGAAAAAAGTAAAATAAAAAATAGTTGTGGCAGTCCCTGATGTGCCAGAAGAAGGAAAAAAAGGCATTTTCCTTGGCAAACTGAACTGTAATTGAGGCACAAAAATAGAAATTGTTTGGCCATCTCTGCCTAGAACCAAGGGTCTTGAAATAACTCTTAAGCATCAGCAAAATTTGATTTGGATGCATTATACATCAGTTCCAGGATTACTTTTTTAATTACCTGTATTTACTTCTAGGTCCTCTCTCTATGGATAAAGTGCATTACTGTGAAAGATTCATTGAACTCATGATAGATCTAGAGGTATGCCAAATATGGGATAAATATAGTGATCTACTGTAGCATCTAAGCCTCTTGAATAACTAAAATATGTGCTGCGTTAGTCCTAGTGTTGAAGCAGCTGACTGAAGTATGTTTAACTCGCACATAGAGCATAGGAAGTCCTCTTATACTGAATCAAACCTTACACTGAATCAGATCATCAGTCTGTATAGCTTAGGTTTGTCTACACGCTGACTGGAAGCAGCCTTCCTATGGTATCTATATTGTGAGAAGGTCCTAGCAAGGCTTTCAAAATCGTTGTTATTATTTTTTAAAATGCCTAGCAGCATTCTTCTGGATTTCCTGAAAATTTCCGTTTTGAATAGCGAACTAGTTCATGCATCGGTAACTGACAGGAATCATATCACATATGACTGCCTTTGTTTTATTTTAAGATGTGTAAAATTATTTCAGCAGCAGAGACTCTGTAAAAAAGTGTGGCTGTGTCACCCACTCTGGATGCAGTTAGCTACGAAGCTCCACGGCTTTAATCTTCAATAGAAATGTGATATGTTCTCATATTTGTTTGCTCTGCTAAAAACTCAATGTTTCCAAGGAGGGACATGGCTGGTATCATTGAGCCTATCCACTCTGAACAGGATTCTGGCCCCAGAGAGAGGGTATGCAAGATATTCAGCAGGGATGCTGCTGGATCGTAGCCAAAATGCCAAGCATCAGAACATTTCATGTAGGTTCATTCTGCGCTAAGGGCATTACAGGAGAGTTAAAGGAGTTCAGATAGTTTCTGAAGCCTGTTGTGCTGATTGGAACTGGCAAACCAGAAATCGTCTATAAAAAGCCATCACATTTGTTCTCCTGTAGCTTGTCCCATCTGAACAGAGTGTCTTTACCTATACTTAAGATCCCTTTTCTTCCCCCAGGGCGTTTCAGGGTTTTGTATTCAGTTACATCTATATTGTGATTGAGGCTAAACTGCCGGAGCATTTCAGCGATTAGCATGACTTTGGTGGAAGTGAGCCATGTGCTCCCACCAGTTCATTTTTTATTGTCAATAAATATGCCCCCCCCCCCTTTAATCAGTTCAGGCTTCTCATTGCCATTAACTGTGCTCTGTATGTCTAAAACCTTTTGACAGTTATGGCCATATAAGGTGTTTTGCATTTCTTATTTCATGTATTTCTGTAGTATGGAGCTGTAATGATCGAAATAGCTGTATTGCAATAGTCTATTGACCCCCAGTTTCTGCTGCGGTTTTTGACATCTGACAAGGAGATATTTTAGGAGGATTTTTAAAGAAAAGAAACATTTTTGTAATATTTTATTAATGAATAATTTAGAAATTGTTGTTTAAATGAGAAGGAGAGGGCTTAATTCTTCACATGGCTGCTCAGGAGTAAATCCCATTGAATTCAATGGGACTTCTCTGTTTTTGGTTTTGTGTTGTTTCTGATCTTTGTTTAAATTAGCCCATTGGGCAAGCCCTGTGTGCATTGCACAGATACTACTATCAAAATGGATATTGCAAGGACCTCATGACACCTAATCACTACCACTACCACCTTTTTTTTGAAAGCACTGAATTCTAACCAGTTTTCTAGTTACTAACAGCCTCCCAAATGTTGACATATATGTGATTGTTTATTTTATTATTATTATTATTATAGGCCCTACTTCCAACACGACGCTGGTTTAACACGATACTTGATGATTCCCACCTCGTTGTGCATTGTTACTTATCCAGCCTAGCCAAAAGGGGCAAGGAGGGTCATCTTTTCTGCCAGGTACGACTCGCTTTGATTTTGCAGAGCACTTCTTTCAGCACCTCAAAATCCTCGCTAGCCAAGGCAACACAACATTATTACCAAAAAAAATACAGCATCACAGCTGGAAAGTGATGGTTGGCAACCACTGCTTGCTGTTGGCCCCTGTTGTGTTGCTTAATGAGAAGCATGTAATACAGGAAGGCAGCATAGTGCAACTACAATGGCTAAACATTGCTGACTTTGGGGGGGACACTAGATGGAGAACAACTATGGCTGAAGCAATTTTGTTAAACCTGCTTATATTTGGGTTTTTTATGCTAAAGCCAATTTTAAAAGTATGGATGAGCTTTAGGGAGCTGCACCTAGACTAGGGGCAATTATTGGCACAGCTCTCAATATTACCTGCAAGGCCATCTTCCCACACCTGAGATCATAAGGAGCAGGTAGAGATGCGGCTGGATCAGCTGCGCAATCGAGTTCCCCCACTGCCCATCAGCTGCATCACTGAGTTCCTCTTGGGGAATTTGATTGTGCAGCTGATCCCTGCACAAAGCAGCTTTGCCAGCTCTATGAGCATTGGGCCGGCAAAGCCCCTCATGCTACACTTTCAGTGCCTGACAACCAGCCTCCTTTTGAACACTTGGGAAGCTCAGTGCAAGGGACTTTGGCAGGGGCAACGGGCAACCCACCTGTCCATCTTCTGGCGCTTTAATGTTGTCAGGTCAGGGTTGCCCTGCAGGGGTGGGGACAGATAACAATCAGGCCTGCTGGGCCTCATCTAACACACACACAGAAGTGTAATGTCAGAATACATTTAAACAAATGTTTACTGTATGTATGACTAATGTTGGATGTCGGCTCACTCATGAGGTGTGTGCATATTCTGGACGTGATAATACATCCTTTACTTCCCCTTTGGTAGAGGGAGAGTAATAATGGAAGGGTGAGAGAAAACATGAGGAGCAAGGTTCCAGCTTCTCCTCACTATGTTCTCTTACAGCTGGCTTGTAATGGACTGAAAAATGAAATTGCCTTCTCTAAGCAATGAAATGATACAACTTGTTTTGTTTGTTTTACATTTTGGAAATAAAATGAAATATCCCTCGACTATATAGTCTTGGGCCCCATGTGGTGGTTGAAGACCCTGCTTTTCTGTATATCTAATTTGTCACCATTTTGTTTCAGCTTTTAGACATGCTCAAATTCTACACTGGTTTTGAAATTAATGACCAGACTGGAAATGCATTGACAGAGAATGAGATGACTACTATTCACTATGACAGAATTACTTCCCTCCAGGTATTTAACGGCCTCGGGTATAACTGAAGGCTTTCACAGAGGTGTAAGATTGCTTGTCAGAAAAGGGGTGACGACAGACTTGGGGAGGAAACCACCTCATTTGGAAGCCTGGAAATAGTGCCAGTTTCATGGGTGGATATGTCTGTTCTTAATATGAATAAAGTACTGTTGGTAAATAAGTGCTCATTCAGGAAACTTTGATGTTTGGGGGCATGTCCTTGGTTTAGTAAGTGGATAGTACTGAAAGTCAGCTGCCAAAGCCCTGTGCAGATAGCCAGTCCGTCCAGGCAGGGGGGAATTTGAATCATGCTGGCATTCCCCAACTCCCACAGCGTGGTGTATTGTCCCTCTCCTGATGTTTGCATTAAGCTTCATGTTAACATAGCAGGCAGTCCATACATACAGATACAGTAGGGTTTGAAATGTTTGGCCCCTCTCCCTTGTAATCTTTGCAGCTTCTGTTAGAATTAAAATAGCTGCCGTGTCTTTTTTGTTCCGACTGTTTTCTTATCAACCACCCTATCCTAACCAGTATTCAGAAAAAAATGGACATCATTGAGTTGCATCCAACAAAGTTGCATCCATTCATGCCTATATATTGGGATATCCTCTCCACTTCCTGCATGCCTCTTCCCCAAGTCTGTTTTGGGGATTCCCCCAGCCCTCTAAAGCAGATTTGGGGGTCACACACAGAAAATAGAGAGAGAGGTGGGGACGAAGTCTTGTTGTGCAGGGTGCAGGTGGAAGTCCTTGTGCTAATGGGACAGCTTTGTTGGTTACAGCCCATTATATGGAAGTGTGACACAGTTCTCATGTGTGAACTCAGATCCACCAATGATGTAGTCCTTGCTGTGAGCTAGCCTTACGCTATTTGTGGGGGTTTGTACTTGGCCTGTTAAATTGCAGAGTGTTGCATAAGTCACGTTGCTGAGTAAAGATAGCATTTGATTTCTCATCCGGGTTCTTGGTTGGATTCTAGAGAGCCGCCTTCGCACATTTCCCAGAACTCTACAATTTTGCCCTCTCAAATGTATCTGCTGTAGACACACGTGACTCCCTCATAAAACTTTTTGGGCCTCTGAGGTAAGTTACATTTTAATTTCTTTTATTCTCATCATTTGCTTCTTCTGGGTGTGAATGATTTGGTGCGGGGAGTAGGAAATCCTACAGGTTCACCGTGAGTTGCTGATTGTTTGAGCAACAGTTAGAATTGGAAGCCCCCTTTAACAACAACAAAACCACACCACAGCTTGGTTATTCTAGTAATAATTGCCTAAATAAACCCTGAAATGTTTGCCTAAATAGAAATAGTGGCCACCTGTAGTAACCAAGCAGTAGATAAATTTAAAACTATGATTCAGAGAATCATGAGTGATCTCTTGTTTGGTTTATCCAAATAATAACTCCCCAACAAAAATTTAAGAGGGGTGAAGGGAGGGAAAACAAAGCCAGCTTCTGAAAGGCAGTATCTCTTAGTATATGTGTAAAGGCTATCTGGTTTATAGCCTTAACACCACTGTTTGAGGGTTTCGTATGTCAAAAGAAGTTGTTGAATTTGTCTGATTGTAGGTTGTTTTTTAATTAAAAAAATATGAATAATAATCTCTGTCAAGAATCCTTTCAGTGTTAAGTTCCTTGCATAAGAGCAAAGAGTGTTAGCTAAAATGCAGAATGGCCTAGATCAAAATCTTGGTCAGTAGGCCACACAAATAGTTATTGTACTTTTTGGGGGGAGGACACTGACAGAAATTCAAAGCAAACAGCTCCATTTATTAAGCTCAAGCGCTATGTGACTTTTGCTTTATTCTTTTTTCTTCAGTCCAGAAACACTCCACCAGGTGGCATCCTATCTCTGCTTATTGCCAGCCCTACCTGAAGAGGAAAATACAAGCTATGACAAAGAGTTTCTGCTCGAGCTGCTGGTAAACAGCCTTATGTCTGTCTTTGCTGGGTCAAGCTGTTTTCCTTCTGTACAATGATATCTGTGATGTTGAATAGGACACCATGATTCTTTATCAAGGCATTAGAGGGCAGGCCGGGATTTTTTCCCCCCCTTCTGCCCTTGGGTTAACGCAAATTCTGCACCAGAGACTCAGTCATAGTCTGGGTCGGGCTGCAAATCCCTTGGGTGCACTCCAAACCCTATGCACTGTGTTTTCACATCCTGCCATTAGCACAAAGAATTGTCAAGAGTACATGAATTCAAAGTTTCAATAAGTTATATATTAGGATCTGAAAGGAGAAAGGTGACAACTTCTTTTTATCACGGTAGATTTCAAATCTGACTAAAAAGAATTAGTTAGCTGAAATAGGGTTGTGTATAAGCAGTGCTTTTTTAGGGGTATGTATACGCATCCCCCTAAACATTTCATGAATCTAAGTTTGGCCTCATTGAGGGGCAGTGTTTCAATATGAGTAGGAAAATGAGAGTACCCCTAAACATTTTTTTAGAAAAAAAGCACTGGGTATAGGCATGCATAGGCCTCCTAGGTTAAGATTTTTGCCTAACTTTGCTGTGTTGTGTTCACATTTGTTAAAATGTAGTAATTGGGGGGAAAACATAAACGTAGAGCAGGGATTTTGGGGGGAGGGTGAAACTTAATTCCTATAGACCATTTTTAAATTTTAACTGACCCTGTTCCTTTGATTCCCCCCCCCCAGCTTTACCCCTCAAAAATCTCCCATTTAGCAAGGATTTTTTCTGACATTACTAAAGGAGTCATAACCTCATGGTCAAGAGCTGGGCGTTGTTGGAGTGAATGGGGCTTTAGTTGACATATTAACGCAGTGTTTCTCAAACTCGGGTCTCTCGCTGTTTTTTGTGCTACAGTTCACATCATCCCTGACCACTGGCCCTGCTTGCTAGCTGGGGATGATGGGAGTTGTAGTCCAAAAACAGCTGGAGACCCAAGTTTGAGAAACACTGCATGAAATATTTATATTTGCGGCATAGCATGGATATTTAAGCTATTTAATAAATTCTTCTTTCTAACTGAATGGTCTTTAAGACCTTTTTAGTATGAAGGGTATTAATTATTATATGATCTTACCCAAGCATCTTAAATATTAATCTTGTGAGTTTTTAAAAATGGACTTGCTTGGGAAAAATTGTTCAGTGAAGTTGTGCTCATCACAGTTCCTAATTTGTCAACATTATTCCAGCAGTGCTTGTGTATTTTCAGGTCTTTACATTCTGTTTTAGTTGCCCACTCAGCTAGCGCTACTGAACTTTAATTTGCAGTTACATTTATTTATTCATGTGTCTCTCAAGAGACTCACAAACAGATGGAGGCAACATCCTAACATGTCTGGTTTGAACTTTGCATTTTGTGTCACAACGAGGTCACGCTGCTAACTATTGTGTGATGCCATGAAGATTTACTTGTGTTGGGTGGTGGTTCAAGCTCTCTGCAATGTTGCTAATGCGTCGCTGGATGTGTGCCATGTGCTCTGAGGCTCTGTTCAAAACTGTATTCAAAGCTGTGTAGTCTTTCAGCCGACCAGTGGACTGCTGGGGAAGAAATACATTTTAAAATTGTTATTCAGGACTCCCTTCCTCTTCCCCTCCTCCAAATATGTAATATGCAGCTTAGATAGGCTTTTGTTAATTCTGTGAATGTCCCAAATACATCACAACTTTTTAGACTTACATAACTGGGTGCTGGCAGTCGCGTATAGCAATGTATCTGGGGTTTTTTATATTCCACAAGTTTTGGGACTTAGGTTGTAGAATGTGTGTGTAAGGTAAAGGGGGACCCCTGACCATTAGGTCCAGTCGTGGCCGACTCTGGGGTTGCGGCGCTCATCTCGCTTTATTGGCCGAGGGAGCCGGCGTACAGCTTCTGGGTCATGTGGCCAGCATGACTAAGCCTCTTCTGGCAAACCAGAGCAATGCATGGAAACGCCGTTTACCTTCCCGCCAGAGTGGTACCTATTTATCTACTTGCACTTTGACGTGCTTTCGAACTGCTAGGTTGGCAGGAGAATGTGTGTGTAGCCTGGTGCAAGTGTCACATTGCCCAACTGCCTAACCATAGTTAGACAACTGAGAATGCGTTGTAGACTTCCGTGCTTCTCACGCAGTCTCCTATCCCATAGACATCATCCTCCTTTCAGTTTCAAATCTCCCTAAACTGGGTTGTATGTGTCCTAACATTTTCAATAACCATGGTTAGCAAACAACCTAATGCACATGTAATGCTAACCATTGTTGGATCCAAAATTAAGAGAGAAGAGGAAATGCCTGCATCAAGGTAAAACAATTCATGAACCTACAGCAGAGAGGGGGAACTTTTCCCTCCAGATGGTGCTGAACTACAACTTGTATGAGCCCCACAAGCATGGCCAATGTCCAGGAGTGATGGGAGTTGTAGTTCAGCAATATCTGGAGGGCCAAAGGTTCCTCACCCGCCAACAGGGTGTTTTTTTTATGAGTGTGGTGATCAGGCACAAATTTTCATTTTGTTGCGTGTCCTGGCAAAAATGGAAAACCAAACAAAACAACAAATAGGAGCGGCTTCAACAAACTTATAAAAATGTATTCAGAGCTAAATACTGACAATGTGGCCACATATTACTAAAACATGATTTGGTGCTATATGGATGAAGCTGAGCAAACCCAAGCAAAGAGACGGGCTGATATGTTCTCCCCTTGTGCGGCGTGGAGGAGGGCGTCACTGGGGTTCCTAGTTTAAAACAAACTGGTTAGTTTAGCAAGCCAGTCTCATAATCCATGATTTGAAGTTACAGAGTATGTTTTAAACCATGATCGCTGGTTTGACTGTAAAGCTGAGCCAGGATCCTTTAAAAGTGAGACTAAACTCTGATGAAGAGTGTCTTCCTGGTTGCATCAGAGGAGGAGATGGGACAGGATTGCGCAAGCTCGATGCTCATTTAGGATTGTCCACATTTGTTCTTGTTTGGCTTATGTCATGTGAATGAAACTTGCATGTTCAGCATAAAATAAAAAGGTTAACTTTCTCTTTGCAATTTACCTCTTAAACCAGTTGGTGTAAAATAGTCTTTCCAGTCTTCTTGAGTATCCTATAAATATTTGTAATGTTGTTTAGGGCACATGACAAGATGTTTTTGTCTTTTCTAGGTGTCCCGGCATGAATGTCGAATTTCTCAAATTCAGCAGCTCAATCAAATGCCTCTGTATCCCACTGAGAAGATTATTTGGGATGAAAATATAGTCCCAACTGAGTACTATTCTGGTGAAGGTATGTGTCAGGGAACTGCCATCAGTGCCGGAGGGAGAGAGCAAAATCCAGAGGGATTCTAGAGAGCGTCCCGGGATTGGGAGAGGCAGCCCATCTTTTGGGGAAGAGAATCAGCGTAGCACCAGTGGAGAAGGGGGGCAGATGGGGGAAGCGGCAAGGCGGTCCCAGGAGTCCTTGCCGAGGACCAGCGGGGAGAGTAGGGGTCCTCCGCTGCCTACGCCCTCCTTGCGCAGAAGGCTTTCGCGCAGAGAGAGTAGGAGGAGACTAGGCATCAAAGAGCTTCTTTGCTGGAAGAAGTTTAAGAAACGCCCACTGACGGATTCTGCCAGCGATTGAGACAGCCACGGGTGAGTGGCTGTCCGGACAGAAAAGGTTCACTCAGGAAACCCAGCCAGATGTTTGCACCGGCTTACGCACGAGCAACCCCTAGAACCATCACAGTATGTTTTCTGGAAAATGCTTAAATTTTAAATGTTTCTGGTCTGCCACTTTGCCTAAGCATGGATTGGTGCAGTTGACATGATTGGAGTAGTTATGATGATGTACTATAAAACCTCCCATAGGGGGCTGCACTCTGTCTTTATACAAATCCAGGATTGTGATGTAGTGCTATACAAGTCTCCAGTGGGGGCTGCACAGTGATGGACTAGTGCAAATATTGTATAGAGTGATGGCTTCCCCAAGCTCCCATACTGATGCAGAAGAACAGCATGGAGCTTAACCAACCAGCTCCTGCTAGCTATGTAATTTTTGATGGGGGGGGCGGTCTGAAAAGGAAAGCTTGTGTAGAGTAGGCTCCCCTCTACACAAGTGCCCTTTAATGAAGTGTGGCCCTGCTCCATGTGATTGTAATTGCATAAAGGTAATGGCTGAACAAGTCTGATGTGATAAACAAACCAACAAACCAACCATTCCTCCTCTCCCCTTTTTCTTTCCTTAGGCTGCCTTGCCCTCCCAAAATTGAATCTACAGTTTCTTACTCTCCATGATTACCTCCTGAGAAATTTCAACCTCTTCCGCCTAGAGTCTACTTATGAAATCAGGCAGGACATTGAGGATAGTGTCAGTAGGATGAAACCATGGTAATGGATGCAACTATAACCTTGAAGTTGTTGGATCAAGAAAAACTTTCCTCTGTGTGTGATTTCTCAACTCCCCCCCCCCACCGGTTTTTCTGGGGCCATTAGAAAGGTGTTGGGTTTAATAGAGCATTCCCTAGGGTGACCTTGGGCTGAATTTCCTGGATAAATTGCAGGAAGAGATGCCGTACCTTGGGCTTGTTATTCCCACCTGTAGGATTGGCGGTCCCTTGGTCCCTTCCAATGGTATAATTTTGTATATATTTGAAATGATGTCATTAGCTTTGGCGTGTGTTAGAGATCTGAATGCAAAAGTCTCTTGTTTTGACCTTGCTCTTCAGGCAGTCTGAATATGGAGGCGTTGTCTTTGGTGGGTGGGCTCGAATGGCACAGCCCATTGTCTCTTTCACAGTCATAGAGGTGGCAAAGCCCAACATTGGAGAAAACTGGCCCATGAGAGTCCGAGCGGATGTCACAATTAACTTGAATGTTAGAGACAACATCAAAGATGAATGGGAAGGTATGTATATGTGTGTAGCTACAGCAGTGTGACGTCGCATCCCCGGTTATTTGGGGTGAATGTTAAGTTTGTATGCTTGTTGTGTTTAAAACGCATCTTTTCCCTATTAAGTCCTGCTGCTTAAAGAAAGAATGCTAGTGCTCTCAGTAACAGGTAGTTTGGGATCATCAGTTCTTCCTAGTTCCATATTTTTGAAAGGGGGAAGAAAGCATTCTTTTATTGGTCTAGCCGTTCTATGACAGGAGTGATTAAAAGTTGGTATGGGGATAGCTAATTCCTCTGAGAGATTTTTGGGCGTGAGCCCTATATTCTGACTCAGAAACCTATGCCCCCCTTTGTGAGACTGATCTGGAACTGTTGTAACAATATGCAGTATTCATTCTGTGTCACCATCCACCCGTTTTCCTATATCTACAAAATGCCAGTCATTTAAAATGGGAATATTACTTAGAGCTGCAGTTCTGTAAATCAATGGGCATCAGTAAATAGTCTGATCATGCTAAGTCTACTTGGGTAATAGATATGAAAGGTGAGAAAGATTCTGACTTAATTGAAATGAACATTTCTCTGATGGGGTTTCTGTGTGTTGTCAGGACTTGCACGCCACTACAGTCTTCTCTGTGTTCCCTAGTGTATTATCTCAAGGCAGTGCTTTGCTGCTTGGGGGATTATACTTGGATTGACCTTTTTGGCAAGATGCATAGGAACAACTATTCATGCTCTGGGGGGACACTGACGGCTAGTTCGGAAATTCAGCAACAGACGTGTTTAAGATACGATGGGATTGTGTAATCCTTTTGGTTGCATGTCCTGATTCAAAATGCAGAGCCTGCACTAAAATGCACTAAATTATTGTGAATTTTTATATTTTTAAAACATTTGTTTGGATTGGGATCCTGGCTTCAAGCCTCAGATAAGCTTCTCTTCCTACGTTCCTACATTCCTGGTGGAGATCTTTGTCTTGGAAAAGGTCTACAAATGTATATGAATAAGATAATCACATATTAACGATAGCACAGGGGACAGAGATAAAGCTGCTACTGGCTTAATTATATGCATGTCCTTCGAAAACTATTTCTGTACTATCTCCCTTTTGCTTTTCACTGACCTAAATTGTTCATTTATTCAAGACATTTATATACCACCTAATTATTTGCATTTCTAACCTGTGTACATAAAAGCAAAACACAGAAAATGGCACAATAAAACAGTAAAAATGTACCCTAAAACCAAACACTACCTTAAATGGCCTGCTGAAACGAGACAGTATTGATCATATCTCTGAATTCAGCAAGGAGGGTGGCTGTCTAATCTCAATTGGTAGGGAGTTCCCCAGGCTTGGACCCACTACACTGATTACACAGCTTCTAATTGTTACAAGCTCTGGATATGAGCCATGTGGGGGACCAACTTTATGAAGCTACAGTATAAAATAACCACTACACCTGCAAATGATCAGAATGCACTGACATTTTCCCTCCATTTAGGTCTGCGCAAGCACGATGTTTGCTTTTTAATTACTGTCCGACCCACACAGCCTTATGGTACGAAGTTTGACAGAAGGCAGCCATTCGTTGAGCAGACAGGCCTGGTATATGTGAGAGGATGCGAAATCCAGGGAATGTTGGATGATAAGGGCCGCGTCATTGAAGAAGGTATGTCGATAATATCTGAAAGACCGTCTCCTTCCCTGCAGACCCTCCTGGCTATTAAGATCAGCAGAGGGGGCCCCTCTTGATAGTTCAGGCTGCCTCAGAAGTTTGGGAGGAGGGTATTTGCTGTGGCATATAATTTATCGAGCACCCTCCCCACAGAGGTGCACTTGCCTTCTTCACTATAAAGCTTTTGGTGAGTGATGAAGACACACCTCTCTGCCCCTGGCAAAGATGTCTGAGATATCTGTTTGCAGAGCCCAGCCTATTCTTGTGATTTGTGATCGGATTTAACTGCTTTAAATTTTGAATTTTAAATCATTGTAACTGTGACCAGCTGGTTAAAGGATGGGTAATAAATAAATAAAGAACAGCTGAATATATTTAGTTAAAATATGAAAGTGACATCTACATTGCACTTAACGGTAGGCATAATTTCCCCGCTAACAGCATGAATGTGATTGTGGCTCTAAGATGGTGAATGTTTCCCTCCCTGTAGCAGCCTGGCTAGGATGGGCAAGCTCAGAAACCCTGAATATGCTAGTTCTTGCCAGGCTGTAGCAGTGCTTATTCTAGAGATGGTAGGAACAGAGCTGGTTGACCTGATCCATTCAGTGACACTGGCTGGTATGTAGAGCTGACCTAAATAGTCCCAATGCCAGTCACCTGTTTTTGGCAGAATGGATCACCAGATGTGAGCCAGGAAGGGACAGTCTTGTTAGGCAGGGGCAAGGAGAGGAGAAAGGGGCAAGGAAAGTTGGAATCAGTTGGAGAGGATTGGCCATGGTGTGAACAGATTACTCAAAAGTGTTGTTGTTGTTTTGCAAGGCATTTTCTGTTTAGTTTATCTTTCAACAACTTTGAACTTTATTTGCCTTTCAATGCAAACAGGACCAGAACCGAAACCAAGACTTAAAGGTGATTCCAGAACGTTTCGAGTGTTCTTGGATCCCAATCAGTATCAACAAGACATGACCAATACCATCCAAAGTGGAAGAGAAGATGTCTATGAGACATTTAACATAATTATGAGGAGAAAGCCAAAAGAAAACAACTTTAAAGTAAGTCAAGGTGCAATTTTCTGTTTAAAAATAAATGTTGAAAGCAGAGTATTTTTTGGAACTTGTGTCAATGTGGGCCATATGTCCATTAAAAAAATGTGTGGTCCTCCTCCTCCCACTGTTTAGTTGTTTGTCTTAAATCCTAAACCCATTCATGGTGAAACTTCATGCACCTAAAGAGCTAAATTTCCAAATGAATCTATTGGATCTTGGACTCACCAAGTTTCAGATGGAATCCACAGCGTAGGTCACCTTATTATCAAAGCAACATTAAATTTGGGCAAAAGGTGGCTAGTGCGTCGCCTTTCAGAATTGCAAGCAATGTGGTTCTGCTTTATAAGCTATAATGTAGTAATGGTTAAATTAAGAATATGCCACCAGGGCATCTGCCGCTGCTGCTAGCAGTGTAGGAATCATGCTGGTATTTGGGGTTTTCCCCTTGAGTGAAACAGTTTAAATCTGTATTGAATGCTGAAAAGATTGCTCAGTGTTCTGCTGAAAACAAAAGTTTTGCCTTCAAAGTTTTTAAAAGGTTATTTGCAAGGAAAGGACAGTCAGACAACCAGATAATACAGAAATGATTTGGCAGTGTCTCTTTAATTTCACATTTTTCTCATGTTAAAAGTTAAACCAATTGATGAGGCTCAGCCTGCTTCTTGGGATTGCTCTATCCCGGAGGATAGGTTATCCCTATCTGCTCTATGCCTCCTTGCTCACATAACAGAAAATAAGGTAAGTCATTCTCACTAATGACAAATGTTGGTAGTGTGTCAAGCAGATAGCAGACAGCTTGATTTCTCTGCTGAGCCTGTAGGGAGAAAGATGCAAAAATCTTATGTAGTCTCCTAAATTAAGCAAACATGACAGCTGTAGAAGCACAAACATAAAGCGATAGCTAAATATGACAGTCGGCACTTCGCCATGGTAGGTCTGCCCTCTTGCCTTTTATTGCTTGTGGCCACTACATCAAAGAAATATTAGTATTTTGGAGTTTGTTTCCCTTTATACTAGTCATCTGTTGAATAAATACATTTTTCAAAGACGGAATGTTGCCATTTTTAACCGATCACCTCAAATAACCTTGTGTGTCATAAATACAGCTGCTGCTTCATCGATTGGCAAGATCAGGTATTATGCAAATCCATGCAAAACTCCACTCTTCCTGTCTGATCATGAGGTGATGTCCATCTGCTACGGCACTTAAAAGAGTTTTATCAGCTGAGCAGATAACCTGTTTTACTGTTGGAGTTGCCAATTGTCCTGAAGTGGTGAAACGAAGATTAATGCCTAGTGCTTTTAAAAAATGGATTGGACTTTCTAGAAAGAAGAAGGAGTCCTTTGCAATTATTGGTGCAATTTTTAGAATCCTGGTTGCTTTGGCTTACCTGTAATCTCCTTTTGTGCCGAGTACCTTTACATGTACTCGGCCAATATTAATTAGTTTATAATTGGCAGCACAGTTGCATTTAGTCTCGGAAAAGATAAGGTGATATATTTGGATCTGTACATGTAAGAGCCTGGAAGCTTTCAAATTTCACCGAGGTCTTTATGAGATAAAGGGCGTCTAAGTCTGAAACGATTTGGAGATCAAGGTTACTGGGAAGGACTTCTGTCCTAAACTCTGGAGAGCTGCTGTCTGCTAGTATACAATACTGAGTTAGATGGACAAGTGACCTGATGTGGTGTAAGATAGCTTCCTATGTTTCTAATGCCCAGGACAATTTTTGTGCTTTACTACTTGCAAGGCTGTCATCCAGAGTTGAGCATTTCCCGATGGCCCAGGCCTTTAGGAACAGCCCATCACTGATCCAAAATGTTGGCTGGAGCCCAGACAGATGTGGCTGATGCTAGCAGCTGCCATTTTTTATTTCCCCACAATACCTCGTTGGCATTCTTTAGGAGTGATATGGCCTCGGGGCTCCAGAAGTATTGTGAGGAAATGGCAGGCGCCAGCAGTAATGTTGGCTGGCTAGACTGACTGCTTTTCTTTTTGCTGTTTTTGCTGCTACCTTTGGCTGTCACCGCTGTAGCAAAGGTGAAAACATCAACAAAGCCCTGCCAGGGCACACATACTAGTCACATCCACGGTAAGAGGAGAGATGCCCACCCTGAAGCTGCCAAGTGCCCTGACAAACCTGGCACCGGTCTTGACTTCAGGATCAAGCTTAACAGTATGTTGATCAGCAAGAGATCAGCTGGACATTATTTTTTATGTCCTGCTCTTCGCTTACATGTTAGAACTAGTAAATATCCTCAATGCAGAGGATTAAGTAAAGGAGCCATCCTTCAGATGCGAGGCCACATATTTTGTTTTAAGAGAAATTTCACAACTTAATCCAGTTAGGAAGGGAGACAGGGAACTAAGTTGCTTTTAAGTATGAAGATCCCAAACTATTGTTTATTAGATAGAACAGTGCCATTCTGTACATATTTAAAGAGACATTTCCAGAATATTATAGGGTAAAAAATAATTCATAGGAGGCCACAAATTTTGACGCTGCTTACTAGACGGCTACAGTCTGGTATCACCTACTGACTTCTGCCATATGCAGGAGACTTCAGACTGAGGGTGTTTCCTAGCATATTGGACTTTAGAGCAGGCCAATCTCCATGCAGTTGGGTGGAAGAGAGCTTCTTGTTGAGTTTTGGAGCATGCAGAAGCAGTTTGCATTGCTTTTGCCTGCTTCAGAGCTCTGCATGGTATAAGAAGACCCCTTCCTCAAAGAGGCTTCTCACGTCGTGCTGAGCAGGGACTGTCACCAGGGAAGGAGGGATGCTAGCTGATGTCAAGCAGGTAAATGGATTTTTTAAAGAGTATGTACACACATTTTTATTTTTTAAAATTTATTTATTTGAATTTTCAACTTAAAATTTTACAGAGATATATCAAACATAGATCATAAAAACAAGACTCCAAGGAATCTCCTGGACTTCCATCCTCCCCTATTTGGGTCCTATTATTAATCAGTTCCTCCCACATCTTTTATGATAATCCAAACCCTTTACTTCTTCCATTGTGTCCAGAATCAACCTTAAACTACAAGTGCTATTCCAGTCCTACTAACGATCTTAACTGTTTACAGTGGTCTTTAAGATAAGTTCTAAATCAGGCTTCCTCAACCTCGGCCCTCCAGATGTTTCTGGCCTACAACTCCCATGATCCCTAGCAAGCAGGACCAGTGGTCAGGGATGCTGGGAACTGTAGTCTCAAAACATCTGGAGGGGCGAGGTTGAGGAAGCCTGTTATAAATTTTCCCCATTCCTTATTAAAATTTTGGTCTTCCTGATTTCCAGTCATTTTAGCCATTTCAGCATAGTCCATTAACTTCTGTGCAGCCATCTACACACATTTTTAAGAGTATTCATTATTTGTCTAGTATTTCATAACATGGCAATAATACTGCAGGTCACGTTTGTATATATTGTTCCACATGGAGTACTGAATGGCCTTGGGGCTGCTTTGACTGACCTGGTGTCTCCACCAATAAAGCCACTGTTTTCTGGTGGTGACTCGTGATTGCACTGACACATTTCCCCTCTGCCATTGCACTCATGTATGTCTTTGCTAGGAAGCAGCTGCTGTGTTTTATGAACATCCTGCTCAGACATTACTTCCTTTGCACAGCTGTGCCCTAAAGCTGCTCTTTCTGGAATGGTTTCTCCGTGAATCAGATCTGGGTGAAAGTGACAAAGTAGTCTGTTTTGATTAGGATTTGAATTTCGCAACCTTTATTATTATTTTGTAGAATTTTTTTATTAGTTTTCAATTACATTCCAATAGTAGCCTCATTATAACAATGCAAATTTATAATACAATTATTAATACCAATCATTCAAATACCAATTAATATAATTTAATTAAAGTGGCCCCGTGTGCTAGATTTGATGGCTTTCTGGTTTTCTTTATTTCTGCATTCCAAAATCTTACTAGTTTCAGTTATATCCCAGTCATAATAATAATCCCTTATACAACAACTGCAATATTAATAACTTATTTGTGTTGACATATTAAGTGATTTATAAAATGTAAAATGAGGGACTCAAACTTTATCATTGTTCTTTCCTGTATGTAGCAATTATTCTGGCTGTGATGTTTCTTCCTGTCCTTGTAAGATGTTATGTCTTTCTCCTGATTGTTGCTGTTATCCATCATGCTTTGGGCGGAGCTGATGTCCCATTGTTGTTCCAGAACTTTCTCCATCACTCCATCCCATGCTTTGTTGTTTTGCACCAAGAACTTTTAACAATAGCTGCAAAAGTCACTCTGTCCCAGTAAATAAACTGTTGTCACCATTTCCCCCCCTCAGCCTGGAAGGAAGTGCGGTCTGTCAAACTACAGATGACTCAGTAAGAAACCTTTATCAGTTCCTTGGCAGCACACAGACTCCTTTCATCCTTCCAGCTGGATATATATGGCCAATTGTCCTTCCAATTAAATTAAATTCCAAGTCCTTTAGCGTTATTCAGTTCATTTCATAGATAATAAAGGATGGGAAAGAATCAGCTCTTAAGTTTCCCTTCCTTTTTCTCTTCTTTACACACACAGTTCCGTTTGATGTTATAATCCATATTTTTAATTCAATTTCTTCCATCCTCACTTGTACAAGTATAATTTGAACTAACATTCAGGGGAGGGTTGCCAAATCATAAGTATAGAGAGGAAACCAAACTGTAGGCTCCACTGCCCCCCACCGTCTTTTGCACTGAACGTAGTCTTCTCTCAAATTCAAACCTTAACGACCTTGCAGTTGGTTCTGTTCCGCAATTTGTGATCTCAGCTCTTCTAGCACGCGCCTGTACTTTAGTCCAATTAAGCTCTAATTAACAGGAGAACCTCTGCTTCTTAATGGCAGCGTAGGATGCTAAAGTGAGGTTAAGCAAACAGCTTCCAGTCTCCTCATGGAGCCACTGGAGGACAAGGGGGCATGGCCAAACATAAGGCTCACCTAGGCTCATTCTCATAACAGTAAACCATAGTTTATTATTATGTCTCTTTGATTGAGGAGGGGCAGAATTGGTTTAATAGAACTATTTTATGTGGATTAACCTTGAAGTTAAATTGGGGCTCGATCGGTAACAGCACTTAAGCTTGTTAGATAAGCAGTCCTTTAAAAGTCCCCTCCTGCGTCTTATTCCCCACACCTTGTGTTTTCTCACTGTTTTTACATTGTAACCTGGCCATTAATGCCCTGAAGAATTCAGCTACCAGTACTGCGCAGGATGAAGAAGATAGAATATAATCTATTTTGTCCACCTCTGTTACAGAATATTCACTCTGCAGCAAATAGCATGTTTGTTGTGATTCCATGTTTACAGCAACGTTCCTTTTTTGGCTAATGTTCCTGCAGATGATATAAAGATCAGCATCATAATTTTATTTTATTTTTTGTCAACTGCACTGAATTTGCTCATTCTAATGGGATAGTTTGGTAGTTAGAGGCTGTCCATAAATACTTCTTGTCTTGCTGAACTAGCTCTTTGTGGGCTGACGTCAGCTGAAAATCTAGTTACTGATTCAGTCTGACCAAACACCTGTCATTGGAAGAGAACTTATTTTCTCTGAAACACACAGAAAGGCTGAAATAGCTCGTGAAGTTGAGTGCAAATCTGTTTGATACCAGAGTACAAAACTGGCATTAAATCATGTCCTGTTTTATTTTAGGCTGTTCTGGAGACTATAAGGAATCTGATGAACACTGACTGTGTGGTTCCTGATTGGTTACATGACATTATCCTCGGTTATGGAGACCCAAGTAGTGCTCACTATTCAAAAATGCCAAATCAGATCGCATCCCTGGATTTTAATGATACTTTCCTCTCCATTGATCATTTAAGAGCCAGCTTTCCTGGATACAGCATTAAAGTTACAGTTGAAGACCCTGCAATGCAGATTCCTCCATTCAGGTGAATTAAGAAACACCACCGCTCAAATACTGCTCATGTTCATTCCAAGTCAGGCCTGCTCCCATCTGATTCTCATTTTCTTATGCATGGGCATGCCTGCCATAGAAAAGCATGCTAATGGTGGACAGCTTACGTTTCTGTGGAATTTGCATGTGTTGCACTGTGGGAGAACCACACAGAATTTTCCAGAAGGGCTCTTTCACACTGCTAATTCATAAGGTGCCATCTTCTGTTTGACTGAATTCCTGACTTTGGTAGCTTTACAACAGTGTTACCAAAACTTGGGTCTCTTGCTATTTTTCTACTACAGTTCCCATCATCCCTGACCACTGATCCTGCTAGCCATGGATGATGCGAGTTTTAGTCCAAAAACAGCTGGGGACCCAAGTTTGGGAAACGCTGTAAAGCAGTGTTCCTTCCATCTTCCATCTCTTCCCTCATGATTTTAGGAATGCTGTTTAACAGCAATTTCCTTCTTTGCAATTTTTAATGTATTGTACAGTGGTACCTCGGGTTACATATGCCTCAGGTTACATACGCTTCAGGTTACAGACTCCGCTAACCCAAAAATATTACCTCTGGTTAAGAACTTTGCTTCAGGATGAGAACAGAAATTGTGTAGCGGCAGCACAGCGGCAGCAGGAGGCCCCATTAGCTAAAGTGGTGCTTCAGGTTAAGAACAGTTTCAGGTTAAGAGCGGACCTCCAGAACGAATTAAGTTCTTAACCTGAGGTACCACTGTATGTAGTCTCTGTTCTTATTTTTTTGCCTTTGTCTCATGGCTCTAGAAATCTACTTTATTGATATCTTGATGCCTGTCCTGCCAGTGCCTGCAGCAACTGCTGTCCTGTATATCAAATGGTCTCCTTATCTAGTCTCTCTCCTAAAAAACAACAACTCTTAAATTAAGAAAAGGAAAGCACACACACCATACTGTGTTCTCATGGGTTTCAGTCATCTCAGATTTAATCTTCCCTGCCTCATGCTGTCATCTTCATTTTGTTATAAAGGTCAAGGTTTGAGGGTACCGGGGCTAGCTAGTCTGTGGCGGAAAATAGTTCATTGGAAGAACAGTCTCATGTAAGAAATAACATGAAGCTGAAGAACAATGATTTCCCTCAATAGGATAACATTTCCAGTCAGAAGTGAAGCAGGAAAGAAACGGAAAGAGTGTGATGAAGAAAAAGCTGATGGCTCAAAAACATTGATTGTTGAGCCCCATGTCATCCCCAACAGAGGACCTTACCCATATAATCAACCCAAACGGTAATATCCATGTACATCTTTCTAAAGGGATCAGTGTTGAGCGCATTTCCGTTACAAAATGTCTGTCAGTGAAATAGTTTTTTAAAACATGAAATCATGTTTATAGGTTTGGATTTGCTTTCTCTGTAAGTTGTTCTTTCCATATGTTTCAGATGTCATTATTTAGTTTATAAATATATATATATTCAGATGAGAAGAATCATTTTCTTGAGGTAATTGTCAAGTGGGTTATCACAATTTACTGCTTACAGAGTATTAAAGTGATCTTCAGATGTGCAAATCATATTTATACAGCTAAGTCAGTTTTGTTGGTAAAGAGTATGTTCTTATCATTGTTGCATTGTTGAGTGAGCAGCTCCTCAACATATTGTTGGTGTATTTTTGTTTTGTATGGAGTCATGCATGTTAAAATGACATTTAGCAGTAAGTATCTAGTCCTTTCAAGCTCAGTGATAAAATATGACTTCTGACGTTGATCAAATTAGCTGTTTTGGTCAATGGCTTTGCAATATCTAAATTACACGTGATGAACCGTCACTTAAAAGTTTCAGAACAGTCATGTAATGACTTGGAGTACTGTAGTGTTATCTCAGCCCTAAAGGCAGAAATTGATTTCTCTTGATATTTGTGAATTCCTTCATCTACCCAAATAATGTAAAAAGCATATTTTATTTAAACAAGTTCAGGTCTCCTTGACTGCAAAGAAAAATAACATGAAGGAAAATATTCATGAAGACTATATTGAATAAATTCATATAACTTCAGTTTATTGTCTCATGCTCTGGATTAACTAAATTTACTTTAATTCAATTTTCAGCAATACAATTCAGTTTACCCATACACAGATTGAAGCTATACGTGCAGGAATGCAACCTGGATTGACAATGGTAATGATGCATATTATTACATGTTTCCTCTTTTATTAACAAATTATGCTTTTAAATATTGGCTAATCTCTGAAGTACATGCAATTCTTATTTCTTCTGCCCACTGTGTAAAATTAAATGGTGCCAAAAGCTCGGTGTGCTCCTTAACGTTGAGTAGGTTTGTATTTTTCACTAGACACTTAAAGTGGGGAAGGAGAGGGGTGAAATGGAATTTTTCTCATAAAAAAAATAAAGCTTTACCAGCTGACCAAAACATTTCCTTTGACTGGAAATTTTTGTTCAATTTGTGGCGGAGCCGATATGAGTTTCAGTAACCAGAGTAATAGCTTTATTAGTAATCAGTAATCAGAGCACAGGCTGCCCCGACCTTAAATGACCTGACCTAACCCCGCCCGTGTCGCCAGTCGATTGGCTGGCGTGGTAAGAGATAATCCCCGTGATTCCCAAGTCCCGCGGGGCTGAGCTAGCCCCGCAAGGTTGTAGATGGGGCGTGAGCCCGCAAACCCCCCCCCTTATGTCGGGAGTGGCTTAATCAGAGTAATAGCTTTATTAGATCAAAAGCATTTTTAATGGCTTTTATGGGAGCAAATTCCTCCTTTTGGTTTTTCTATGGGGTTTTCCCTTTTTGGAGATTCAGGTAATAATAATAATAATAATAATAATATAATATTTATACCCCGCCCATCAGTCTGGGTTTCCTCAGCCACTCTGGGCAGCTTCCAACAAAATATTAAAATACAATAGTCTGTTAAACATTAAAAGCTTCTCTAAACAGGGCTGCCTTCAGATGTCTTCTAAAAGTCTGGTAGTTGTTTTTCTCTTTAACATCTGGTGGGAGGGCATTCCACAGGGCGGGTGCCACTACCAAGAAGGCCCTCTGCCTGGTTCCCTGTAACTTGGCTTCTTGCAGCGAGGGAACCGCCAGAAGGCCCTCGGCGCTGGACCTCAGTGTCCGGGCAGAACGATGGGGATGGAGATGCTCCTTCAGGTATTCTGGACCGAGGCCGTTCAGGGCTTTAAAGGTCAGCACCAACACTTTGAATTGTGCTCTGAAACGTACTGGGAGCCAGGTTCACAATAGAACCGTTAAATCAGATGCTGGGGACCTCCAGCCTACTGGCCAAATTTGTCCTAGGAGGCTGTTTTCCCTGAGCCACACCCTGTCATATTATGCCAGCTTTTGGGCAACTAAAGACAAATGTAGAATCAGCAGTCTTAAAAGTATACTCCTGATTGTTTTTGGCTATTGGGTACACTAAGGAGTTCTGCCAATGCCTGCTGAAAGCAGGGCTTGCATGGCCCAGCCACCTGTCCAGGTGGCCCATTGGGGATGCTCAGGATCCAGCCAGCGGGCTGTATGCTGTTTGCTACCCCTGCATTAAACTCTTTAAATGTATCTTCAACATGATAATGTACACAGCCTATGCCCAGATGGCCAGGATCTACTTAATTATCATTCAGGTCCTTGGGATTCCCTTGCCAATTATTTCTTCTCACCTTCACATGCATTCACATGTATGTTTGTATTTACTCCTTACCTATGGGTAGTGTTGTTTTTTAAAAAACCACTCACAGCTCTGTTCTTGCCTAATGTATACTTTTTCAGCAGTTTGTCCCCCAATGAGAAATTCCTTTTCTTTTTGTAGGTGGTGGGGCCTCCTGGCACAGGCAAAACTGACGTGGCAGTGCAGATAATCTCTAATCTCTATCACAACTTCCCTGAACAGAGGACCCTGATCGTTACACATTCCAATCAGGTAAATGAACGTTGTGCCCTGTTATTCCTATGACTGTTCCTCACTTCAGTTTCAGAACATGTAATGCAGCTTGCAGGCAGTCCTTCAAAGAAAGAGTTTTATCTAACTAAAAGAAAAAGAAAAAGGTAAAGGACCCCGGATGGTCAAGTCCAGTCAAAGGCGACTATGGGATTGCGGTGCTCATCTCACTTTCAGGCTGGGGAAGTTGGAGTTTATCCACAGAAAGTTGTCCTGGTCATGTGGCCAGCATGACTAAACCGCTTCTGGCCCAACAGAACACTGAGACAGAAACCAGAGTGCACAGAAACGCCATTTGCCTTCCCGAAGCAGCAGTACCTATCTACTTGCACTGGCGTGCTTTCGAACTGCTAGGTTGGCAGGAACTGGGACAGAGCAACGGGAGTTCACCTCATCACAGGGATCCGAACCACCGATCTGATCGGCAAGCCCAAGAAGCTCAGTGGTTTAGACCACAGCACCACCCGCGTCCCTGCATTTACCTTTTTATCTGGGTATCCTTATGTGCCACTGTGGAATGGGAGGCTTTAGGCTCTGGTGAAGCTGAGCAAAGTCTCAGCAAGCACTGTGTGGTACTGCATTTTAGACTCAAGATTTTAGCCTCAAGACAGCATCTCCATGCCACATAGAGATGCTGCCATCGTGTTGTATGGTGTCTTCACATGTATTCTGCATCATTGACTTGGGGGAAACACACCGGGGCCCAGTTTGCATATATCACTAAGCCATAGTTTGCTTTTTAAAAAAAACAAAAAAGCAAACAAAAAAACATGAATCAACCACAAGTTGTCCCACCCCTGTGGTAAGGTGGTCAGAACAAACTGTGATAAAGTGTGCTGGTTTCACATTTAATCATTGAAACAAACCAAGGTTTGTAAGCCAACAACAACCCATGGCTTCAGCTCAGCTCATGGTTTGTTGGCAGTAAATGAACCATAGTTAAGCCACTTAGCAGGGTTCACACATAATGCCAAACCATGGTTTAATAAACCATATTGTTTTATATGATACATAATAATTACCAATAAATCACAGATCAAATAAATTGCTAAATTATGTATCTGAGTAGGCTTGCTGAAATAAATAAATAAAACAGCAGGTGTCTAAAAACAATATAGTGAGGGTACTGGCCTAATGTCAATAGGCATTAGACTAGATAGGAACATTGCTCTTTTCTAGAAGGGTTTTTATCAACAGGTTTAAATCTTATACAGCCATACCTCCGGTTGCGATTGTGATCCATACAGGAGGCACGTTTGCAACCCGCAGCGTTCGTAACCTGAAGCGCCGCATCTGTGCGTGCATGCACGCACGTGATGCGATTCAGTGCTTCCGTTCCGGTACTTCCAGGTTCGGCGCGGTCCGTAACCCGCAGCGTTCATAACCCGAGGTATGACTTTACATAGGTGTATGCTTGGCCCAGTTGGATTGAAAAAGGGGTTGGGTTCTTTGGAATCAAAAGGCAAGCTTTCCTTATGGTCCCCAGTGCAAATAGCCTCTTCATATTTGTTTCGTTTCAATTTCTACCAAAATAGGAATGGTTTTTCTAACATCCAGGGTTTCCCCGTAATAGCATCTGGATTCCTAAAATCTACTTTCCTGTTGCTCTTGTCAATCTCCAGGCCTTGAACCAGCTGTTTGAGAAAATCATGGCTCTCGACATTGATGAGCGCCACCTCCTGCGCCTTGGTCATGGGGAGGAAGCACTGGAGACAGAGAAAGATTTCAGCAGGTGAGCTGATAGCTCATAAGAAGCAGAACCATGTAAAATGTATGCACATAAGGAAGAAGGGTAGAGAAGACCTGTTAATCGTTTGTTTTTATGGGGGTGGTTTTCTGTTGGGTGGCTTGATTTCTCTGAACAGCTGAAGGGTACTTTATTTCTGAGTCCTGCAACCTGTCCAAAAGCTCCAGGAGTAATGGAAGCAGAGTGACTCCTTTAGACTGTTTCCCTTGAATATATCATATATAAGAAGGGAAGCTGCTGTGAATAATTGTAAAAAACCAAATACAAAACCATTTCACAAAAGGGATTTAATCCCCGCCCCCCCCCACCACCTTACAATAATAGAACCCAGGGTCATCCAGTGAAGCTGAATGGTGGGAGATTGAAATGAAAGAAGAAACTGTTTCACCCAATGCTTAGTTAAACTACAGAATTTGCTACCCCAAGAATGAGTGATGGTAATTGATTTGCATAGCTTTAAAAGATTAGACAAATTTATGTTGGAATTTCACTGACTACCAGTCACAATAGCTATATTGCCTCCAGCATCAGAGGCAGTGTGCTTCTATCATACCAGTTGTTGGTGATCACAACAAGCAGGAGTATGCTGTTGTACTCAAGTAGCTGGGGTAGCTCTGTTGGAAGAGCACGAGACCTTAATCTCAGAGTCATGAGTCTGAGCCCCATGTTAGGCAGAAAGATTCCTCATTGCAGGGGGTTGGACTAGATGACCCTCATTGTTTAGTCATTTAGTCGTGTCCGACTCTTCGTGACCCCATGGACCAGAGCACGCCAGGCACTCCTGTCTTCCACTTCCTCCCGCTGCTTGGTCAGACTCATGCTGGTAGCTTCAAGAACACTGTCCAACCATTTCGTCCTCTGTCGTCCCCTTCTCCTTGTGCCCTCCATCTTTCCCAGCATCAGGGTCTTTCCCAGGGAGTCTTCTCTTCTCATGAGGTGGCCAAAGTATTGGAGCCTCAGCTTCATGATCTGTCCTTCCAGTGAGCACTCAGGGCTGATTTCCTTCAGAATGGATAGGTCTGATCTTCTTGCAGTCCATGGGACTCTCAAGAGTCTCCTCCAGCACCATAATTCAAAAGCATCAATTCTTCGGCGATCAGCCTTCTTTATGGTCCAGCTCTCACTTCTATACATCACTACTGGGAAAACCATAGCTTTAACTATATGGACCTTTGTCGGCAAGGTGATGTCTCTGCTTTTTAAGATGACCCTCATGGTACCTTCCAATCCTACAGTTCTGTGATTCATGTCCCATTGTGGGCTTCCCATTGGCATCTGGTTGGCCACTATGAGAACAGGATGCTGACTTGATGGGCCTTTGGCTCTTCTTGTGTTCTTAAACTACAATGCAATGCAATGCAGCTTTGAAAACTATGAAGGAACTCCCTTGTTCAGAAGTGACTTGCCATTCACTTTGGAAGGTGGTTGTTTGTGAAACAAAAGTTCAAATCTTCCTCAGGTGCTTAACACTAATTGTGTGTTTGTGTACATGCAGCTTTTTTCACAGTCCAGAATCAAATTGGTAGTCAGCAAAACTGATTCAACCATGTACCTCATTCTTCACTGTATTAATCTGATTTGCAGGTATGGAAGAGTAAACTATGTTCTAGCACGGAGATTGGAGCTTCTGCGGGAAGTTGGCCGATTACAGGAGAGTTTGGGGGTCCCTGGTGATGTTTCCTATACTTGTGAAACAGCTGGCCACTTCTTCTTATATCAAGTAAGAAATTAAATAAAGATCAGGCGTGAACATAGCATTCTAAGGAACTTAGATGGGGAATTGGGATGAAGTTCTCAGAACTTGGACTGAAGAACCCGTTGTTTCACTCTCAAATGCAAATGGCAACTGAAGCTATAATTATGCTGTTACTTCTTTTTGTTCCTATTGTTTCCACCCTGTGTGCGATGAGTCATAATTAGAAAGGCCAATGTTCTTGCTTTGTGTGACTTTTGGCAAGGAGTCTGAACTGGCATACCCTTTCTGCCTTGATTATATATTATATAAGCAGTAACCCACCTTGAATGTTGAGAGATGCATTCTAAAAGAAAAGAAAATACTTTTTATTATTTGCAGGGAATCTCGGTGAGATGTTTCATATTTCCTAATGAAAAAAGTTATTTCAGTGTGTTTGTAGATATGTTACAATATGGACTTACAATGGTAATTTAAAATGTTGATCTTGTGTTCATAGACTAGGGTCCAGGTATGCACAAGTGGAAGGTACTTTCACATGCCCATAGTTGGTTTGCTGATTTCTGTCTTCCAGCTACATCTCCTTGGATGTCTTGAGTCCCACGCTAGAGAGGGGATACTTTAGAGCAGGCATGGCCAAACTTATTTTTGGGACTACAGTTCCCATCATCCCTGACCACTGGTCCTGTTAGCTAGGGATGATGGGAGTTGTAGTCCCAAAACATCTGGAGGGCCAAGTTTGGCCATGCCTGCTTTAGAGGTTCCAGTAGAGCATGGAGAAAAGGGCCTAGTGCTCTCCCAGTGTTCTGTGCAAAACGCTTCGGATTCTGGCCGTAGTAAATATGAGATTGCAAAATAGCAATGTTAATGTGATCACTTTTTTCCAGGTAATGTCTCGTTGGGAAGAGTATATGAGCAAAGTGAAAGTTAAAGGCAGCAAACCTTCAGATGTTGCTGATATCTGCAACTTCTTTCCTTTCCATCAGTATTTTGCAAATGCCCCTCAGCCAATTTTTAAAGGCAGATCTTACAATGAAGATATGGAAATCGCCGAAGGATGTTTTAGACATATTAAAAAGATATTCACTCAGCTCGAGGTAAGGTTTATAAGAAGTTAACTGTGGCATTCCTTTTTCTGTTATAGAGAGGGAAAGAAAGTTCTGATAATGAAATGAGTAGCGCTTCACATACTATACACACTATGTATATTGAATTTTCATAAGGTCCTGTAAATTGAAACTTGTCAAACAGTTAAATAATGTAAACTTGGAAACTTTCTTGGGGTTGCAATTCTTTGAAGAGAAATGGTTATACAAAAGATCCAGCTGCATTTGTGTGTGTTAAATTCTGTTACTATAAAGTATCCTATCAGGAGTGTTTTAATACCTGAAATGATAAGATTTAGTTTTAAAAATGTAAGTCATTGGAGATATAGCAGTATTAAAGTGGATTTTTTTTTTTACTTTGATGAGATTGTCCTAAAAAATAAAGACTATTTGAAGAATAGGGTTGAGCAAAGGGAAGATGGAGCCTAAAACAGTAATCTTGGAAATACTAAAAACCATATGCAAGAATAGAATTAACAATTGGTGGGGTGCTTGCTTCTAAAAGCAAGTATCTTTTTTCATTAAATGATTATGCTATTCAGTTAAATGAATGAAATTAGAAACATATACATAAAGTGGGCAGAGTTTAATAAGAGGCTATAACTTTTCTAAGATCCTTTTGTAAGATGTGGGTTAGAAAGCATATATCAAGCAATATTTAAATCCATTTATGATGAAATGTTACTGGAACATCCTGCATGTTTGCGTATTTTGTCTTATGTTATTATTTTCATAGGCATTCAAAAAAGCCTGTCCTGGTGGTGTTGTGAATATGATGCTTGTTTTTAATGTATCTCAAAATTAATAATAAAACCTGGGGGGGAGGGTAGAGAAAATTGATCTGCTCGTCCTTGTGCTTAGAGGTGTTTTTCTCTTGATCAGGGATCAATAGATCACTGTTGATTAGGGATTCTCCTAATTTTCCCAAATGTGCCAATTTTGAAATTCTGCATAAAGACAAATATAGAGGAAGACAGATTGGTTGTCTATGCCCATCTGTGGAACCCTGCGATTGATTTTAAATTAGGGAAGTACTTTATGCCCAAACATCTGTCTCTGACATTCAAATGAATGGGAAAATATGTGTGTGTGAGTTCCATCTGTGCTTCAGAGCACCCACAGACCCCTGGATTTTGCAACTGTTTTGTTTGGTGGCAAGTTGAAAGTCACACAGTTTTATTGTAAGCGTGAGTATTCTGCATTGTTTCACAGAAGTGTGGCTGTCAACTATTTTCTGTAGGAATTCCGAGCATTTGAACTGCTCCGCAGTGGACTGGACAGATCCAAATACCTGCTTGTGAAGGAAGCAAAGATCATTGCCATGACCTGCACGCATGCTGCTTTGAAACGCCATGACTTGGTTGAGTTGGGTTTCAAGGTAACACCACCGTGGACAAAATGCTAAGGCTTCCCTGTATAAATTGTGTGTCATCTGCTGCTGTTAGAGGGTTATAAAGGCAACAGGTAGGAGAAGGAATGCGTTGCAAATTGGCAAAAAGGATGGATGCTGGATTCAATTGGCCACAGCTTTATTTAGTTACTTAGCTATGTCATACACATAGGAACACTGTGGCAGAAGATCAGTACTATTCTACCTGATACGGACTGTGGAACTGGTTTGCCTGTCCAGCCTCTTTTGTCCCTTGGGTACCATGGCTCAAGCCTCAGCCATGAAGCTCTGTACTACACCATATGGATAGGTAAAGAGCTGGTTGTAGACCCAGAAGCCACCCAGATCTCCCGGATGTCTCACACCTTCACCATCCTGGAGGGAAACTAATTACCAGAGCAGCCCAATTCTGAAATGTTCTCTTGTGCCAAGATAACTTCTAATAGTCACCAATCTATGAGCCTGCTCCTCTCCCCTACCTACTTACTTTCAAGATCTGTTAGCAGGTACCACACACATTGTGAAGTCTAATTGCAGGCATACCAAGCCAAGAACATACATGTCAAAGACACAGAAAACTCATTCAAATGTTGGTTGTTTTCAGCATCCTGTCAGGTTTGAGCTTGGTGTAGCTTCACTATATCCTGACTAGACACGTTCATATCTTTCAGGTAGCTCTGTTTATGCAAGCAAAAAAATGAGAAACCACTACTCAGAAAGTCAAATTATACAAGTTTTGCTATAAGCAAAATACATTATGCACATACTATATTATTTAATAAATTACCAGATGCTGTGTGCACGTCGTCGTCGTTTAGTCGTGTCCGACTCTTCGTGACCCCATGGACCAGAGCACGCCAGGCACTTCTGTCCTCCACTGCCTCCCGCAGTTTGATCAAACTCATGCTGGTAGCTTCAAGAACACCATCCAACCATCTCATCCTCTGTCGTCCCCTTCTCCTTGTGCCCTCCATCTTTCCCAACATCAGGGTCTTTTCCAAGGAGTCTTCTCTTCTCATGAGGTGGCCAAAGTACTGGAGCCTCAGCTTCACGATCTGTCCTTCCAGTGAGCACTCAGGGCTGATTTCCTTCAGAATGGAGAGGTTTGATCTTCTTGCAGTCCATGGGACTCTCAAGAGTCTCCTCCAGCACCATAATTCAAAAGCATCAATTCTTCGACGATCAGCCTTCTTTATGGTCCAGCTCTCACTTCCATACATCACTACTGGGAAAACCATAGCTTTTACTATACGGACCTTTGTTGGCAAGGTGATGTCTCTACTTTTTAAGATGCTGTCTAGGTTTGTCATTGCTTTTCTCCCAAGAAGCAGGCGTCTTTTAATTTCGTGAATGCTGTCACCATCTGCAGTGATCATGGAGCCCAAGAAAGTAAAATCTCTTACTGCCTCCATTTCTTCCCCTTCTATTTGCCAGGAGGTGATGGGACCAGTGGCTATGATCTTCGTTTTTTTGATGTTGAGCTTCAGACCATATTTTGCGCTCTCCTCTTTCACCCTCAATAAAAGGTTCTTTAATTCCTCCTCACTTTCTGCCATCAAGGTTGTGTCATCTGCATATCTGAGGTTGTTGATATTTCTTCCAGCAATCTTAATTCCGGCTTCGGATTCATCCAGCCCAGCCTTTCGCATGATGAATTCTGCATATAAGTTAAATAGGCAGGGAGACAATATACTGTGTGCACACCAGTAAGCAAATGGCTTCCGATATGAACTAATCATTCCCACATTAAAACGAAAACTTAACATATTTCTCTTTGACCTCCTAGTATGATAACATCTTAATGGAAGAGGCTGCTCAGATACTGGAGATTGAAACTTTTATACCACTCCTCTTACAGGTAAGAACACTTGCAGCACCTCAGTTTATGACCATTATTTCAATGTAATTATTTTACTATTTGTACTTAAGATTGTATTGGTTAATAACATTTTTTTTTACCATGCATGAAAAAAGAAACATTCCAATTGACACTTTCGTTATGAACATTGGAAAGCCTTATGAATAAGGAACAATATCAGGAACCCAACAATGTAGCTGGGCTCATCTGGATTTAAATAAGATTTATGTCAAGAATTTGCTTTATGTAGGAATGATTTGCACAGGAAAGAAGACCACATTACTTGCTTCTTAACACACAGTGGCCATGGAAGAAAAGACTGCAAGTGACAGTGTTGTAATACAGAAGAATCTATTCTTCCTAACAGGTGTTTTTTTGCACCTCTTCATTTATGAATACAGAATAAAGATAAAGCTATACATTTTTCTAGCTTTGAAAGTAATGTTCACCATAGTACAGTAAATGTAGAGCTCAAAAATAGTGGTCACTAATAGTTCTAGCATTTCAACCCTAGCATCTTGCTTGTTTTCGATAGAATCCCCAGGATGGATTCAGTCGACTGAAGCGGTGGATTATGATTGGGGACCATCATCAGTTGCCACCAGTCATTAAAAACATGGCTTTTCAAAAATATTCGAACATGGAGCAGTCTCTTTTTACGCGCTTTGTCCGTGTGGGAGTGCCAACTGTTGACTTGGACGCTCAAGGAAGAGCAAGAGCAAGGTAAGGCAACAAGAAAATAAAAATTATAGGAGGTCTTGTATGAAGGAAAACTGTCCATACAGATATTGAAGCCTACCTTGAAGGCTATGTATGCCTAATGATTACTATAACAAGTTTTTCTTAGAGGTGGACTTTTCTCTCTTGTCAGTTTCATAACAGTAGCCACTCCACCTTTTACAGTGTTCAGATTGTAATACTAAGGTTATTGAATGAACTGAAGAAGGCAAATAAGCCTTTTCAGATCATGCATTACTTCTCTAGGCTATAATGATGGAGGAGGAGCATGCTGTGAATTGTGCTCAGTGACTCACTCAGGTGATACGTAGTGGTATCAGCAAATACAACCTAAAGTGAACATTGTTTGTAGGTGAATAATGACTATCAGTTCTGTTCCTTAAAGCCCTCTGAAACATTGAAAGGAATTTTGTATCAGTATCCAGTGGACTCAACCCATTATTGCAAAGATTTATGCTTGTGCAATGGAGCATTCTCTCCTCACCCTGAAACCTTCTGGTTTGGAGGGTCGTGTGAACCCCCCAGAACAGATTTGGGGGGGCATGGGGGAGGATAGAGTGAAAGTTCTGTTGAGCAAGCATAAATCCTTGCACTCGCACAGGGGCCAGATTTTGACCGTTGGGCAGGGTCACCCACCTATCAATCCCATGGTGTCACAAATGAAATTGAGGGATTTGGTGCCTTGAAGTCCCAAAGTCAGGACTTCAAAGCACAAACAGGCAGCAAGATGCTGCTTAAAGGAAGGTCCCCTCCTTTGTTTCAGCTGTTTCACTGCAAACCCCTTTAAGTGCTTTGAAATCTGTGTTGCATCTCATTCTGCTTATTGGTACAATTCCAAGTGCTGGCGATTACCTGTAGCAATTTAAATATTTTAGACCATAACAGGAGTCTGATAGTTCTAAATGTGTTCACCTTTGATTGTGATTCTCAATTTGCTGAATTGTTCTCCTTCCTTGCTCATTGTCCAGTAAACGTGTTTTGTAATAATGTATTTGCTTTTCATGCATGAAATTTAATTTTATAGGTGACATGGAGAATAGTAAAGGAATATATTCACTCATGTTGACAATTGACAATAATTGTCTTCAAATCTATTTCCCATAAAGCTTATGCAATCTCTACAACTGGCGTTACAAGAACCTGGGTAACTTGCCACATGTGCAGCTCTTGCCAGAATTCAGAACAGCAAATGCTGGTTTCCTGTATGACTTCCAGCTCATAAATGTAGAAGATTTCCATGGCGTAGGAGAATCTGAACCCAATCCTTACTTCTATCAGGTAAGGGGAAAACAATTCATAATAGTTTTGGTACTCACATCAGGGTGTTTACTTACTATGAAAACAGAATGCAAGTTTTAGTTTTGTAATATTAAGTTAAATTGCAAGCACTGGGCAATAGAAATCTCCCCTCCATCACTACCACCCCAGTGTACAATAAAAATATAACTTATGGGTTGCGGGTGATGGAGACCAGTTGCAGTTCGTGCCACTTGGCTGGAAGTGGGAATGTTCCTTTCTGAGAGGTATATGTAAATATGTGTGCATATACATCTGTATACTACCATAGTGTCTTAAAAAACTGTCGCTGTACAGATGCCAATAGCATTTAAATTTCCTTTTTTCGCTCTCAGGAAGTCATATCAAGGAAATGTCTTTAATAGGCAGGAGTCATGTTCTCCCAAGTGGTGGTTTTGCTCCAACCTTGCTGCATGAATATTATCTGACCAAGTGCATAAAACAAGTTCCTCTCCTTTGCAGAATCTTGGTGAGGCAGAATATGTTGTTGCCCTGTTCATGTACATGTGCCTGCTAGGATACCCTGCAGAGAAGATAAGTATCTTGACAACCTATAATGGCCAGAAACACCTCATTCGGGATATTATTAATCAGCGTTGTGGGAATAACCCGATGATTGGAAGACCAAACAAGGTAATATTCCAGATACTATTCACTTGCATCTTCCTTCCTTCCTTCCTTCCTTTCATATATTTATAAACAAACCTACTAGTAGGATTTTAAGTTTGTTCACTGGTTGAGTTGATTGCTGCCTGTGGATTGGATGCCACTATGTCATTTGTTGTTTTTCCTGTCTAATGTTGAGCCTAAAAAGCAAATTAGGCACAGAGATTCTAGCTGGTGAATTGCAGGAGATAATATAGCAAATTATAATTAGATGTCAGATTTATATGCAAATGGATTTTTGAGTCATTAGTTCACAAAAGGCATAGCTTTGTATCTTGAAGGAGAATATTTTAATTATTCAAGACTTGTTCAAAAGCAAAAATAAGCCCGGAAATAGAGCACAAGATGTTATAATGGCTAATTACATTGCATAGGCTTTTGCCAAGGTTTGCCCCATAGCGGTATTTATAAGCAACATCAATTAAGATTAGGAAAACTGTAACCATTAGTAGCTACATTTCAGGAATCACATTACTATGCAAGAACATGATATACGGCGCCTCTTAAATTTTGCACAGATGTTTTTTGATGAAAACATTAAATTTTAAATAAGCGAAGTATGCATTTTCTTTGTATTCCGAAAACACTGTAGTTAAGGCACACATCTCTGGTTTTAGTGCATATTTCATCATTTTTATTGCATAAATGGCCTTTGGTGCATATATTACAGGAATAAAACAGTACCAGGTACTGCATATGTCACCAACTAAAAGCTCCAGTTTTACAGGCTTAGTTTTGGAAACATTGGATCTAACAATGGTGACAGTGTTCTCAAGCAACCCTCTGATCCCCAGGAAGGCTACTGAAAGACTATAGGATGCTGTGGACCTCCCTCTGCACATGCTTTCTGGTAATATGTTGTGGTTCGAGAATCCGCAGGAACCACAGCCTCCTTGATTCCCAGACATGCACATTTGTTTATTCATAAATCTTTTACATCCCATTTCCTCATTAATATGTGGATTTTTAAAATAAACAAGATTTGTATTGAAGTACATACTTAAATATGTATTTTGTCCCAGTGTACACATTTCTTGAGGAATCTATCCCAAAATAGACATTTTGGAAAAATTCAGAAAAGTGAGAAATCCAAAGGATAATTCCATTCTAATTTGTATCTTAGTCTGGGAGGTATAAGTCAGGTGAGTTTGCTTAAAAATGCACACGAACAAAATTTTCCTCCATCCCTAACTCAGAAGCTGTGTTTGTGCCTGCACAGTCATCCGGATTTCTCCGATTATGTCTACGAGTTTCCATTACGAAGACGGGTGTTTTCCCTGTTGCCCCGTTCCTGTTTGCAATGGAGTAAATTTCCACCATCTTTTCAGAAAGAAGCCTTTCAGCTTAGCACCAAAAGGCCAGCTTGCTTTCACTAGCCTACGAAGCTGTACTTCATAGTTAATTTTCCAAATGTTCTTTGGAAATCTCAGTGAGATGCCAGTGAATTAACACTCTCCATGTTTCTGCTAGGTGACAACTGTGGACCGGTTTCAAGGTCAGCAAAATGATTATATCATCCTTTCACTTGTGCGAACTAAAGCGGTTGGCCACTTGAGGTAAGTAATAACGTATCTTTGCAAAGGGCAGAGTCCAAGTAGTGTCGTGCGGTAGTCATAAAGATGGCTTGGGCAGAGCTCAGTAGAGCCTTGTTTATCTCTCACCCATTCATTACTCAGAATGTATTTTCCTGCATGTAGAATCCTCCAAACTGCATCCGCTACATTTGTGAGTTGTGATAAATTTAATTGGGTATCATTGGTGCTAAACCTCAACTGGAATTAACTCTTGCAAAGATGACTGATCAACCTACGCCTTAGTGAGATGTGGATCACGATAATCCCCATAACAGTAAATTATCATTCCTGTGGTATTTGAATTTGCATACAGACCCGCAAGTAATAATTGGAGTTGTTGATATTGTATCTAAAAGGTGAGGTCATTGTGATCAGTGGCATCTCCAGAGCTTCGTAGGAGAAAGGGTGCAGTGGTGGGGAGGCAGACCATTAAGTACCTTTAACAGTTGAAGAGGAAATAAAATGTTTTGCAGGTTTTCCTATGTCAGATCAAACTGCAACCTAATGGTGCTTAAAATATTATCCCCATGACCTCAGGAGTAGAGCACAAGCCATGCATGCAGGAGATCCTAGCTTTAATTCTCAGTATTCGGGTAGTTCTGCAAAGTTTGTGGCAATTGTAGTTGATTCTAACAGTGTGTCAATTTCATTCTTATTTCTTGAAGGGATGTTCGGCGTTTGGTGGTTGCTATGTCAAGAGCAAGACTTGGGCTTTATATTTTTGCCCGAGTATCGCTATTCCAGAACTGTTTTGAGCTGACTCCAGCTTTCAGCCAGCTCACTGCTCGCCCTCTTCAACTGCATATAATCCCTACGGAGTATTTTCCAGCAGCCCGGCAGGTATGGAGAGCTGTCTTGAATTACATAAATACAGTCCGATTGAAACAGTGGGTTGTATCCAAGTAGAGTTGCACTCACACAACAAGACTCCCCCTTCTTCTGCTCCCACCGTGCACCCACAAAATCTCCAATCCTTTGGAGCAATTTTTGAGCATGCACCGGTGGCGGGAGGGGGAGGAGAAAAAGATGAATTTTCATTGCACAAGTGGAAGTCTGGTTGTCTGAGCAGCACAGGGGGTTGCATGCTACCAAAGGAGTATAGCTCAGTGGTAGAGCATGTGCTTTGCATGCAGATCACGTTTCATTGTTCAGCTATCTTCTTCTTTTTTCATCTTTTGAATGTGTTTGAATACCTGTTCTTAACTTCTTCAGGAGTTTTAATAGTTTGTTTTATATTTTTGTGAACTGCTTAGAGGTTTTCTTACAGTTAAGTGGTATATATATTTTTATTAAGTAAGGTAGGGCTAGGAATGCCTGTTGCCTAAACTCATAGGGATCAGTGTAAACAATCCTGAGCTAGATGGACCAGTGGTCTCCCTCAGTATAAGGGAGCTTTGCCTTTTCCTTCCTAAGGCATAAGTTTTATTGGTTGGATTTTGAATATTTTATCTTACTACAAAAGTGCTCTTATGTTCATTTTTTTTGCTTTAAATATCTCAATAGTACTTTTCCCCCTCCTCTAGAATGGAGAACACCCATCTCACCAAGTCCATGTTATAAAGAATATGCCTCAGATGGCCAACTTTGTGTACAACATGTATATGCACATGATACAGAATACACGCCAGCACAGACAGGTAAATATTACTGAGAGTTGAGAAAACGTACTTTTTAAAATTGGGAATGCTTTGAGTGAAAGCACTCTTAATAAATCTTTGATAAGAAGTAAGTTAGTAAACGTCTGACCTCTTCCTTTGAGCTTGCAATAGCAGTGTTTCTGAAATCTGTCATACAATTGGTTTCATACCTTCAGCATTAATTTGAGTCTTCATGAAGCATAACAATTTCAAACCTATTTTTATAAAACAGGATGATAAGGCCTTACCACTGCCTTGATGTCCTCATGTTTAGCAAAACAAAAAAATTCATTTGGAAGTCTGGCTGATTATGTTGATATAAATCTGGATAGTTTTTTGAGGTGGGGGGCAGTCTTAAAATATTCTCTTGGGAGAAAAATAAACCACTTGATGCCATTGAACATCCTGTGACATGAAAAACACCTTTTGCATATTGGTCCTACTGTTCTGCTAGAACAAGCTTGTTGATGTGAACAGGAGTTGCACTGGCTACATTCCCTGAAAAACAGTCTGCATGCTCAGTTTATGTTCGAACACTTACAGGCTATAGTGCAATGACTGGATAACCTTGTAAGTCCATAACTCATGCAGACTTGCAGCAAATGCTCTGGTATGTATTCTCTGTAGCACTACTGAGATGTTATTTTTAACATCACATTAGTCCATACTTACAAAAAGAATCGAATAACCGTTATCATGCATGGATACCAGCTGCATCGCAGAAGGAGTCTCATTTTGTATCCGGCAGCATGAAATATATATTTTTCCAGGGACAAAGGAATCCCTTATTTGAGAGATTCAGCTTTCCTTAATCCCTATAATTAGTCTCCCCAAAATAGCATTTTGGCCACATATTAAGAGATCCAGATATAGTAATTTCAAAGTTTGAGTGTCGTTCTTGAAATCTCTCCTCTCCATGACATGGCTGTCAGAAACATGAGTTAATAGCAGATGCAATTTCAGTTTAATAGTGTGCGGAAATGCTAGTGTGAAAGAGCTCATTGGAACAATGAAATGGAATAGTGGAAGAGATGTGGAGGAAGGTGGGTGGGGTTCTCTGCTATCTTTCCAGAGTTGGAAATGGATTTTTTTATTTTAAAAAGTTCCATTGTTATTTCATAAATACATACAACACATATACCACAATCCAGACAAACAACAATAACAGTGTTTTAATACTAGAATTCTACTGGATATGTCTGGTCTTAGTTGGCCAGAGCAATTCTAACTCAAATTTATACCAGGGTCAGGGGATAAGACCCTGGCGATCAGCCTACAGAATGAGTGTCACATCCACTGCCATGCTGTTTCATTGTGGCACCATTTTTCTTTTGACTACTGTGAGAAAATTAGTTGTGCCAACTCCAGAGCTAGCAGAGAGCTGTGACATTTTTGTGAGGGTTTTGGGGAGATGAGCAGACTTTGGACGTGGGTTATCCACACATGCACTTTACCCCTCCCCTTCTGCCAGCAGAACATCTCTGTTTATGTTCTGCTGCCATACCTCCATCTCGTACAACAGAACAACACTCATACAACTTCCCTTGGCATCTCAGGTCGCTTTACATTGCTCCATAGGTCAACAAACCCAATAAACATTGACATTTTCTTCCCAGTGCTAGTAGAGCCTGTTCAAATGTTATATTGCCTTGTACCTTGAGCAGCAACTCGGGAGTCAGCCACTGTTTCCCCCCCCACCTGTCCTTTGATCCCTGTATTGTCATTAGAATGTAACATCTGAAGCAAGAGTCTCAAATGGAATTTCTTGGTTTGAATGCTACTTCCGACATATAATGAAAGGAGGCGGCAGGAACTGTGAACTCCAGGACTTTCCCCCAGTCAGTGTACTGATGGAAGGGGGAGGGTTAACATCTCTGGAGTCTCACAGTGGTGGGATTCCTGCTGCAAAAGCACAATTCAGGGAGAAAGTCTAACTCAGTGGGAGATATGTAAACTCTCAGGCCATGCATTCTCTTCACAAAAGTACTATAAGTAAAATAAAATTACATAATTCTTTACACCATTCTCATCCCCCACATAAAGTCATGGATTTGTAGAATTGGAAGGTACCCCAAGTGTCATGTAGTAGTCCACACCCTGCAATGTTGGAATCGCAACTAAAGCATCCATGACAGATGGCCACCCAACCTCTGCTAAAAAATCTCCAAGTAAGGAGGTTTCCCAAAGGAGTCCATTCCACTGTCGAACAGCTCTTACTGTCAGAAAGTTATTCCTGATGTTTAGCCAGAATCTCCTTTCTTGTAAATTGAAGCCATTGGTTCAGAACATACCCTCTGGAGCAGGAGAAAACAAGCATGCTCCCTCCTCCATGTGACAGCCCTTAAGATATTTGAATGTGGCTATCATATCTCCTCTTTACCTGGCTAAACATACCCAATTCCCTTATAAGATTTGATTTCCAGACTGCTTATAATATTGGTCGCCCTCCTCTGCACATGTTCCAGCTTGTCAATATCCTTCTTCATTGTAGTACCCAGAAATGAACACAGTACTATGGGCATGGTTTGACCAAGGCAAAATAGAGCAGGAGTATTACTCAATCAAGACACTATACTTCTGTTGATACAGCCTAGAATAACATTAACTTGTATTTTTGCTGCTGCATCACACTATTGACATGTTAAGCTTGTGATCTACTAAGACCCCTGGATCCTGTGCAGCTGGTTCTTCCTGCCTAAGTGCAGAGCCTTACATTTGTCCCTATTGAAATTCATTTTGTTAGTTTTGACCCAGTTCTCAAATCTGTTAAACTAATACTGAATCCCGATTCTGTCTACTGCGGCATTAGCTACCCATCCCAGTTTGGCGTCATCTGAAAATCTGATGATTTCTTTATCAAAGTCATTTATTAAAATGCTGAACAGCAATAGGCCCAGGACAGAACCCTGCAGCACCCCACTTGTCACTTCTTCCTAGTATGATGAGAAACCATTAGTGAATACTCTTTTGGTTTGGTCAGTCAACCAGCTACAAATCCATGTAACAGTTTCTTTTCCAGCCCACATTTTACCAGCTTCTCTGCAAGAATATCATGGGGGACTTTGTCAAAAGCCTTAAGGAAATCAAGAAACACTATGTCCACAGCATTCACCTGACCCACCAAGCTTGTAACTCAATCAAAAAAGAAATGAGACTTGGTTTTTTAGAAACCCATGCTGAGTCTTCGTAATCACAGCATCTTTCCTTTCTAAGTGCTCACAAACCAACCATTTAATTATCCATTCTAGGACCGGTCAGTAGTTACCTAGGTGTTCTTTCTCCCCCCCCCCCACTTTTTTTTTTAAAGATGGGGACAACATTTTCCCACCTCCAGACTGCAGGGACATCACCTGTTCTCCAAGAATTCTTAAATATTCCTTTATAAGACTTCTGTGAATCACCTCATTTGTAGCTAGCCTTTTTGAAATTGCATCTCTCACTTGTAGAATCTCACGTCAAATAATACTTTATTTGTTGTTTAGTCGTTTAGTCATGTCTGACTCTTCGTGACCCCATGGACCAGAGCACGCCAGGCACTCCTGTCTTCCACTGCCTCCCGCAGTTTGGTCAGACTCATGTTTGTAGCGTCGAGAACACTGTCCAACCATCTCGTCCTCTGTCGTCCCCTTCTCCTTGTGCCCTCCATCTTTCCCAACATCAGGGTCTTTTCCAGGGAGTCTTCTAATACTTTATTACATATCTTATAACCAATGACAGTACGCTATTAAGTAAATTAATTGTAATTACAGTCAGCAAGCTGTACACATGGAATTCCTGAGCAGCAACACCTGTATTCACATGCTAGTACATTATTGAATTGTATTGAAGTCTTATTTAGGATGCCTAGGTTGTCCTGAATTGCATTCAAATATGGGTCTGTTTATAAAACAAAAAGCAGGCATTTTCATAATGAATTGTTTAATTTTCTTACTAGCAAAACTTGCTGCCTCCTCCAACACTTGTTGAAGAAATCGAAACACTTCAATCTCAGGAAAGTGAAGAAGGTCAGAGCAAAGATCTTGAAATGGAAACAGAAACTGAAGTCAAACCCACACCAATGGAAACTGCAGAAGAGAAAGTTTTGAATGAGAAACAAAAGGTAGCAGAGGAAATTGAGGAGGAGCATCGGAAAATGCCTGAGCATCCTGGAAGAGACAGTGATAGTGAAGACAGTGAAACTGAAGATGGCACAGAGAAATGAACTTTTCTTTTTCAAGCGGACACACAGAGATGACTAATCATATGTATATCCACGAAACATGTTAGTCGGTAAAACAAGCAACTGTTAACCACGAGTAAATATTAATGATACTTTTAAGTATCGTTTATGACTAACATATCGTTAGCAAAGGAGGTTTTTTTTACTTGTATTGTGTATTTAGTAAAGTGGAGTTTTTTTTTATCAATCCTTTGTGTAACTCCCCTTTTTTGATACTATAAAGTTCAATTTGGAGAGATTTCCAGTCAAGTATTTTCTTTAATCAAATACAATGTAGATAGCTGGGGTGAGCATAGACCACAATATTTGGTCCTTATCCTGATTTGAAGCTTTGGAAAAGAACACTCAGAGATTGTACAACTTAGCTCAGGGTTGCCCCATTTTTCTGCTAGTAATGGAGTCTTTTATTTGGAAAAGCTTGCGGTCATGTCCTGTATAGTATTTGCATCTGAAGTGGTACACCCCAGGAAGTTTTATCACATGATCTGTTTATAATCGAAGACATATTAATTGTTTCTTTAGCTTGAGGGGGAGATGACGTTATAAGAACATAAACCCTGTTGGGTAAGGCTCTTGGCCCATCCAGTCCAGCATCTTGCCAGCCATAAGTTCATAGTTATATGCTTTAGTGACTCAGAGCTATTAAAAAACAACAACACTATTTGCAGTTTTTTATTGGATTTTCTAGATAGCTGGTGATAGTTCTGCTACATCAAAAGAAAACTAAACAAAAATCCAAAATCTAATAATTACATTTGCCTTGTGAGGTTCATGACTATTGACAACATGGTGTCTTGCAACACTTTGGTTTGTAGCTAGCGGGACTAACAGTAGAATAAATGTGAAAAAAGCAAATATGCCTTTGATTTTGATTTCACAGGCAAAATGTTAAATAGATCAGTAAAATTCTACCAGAGTAGGTGTTCTAGAATCATTTTCGATTGAACATCCATCTTTAAATTTCCAATTTTACAACAGAGAGAAATCATCTTGGCAGATCATTTTACATCTATAAATCCTCTGGACAAGCAGTATGTTTCAAAGTTAACTATCACCTGAATTTCACGTTCTTTGCTGCCAATGTTGTATATTTGCTTGTAAAGTTGCCAATAGGATTGCTTTACAAAAAGATATAGATCATTAAAATAGCATTCAATCCTCAAGCTATATTAGATATATTCCATTAGCCTTGCCTCTGGTGGTGCAGTTTATCCGCATACAAAAATAAGCATAATATTTTCCCCCCTCACAACATCAGATATAGGATAGAGATATCTTCAGCTAATGAGAATCAATTTGTTCTCAGTCTTCCTTGCATTGTAAATTGCACAGAATCTACACTTGCTAATTTAGACACTTATTCATTTACATTCTTGAATTGCCTTCCCAGAAGAAAATAAAATTGCTTTGGAAATATGTGGTTCCATAAGTTCCACCATGCACAAAAATAAACTGCAGCTTTTTAACCTGTCACTGAGATAGACCTAATGGTGCACAGCTTAGAGACACTGTGATACAGTTTCATAAACTAACATTCATATGTTTAATCAGGGATGAATGGTACAAGGCCTTCAGGCAACATGTGACCAGCTCAGCTAAGGATCGTCTGCTTTCTAACCTATTTTCTAAAAATATTCTAGTATCTAACAACTTATTTCTGCTGGTTTTTTTTTTTATAAATCCCAACACTGGCAGGAACAGCTGCTGGTAGTTTGTATGTATTTAATGAAGCAACTTCAGATATTTTTGCTCATACTTTAACCTGGTGCCGGGATAAGAGTCTCAATAGCAAGAGTACATGGCCCAAATGAATGCAATAAGCAACTGGTGATATTTTGCAGATTCCTTTGGCAAGTGGTACCTCTTAAAGTGTGGGAGCCAGCTCTTGGACATGTTTTGGGGACACTGAGCTGTGTGAAGGTGCCTGCACTGGCATTTGTCAAGCTGGTAAAGTGGGCATAACTTGTGAGGGATATGGGAAAAGTGCCCAGAGACACCACTTGGAAACAGGAAATTTTATTAAGTGTTTTATAGGTACATCATCTGCTATATAGAATATCCAAAGATGGATCCTAAAATTGAAAACTGGCCCGGTCACCGATGTTCTATCAACCATGGTGTTCAGATTATGGGGAACTATGCACCATCCAGGTGGGAAACTGATAATAAAAGTCTTGGCACGTCAATCTTTACTGGAGATAAATGTGACAGGGCCCATTTATCAGCTATAAATTCCTGAATTACCAAGCAGCCGCGTTGGAGCAGTCCTGTTATGCGTCGCAAGGCGCTTCACCATCCTGCTGCTTAAATTTGACATCTCTGTTGTCAGGAGAGCTATTTTTAGATTGATAGTCTGGGGACATGGAATGTTTACTAATTACTGTACAGGGAAAGGAATGGACTGTGAGGAGGGAGTGCTCCTTTTTAGCATTTCTAGGAGTGTTCTGGTGGCAGGGCAAACTGTTTAAAAGGGACTGAAGCATTAACAGCAACAGATATCCTAACTGAAGTTGCCTTGTTGGCATAAAAGGTTAAGAAATTTTAAATAAAGTAAATATACCCATGGACTGGTGCACTACATCAGTGATATTTTCTTTTTTGCCAAGTTTCCATTGTGAACAAGGAAGAGCGCCAAAGAGTATGCACAATCCTATTCGGAATAAGGGAATTTCCCTTAAAAAAAAGGGAAACGTTGACAGCTATGCAGTGTGCAGATGGCCACATCCTTGCTTTTTGGTGGATAAGAAGCAAATGTAGTTTTCACCCCAGAGGGGTCACTTTTACTGCTGCTTTACTTTCTTCTATGTAAGTGAATGGCTGCTGTTTAAGAATGAAATGCTACCCTGAGGCTGTGCCTCATGGAGGTGATGCACCCTGCTGGATCCCTTGAAAAGCTTCCTTTAAACATGCACACTGCTCAGCACAATGCTAGATGTTCTCCTAGTCCACAATAGTGCTGACCTATGTAATTGGCTTTTTGAGCTCCCTTTACTCCAGTTCTGAACATGCTTGGGTATTGCGGGTTGTATTTAACTAGCTCCTACTCAGAAGAGACCTGCTGAAATTAATGAACCTAAGTTAGTCGTGTTCATTAACTTTAATGGGCCTATTCTGAGTAGGCCTAATGTTGACTATCATGCTATATATTTTACTTACCTATTTTAATAATAACAATATGTGAACAGCAGCCTCCATCACCCCTAGCCAGCATGGGCAATGGTCAAGCATTCTGGAAGTTGTAGTCCAACATGTGGGGGACCCAAGGCTGGGGAAGAATAACTTCTCCACTGTCCCATTTCAAGATAGAACATCAATGGAGTGTGTTCTTTTCACATATATGGCATATATAATACCAGTGGAGAGTGCCCAGTGCTGTCTGGGAATTTTTGGACACCAATAAAGTATTGTGATTTTTAAATGGATGGCGTAATTTTTGAATTTGGACTAATCACTCCAAAAATCAGGTGAAGTCACACCAAAGTCACACTTCGGTCCACCATCTTGATTCAAACTGGCACCTGGCTTCCCATTGGTGACAAAGTCTGCCACCCCGACCTCAGGAACCCTCATGCTGAGTTTGACAATGATATCTGGAGAGGTGACCAAACCTATGCCCCCAAATGGGCAAAGTCACACCAAAATTATTTTTTTAGATTGCCATCTTGATACAAAATGGTGGATAGTGTCCAAACATTGATGAAGGCTGCTGCCCCAACCTCACGAACCCTCATGCTGAGTTTGGCAATGCTATCTTGAGTGGGGTCCAAACACACAGAAGGCAGACAGACCATTTTCTAAAATATAAAGTAGATAGATGGGTATGCATCCTTATGTGCACCACATACAGTGGTGCCTCGCAAGACGATATTAATTCGTTCCGCGAGTTTTGTCGTCTTGCGATTTTTTCATCTTGCGATTTTTTTCGTCTTGCGAAGCACGGTGTCGGGAAAGTTTTGGAAAAGCTTCAAAAATCACCAAAGTCTTTAAAAACCTCAAAAAAGGCTACCACACCGCGTTCTATGAGTTGCTCCTCGAAGTCAAGTCGCAACTGTATTAACGGTGTTAAGAAAAGGAAACAAACTTGCAAGATGTTTCCGTCTTGCAAAGCAAGCCCATAGGGAAAATCGTCTTGCGAAGCAGCTCAAAAAACAAAAAACCCTTTCGTCTAGCGAGTTTTTTGTCTTGCGAGGCATTCGTCTTGCGAGGTACCACTGTATTAGCACTGGAGAGGTATTCTTAATGGGTATTTCTAGAGTGTCACAAGCAGTTTTTATCTGGGAATGTAATTACCAGGTAGGCATTAGCATGACTAATAATTGAATTTGCATGGGAAAAAAATCTCTTAAGCGCTATGCATGCATGGGATAGATGGTAATTGTTTTGCCTGTTAGCCATGTTTTGCCAAAATTAATTCCTGTCAATATGATGTATGTCTCTATCTTTATTTCCCCCCATAGTTTTCCTCATTCTAATGGCAGAAAGCTTAACTGAATTCCACACAACCTTCAGCTAGAGCAGCAGCCTTTGTCTTTTGGTCCTGTTGCAGCCTGTGTAACTTACAGATGGCTGAAAATCAAGGGATTGTAAAAATGGTTTAATGACTGTTCACTCTCCCGTGAACCTTTAAAGAGAAGTCAAATTGTCACAGTGGGAGAACTTGCCCTTTTAACTGCTGCCATGTTGCATTATAACCTGAAAAAGTGCAGCCAGGTTGACAATAATCTCTGCTGTTGCTATCTTTTTCTTTTTTTGTGGGACTCCTAACTATAATATTCATCCTTGATAACTACTCACTGAACTATATTCATTCAGTTATAGATACCAATGGACCTAAACAGATTAATTTGGGGGAGATTCTGGTCTTCCCTGTTGTATCTCCACCTTACCTTTTAATATTTTTAGTAATGCGTATACTATGCCTTCATCTCGTCTCAATTATAAATGCAGGTCAAATTTCATTGGTGAGCCATTTGTCCTAAATTACTCCCTACTCATACAACATTCACCCACTGGCATCCTGTCAGCCTAAACTATGCAATAAAAGGAGGCGTTGACAACAGCTGCTCCTTCTGACTCATCTCTCTCCCAGCCTTACTATAAAGAATGTTACTATAATTTTTTAGATGAAGCGAGTAAGTTTGTTGATGTAGACTTACTAGTAAGAAAACCCGAGGAACAGTGGGTGGCTTCTTATGGGCATGCAAATGTGCTTATCTCCCCACCCCCATTGCATATGCCTACATGTTTTAAAGAAGGTGGCATTTTTGCTGGAGTTGATGCTGAAGCCTCTTGCATGCACAGTTTGGAATATATCCAGTTGTTACCTTAACACCTGTATGTTGTTCCAATGGCGCAACAGGCTATTTATCGGGGGGGGGGGGAGATGATGAGGTTGGCATGACATCAGGCCCAGCCAGCATGCTTTTAGATGACCCATTGAATCCATTTGCTTCTAAGAGAATGAGAAATTCAATTTCGTTCTCCCTTCAAATAGCTAACCAATGACACCTTCAAGATCCACCCCCTGTTCCTTTGCATTTTTTTTATTGCCTCCCTCATGCCTCCTCTTTGGTACAATTGGCTTTCTGCTTGTTTCCTTTCAGGTTGTTCCTAAAAAAACAGTTATTGCAGTTTGCTTTTAATTAGGAGTTAATGGTTCTGTTAATGTATGTTGTTTTTAATGGCTGTGAGTTAGGGTTTTGTATTTTATAATGGGATTGCTGGCTTGAGATCAAATGCTTATACATATCTTTCTATATCTTTCTATTTTAGTACCTTAAAATGACATTATTTCATATTTTTACACCACTTTGGAATTTTTGGTGCTTTGAAAGGTGGCTAAGAAGTTTCCGAAAGTAAATAAATAACATATTACCAAATTACACATTTAACATAACTTGTAGTCCACTAATATACCAGTTTTTAAGCATTTTGTGAATACAGAACTGTAGTAAAGTCTTATTGAGAAGTAAAGCAGCAAATCTTCATTTAATCCATCACTTAGAATCCGATAAGGCATATAGCTTCTTTTAAGAGTTTAAAGGTAAAGGTAAAGGTACCCCTGACCAATAGGTCCAGTCGCGGATGACTCAGGTTGCGTGCTCATCTCACTCTATAGGCCAAGGGGGCATCTATTGAATTTCCTGTTCCTATATGTATTTTATTTATTTGTGTATTTATTCAATTTCTGGTATTTCTTTCTCACCCTTCACTCTGAGGTACCAGTATGGGTTAGATAAACTAAAATACAACCACAAAATAATGAATCATCAAAACCCCCAAAAATAATGATAAAAGCATAACACAGATACAGCTAATAATACATTTACCAGGGGGACAACTACAACATTCTTGCTTCACTTCCAAAGGCCAGGGTAAACAGGTGCAACTTAAGTAGCTAATGGAAGATGTAAAGTGTTGTGGTTGGTGCACCTCTCTGGGGATGGAGTTGCACAGTTTTGGAGCCATAAAAGAGATGGCCCTGTCAAAAGCCACCATTCCCCGGACCTCTGAAGGTGATGACTCTAACAGTAAGGCATCATCGGCAGATCTCAGTACATGAACTGATGCCTATGGAAAGCAGCAGCACTCCTCCAGATATTAGAGACACTTAGGGCTTTATAGACTAACAATTTGGATAGAAACTTCAGAATAAGTGCAGTAAGAGTACTTGCAGTCATATTGTAGCAAGAGGTCAAAACCTATAAAAACTCCTAAGTCTTTGGCCAACGAGACTCAGGAGCTGGGAGAAGATAAGAGTCCAGCCAATATTTTATTACTTAGGAAGCAATAGGTTACAGTCGGATCATTCTGCAAGAACTGTAATCCCCCAGCTAGGTCTAGGGGGGTTATTTATAAGTTTCTACACAAAGCCCTTTAATTTCATCCAATAATATGTATAGAAGTATTTCACATTACTCCATCCTAATTGTTGGAAACATTTCAGGTTAGTATGCTTGTGCAATAAGCACCAATTGTTTCTGCTGACTAGGCTTTGATTCCCATCGTGTCTGTTATGGCCTTCATATAGGAATACATTGTGTTACACAGAGCTATTGTGCTTTGTAAACCTGTGTGTTTAGCTGCGTGTGTTCTGTGATAAAAACGTTAGCTTCTTCTCTTCCCATGGGAAAGGCCTTTTGCATTCTCAGCAGTTTCAAAGCTTTAGCATTAACAGTTTCATAGCTTTTTCTTAAAGCGATATAGCATTTTCTTAAAGCGATATACTATCAATTTTTGTGGCCCTTGGGGTCCTCCCTCAATATCAGACATTATCCTGACTTCCATATTCTGCACTTCTAAATAGTCTAATCCAGGGGTTAACAAAGCATGGGGTAAGTGTCCAAGACAGCTCTGAACAGGAGGTAACACAGTGGTGAACCAGTCATAGCTGGAAAGTAGGCACTCTACTAAGGCAACATGGGGTCTTTCCTGTTAAGTGCAGCTCCATACAGAACAGGCTGCCTCATCACATAACAGACTTAGGAACTTGAAACACACAGCCAGTCCATTTCTACCCCAGGCACAAGTCTAGCACCTCCTCTTCCTCCTAATTCAGATCATATGGGGGTGACAGATAGTATATGCCTCCACAAGAAGCACAGAAGATGTAGACAAGCCACCCACATTTAAAACAGGACACTATCATTGCCATGTCAACATATTACCGTTAAAGTACTATGAAATTTAGAATTTGGAACCCCTTTGATATTCAAATGGATTGTGATGTGCTCACTAGAATAAGGAGCACCTGGGAATTCTAGTGGGTGTGATAATCTGGGGAAACCCAACCAGATGGGTGGGGTACAAATAATAAATTAATAATAATAATAATAATAATAATAATAATAATAATAATTGTATTTTGCTTTGCACTCTGTTTATGTTCTGGAGCTGCTTTACACAAACCCACCCTCCCAGTTTAGATTTAGGAGACATTATTTCAGGCACTTCATATGTTCAAAGTCTTGGTCTTTGCCATTCCCAATATGCACCTGACATAGGATATGTAATGAATGGCAGACCTGAGTCTGTAAATTTCTGAGATTGAATTTGGTGGAAGCATCTCATAAAAAACCGGTGTGGTAAAAGAGTTAATTAGAAGAAATGGATTATTAATTTGGGGTCCCTACTGAGGCACAAATCGAGGATATTTGAACACACTGCCAGATGTGAGGGTGCAAATTGCCTTTCAGAAATATTCTATTCTATTCTCTATTCATACCACAGTCCTTTTTAGGAGTGCTTTGGAAAATATTTCCACACCTTTCTCTTGCATGCCTTTATAAAGAACTTCTGGAGTCAAGACTTTGTCAATGACATTGCAGCAAAACCTTCCTGGAACTCAGCCATGCTGACAAACACAAGCTGCGTTCTAGGATCTTTAAAGAGAGAGCACTAGAATATCATTCTACAGTACCTTTTCATTCCAGCTTCTCTGTGGTAGAATGAGAGCAGGTTTAAAACACTAAACTGGAATGTTACTGCCAAGGCGTGAGTGCATTTTCTGACTGAAATGTGCAGTTCTGCAACCTTCTTATGCTATTCTGTAATAGAAGGATAGTGAAGCTGCAAGTTTGAGCTTGCCCTGACTGCTGACAAATCTGTTGTCGGTATGGTTGCACTCTCTCTTGACTTTCTTCCCAGTGTAGGTGACCTCTGGCAGTTTAACAACTTCCTGGAAAGATACTGCAAATAAGCATAGAGTAAAGCAGTTTTTAACTTTCAGCTGCTGAGGGCTGTTCAAAGAGGGGGAAAGTGAATGTTAAACAGCAATTTTTCAAACAGAAAAAAATGTTTTAGGTGGCAGAGTTCTCTCTCCCCTCTTGCAATAGAAGTATTAAATTAGATATCACATTATTTTCCCCTCTCTGTTCTTTGATATTAATATTATCATCATTTGCAGCAGCAGCATAGAAAAACTAGGAATCGAAGAATGAAGTGGGTTTTAAAAAAACGAAACAAGGAATTCACACTGTGTTTCATAATGTATAACACCCCAATCCTGAATCTTCTTTGGAGGAAGCCAAATTTGTTTCAATGGGGTTGCCTTCTATAGTATTAGCACCATAGCCCAACAGTGCAATCCTATGTATAATTTCTCATAAGTATATCCTATCATCAACAGTTCTTACTCAAGTAAGTGTGCAAAGGATTGCAGTGTGAATCAAATCACTGAGGGGCTAATATGTACACAAGGGTCAGTGTGGTGTAGTGGTTAAGAGCGGTAGACTCGTAATCCGCTCCTCCACATACAGCTGCTGGGTGACCTTGGGCTAGTCACACTTCTCTGAAGTCTCTCAGCCTCGCTCACCTCACAGAGTGTTTGTTGTGGGGGAGGAAAGGAAAGGAGATTGTTAGCCGCTTTGAGCCTCCTTCGGGTAGTGATAAAGCAGGATATCAAATCCAAACTCCTCCACTCCTCCTCAATTGATATAAATGATGTGGCCTGTTCCTGCGTATATGTTTGTGAGCCTAAATTTCATTTTCCTTTCACTTTTGGAGAGGTATTATATATATGACATTGTGTGTGTGTGTGTGTGGAATTACAAAGCTATTTTTTGCAACCATTTCCCCTGAAAAAAACTGAGGGCGGCGGGGAGAGAGAGTAGTTGTTCTTAAAATTGCACCATGTGTCCTGAACCAAAACTATGAGGAGACTGCAGAGAGGAAGAAAGAATTAAAAACCTAAATTCTTGGTTCAAATTCTAGCCTTGTATCCAGGATCAGCCAAATGGTTCGGAATATTTCCAAATTAAGGGTGTTTAGCTGAGGCCTAAGATAAGTGAGTGAGACAGGGCCTGTGGCCTGCTTCAGTCTAGTCAGAGGGGAGGCCTCTTGTTTCTTCAGGGTAATGGCAGCAGCCTCTATATTGACTCTAAATGACGGCCTGTGTTTGATTAGCAACACTTTGAGCCGTTACAAATACTAATGTCCTCCTGCACTGGCTTAATAAGCTTTACTGTGGAGGATAGGCAACCCAGTCTCCATTGTCCCTGCAGCCCTTCGTATTTATAGCCACAAACTTTTGAATTGGCAGAGCCAAGAGAAACGGCACCATTGTGACTCTGTGAGGGCTAAACGACAGGGCCCAGAATCTTTTGAGGGAAGGAACGTCCTTCATAGCTGTAGCCTGTACACAGCCTACCACATGTTCTCTTTGAGGGCAGGAATTCTCTACAGAATCAGGTTCTTTGTGTGTTTACCTGAGGTAAAAAATAATAATAAATAAAGCAAAAGCTGTGTAACAGGCTCGTTACAAAAGCGCCTGACTTTCACACAAGCTTTGGACAGGTAAGGTGGAGGATGCCTTGACAGGTATGATTTGTGAGAGACTCCTCGGTTGCCGGGCAAGAGGAGAATTAAACGAAGGCCTGTCTTTGAGGTAATGGGATTTGAAGAGAAGGGAGAAGGCGACACAAAATAATTGACTTGGAGAAGAGAGCTGTTTGCAAAAATATGATATAAACAAAAATATAAGCAATTAACCAGGATGACACAGACTCTTTATTATTCAGTGTACTTGCTCTTTACATTGTTGAGCACAGGAGTCCAGTAGTACTTTATTTTCCTCTGGAACATCTCAATATCTCAGCGTACAGAGGCTCCTTCATGAGAGAAATAACGGGCCCTGCTTCTGTAACATCCACACAAATAGTGCAAGTATCGGGGAATTAAGTCTTTAAACAGAGGAGGGGAGGGAAGTATTCCTTTTCTTCCTTCGCTTTTGCTTCTTGTGAACATGATGGGGACTGAATTCGGGATTTGTCATGCGTTCAATTCAGCTGCAGCTACTAACTTCTAGAGCATGAAAATGACGACAAGGGAGAATGAGATGGATATGGGGTGTTACTGAGAAATAAGAGCAAGCTAACAAGATCCAAATGTGCTAAGAATGGAGAAAAGAGATGTGTATTTTTACATGAATACGGGAGACAAACTCAAATAACTAAGAACAATGCTTTTGTGTGTGTGTGTACCTAATTCTTACGTAGTTGCCAGCATTTTGCCAGACATTTCCATAACATTTCTTACAACTAGAAGTGCTTGAAAACTAATGAATATTATATTGCTTTCTGTTGCCACAGTGTATGACTTCATTTTTCTTAGCATAGTCTTGCTGGTCAAATCAGCTGACTTGCATGAGGAGAAAGAAACATATTTGTAAGATACTTCTGGTATTTTGCTTGTGGGTGTTGCCTTAGCTTGCTTGTTTACTTCTATTTTAGTAACTGCTTGGAAAAATAAGGCAGATTTTCAAAGACATTATAATCAACAATTCCATACAACATAAAGGTAAGTTTGGGGTGATTATTATTATTTGCACTTAACAGCTAAGCAGAATACTTTATTTTATTACTGGACCATTTAACTTTATCTGCTGGTTATCTTTTTTCCTATTTTAATAAATAAATCACATTTTCCTTACTAAGTACATATTTCAGTCATCACCAGCAGTGGTAGTAATTGTTTCTTTTTTGAGACAAGTGTCATCTGTGCTGAATCAGATATTCTCAGAGAGCAAAGAAGTGAGTTGGTAGTGGGATTCGTTAGGAAGAACAGAGACATTTAGATAATAAATAATAAAAAAGTTAGTGATTGTTGAGAGCCCACTACAGTTTATGCCTTCTTGCAACAAATGTATTAAAAAAATTATGCTTGATCTTATCTGTTAGCGTATTTCATAGAAATCAGTCTGCCCATATTTATACACACACACACACACACACACACACACCTTCTGGCCTCTATTCCCCCCCCCCGACCTTTCATATCTCCATAGGAGACAACCAGGTTAACTTACTCAGACTTTCCAGAATGTATCTTTCATTGAAGTAAATACATTCTTATGAATATATCCTTGGATTTCTGGCTTAGGTTCATGATGATAAAGCTGCCTAAAGATTTCATTCATGTATATTATTCTTTAAAATAATTGTATCTAAACCTGGCCTTTTCATCCAGATTGGAATCTTCAAGTTAATTAATAATCTTGACACCACATCCACATTCACTGAAGTCTCAAATGAGGTGTACAGTGCAACATCTGCTGTAACACCATGGAATCTGTTTCCATAGATTTGGCTTGAAGATATGGATGAGGTGCTTGCAACAGTGTGGCCAACCATTTGTTTCCTCAACCCTTGACTCTCTTATTAAAGTTTGCCAAGGAGGTATGACCAGATGGATCAAGGGTGTGGTCAACACATCCTTGCAGTAGGGTGTGGTCCTGGCCACCTTGAAAGTGGCAGTGATCCAACCACGCCTGAAAATACAAGCACACCTGGACCTATCAGTTTGTGACAACTACCACAAAGTCACAAATACCCCCTTTTAAGAAAGGTGATTGAGAAGATTTCAGTGCAGCAATTGCAAGTGCTCTTGGATGAAACAGATTATGTTGACCTACTTGAGTTTGGGTTCAGGCCTAAATAAGCCTTGGTTGCCCTGATGAAAAAACAGTGTGGATTGTCAATTAACTTCCAGGCCTGATTCAAAGATAGCCAAACATTGGATATAATGTTCCATAGTTGCAAAAGTTAATGTTGTTCCTGGACTGAAGTAACACTTTTTGGATTCTGTTATTAGATATCTGAGCTGGCATCAAGAAGAGTTTGTTAAATTGACTCCTTCTAAAAAAGTAACTCTAGGATTACTGTATTTTAATATATTGTTGGAAGCCACCCAGAGTGGCTGGGGAAGCCCAGCCAGATGGGCGGGGTATAAATAAATTATTATTATTATTATTATTAGGAAAAGGTATAGTTATATATAGGGACGCGGGTGGCGCTGTGGTCTAAACCACAGAGCCTAGGGCTTACCGATCAGAAGGTCGGCGGTTTGAATCCCCGCGACAGGTTGAGCTCCCGTTGCTCGGTCCCTGCTCCTGCCAACCTAGCAGTTTGAAAGCACGTCAAAGTGCAAGTAGATAAATAGGTACCGCTCTGGCGTTTCCGTGCACTGCTCTGGTTCGCCAGAAGTGGCTTAGTCATGCTGGCTACATGACCCGGAAGCTGTCTGCGGACAAACGCTGGCTCCCTTGGCCAGTAAAATGAGATAAGTGCCACAACCCCAGAGTCGTCTGCGACTGGACTTAATGGTCAGGGTTACCTTTACCTTTACCTTTATAGTTATATATGCTTGCTTTCGAAATGCTTTCATAATTATGGGTCTTCCTATGCAGTAATCATTTCTAAATGTGGTCTTATGTATAATCACAGGTGTACTAAGAAAATATAAATTTATGCACCACAACACTGAAGTATCATGAGAGCAGGGTTGTCATATTTCCAGAGGTAAAAATCCGGACAGCAATTGCCTGCTCATCCCCCAGCTATCTGCCGAGCCTGAGCAATCTGAGCCAAAGCCAGAGCCTGGGTTGCCTGCGCCAGAGCCCAAGACAGGCACACACCCAAGCCTGAGCCTGAGCCCGAGCTGCCAGCATGCACACACAAAAATTAACCCCCCCAAACAAGCACATTTGCTTTAAATTGTAAAAATCCCCCAGATTGGCATGTAGCCCCCCCAAAAGAGTACATGTTTGAGATTCCTAGACATATGGCAACCCTGTATGATACCAGACCCCAAAGGCATAATCAGTGGAATAATAACACAGCTATCTATAGAAGCCCATTTTAAACCGGAAGCCCACCCACACTGCATTTGAAACTTGTAGGAATCAAGTTGTGTTGAGCTGTGGAGTGAAATGCTTTTATTTTCGTCCCTTGGAAAGAGCTTGTATATCACTTCTTAGACAAGTTGTATTATGCCTAGTATTATTCAAATGCAATCTTGTATTTTGAAAATAAAAGTAAAAATAAATATGAGGAGGAGTCTTTGTTCTCCTTTAACCAGCTAATAAACAGCATAAAAGTGGTTTTAGGTACTATTGCCTATTGGTGATGTATGCCCTCCTAATGTGAGTGTATACAAAAAAATCCCTATTTTATAATATCCTAGCTTTATTAAAGTAGATGACTGTCTACATGCCAGTTTCCATTCTGTCCATATACAAAAACTATATATTTACACATTCAATTTTCATGTTTTGATAATTGGATTTTATTTGTAACACATTCCTTTATAGTTCTGTGTATTTTTGTAGAGATGCTGAAATATTAAAGGAAATTTAATCTGTAATCTGACAGTCTAGTAAATAAAATGCCTTTGTATCAAAACTTATTGAATTAACTCAACTAATTGTATTACTAGGGTGAAGATGGATTGTCTCTGTATCATCTGGGGAATAATTTGGTTCATCATACTGTACTTTATTGGATGGCCCATAAGCATATTCTTAGGAGGACTGTATGGATTTATAGTTCCTTTAACTACTTTGATAGGTCTAGATGATGTTGGGGAAGTTTTGTTGAAGGGGGTGCATGTGGGGAAAGTGTGTGCTACTAATGTACGCAGTGGAAAACCTCTCTGTTAACAACGAGACTACCATAATTACCCAGCATGTATTGTTGTCCAGTGGCAATGAGGTTTTATATGAATATTTGGTTTTCATCAGTGAAGTATAAAGTTCTCAAATTGTATTTGAAACACAATTCCTATGTATGTTGCATTTGTGTGTAATGCACTGCAACTGGAGAGATCTGAATCAGAACCTCACATTCTCAAACTGTGAATGTTCAGAAACTTGGATGCAAACAGCTTGCAAATATCTAATCAGAAAGAGAGAGTTATGAGATTTGTATTTCTCTGGTTTTGTGTTTTTTGCTTCGTGCCATAAATTATCTACTGTTTAAAATTGAGTCTCTCACTAAAGTGAATTTTGCATCTCTGTATACAGTTAATAATGTATAAATCAATCTGTATTAATTGTTTATTATACTTGATTGTGAATATGCTTTAGAAACCATTGTTTTTGTTTCGGTTCTCTATAATGTAATTATTTAGGTATGTTAACACCATAAGACATAATAAAGCTACCTGAACTTTCTGTTTGTGCACACTGCATTTTAAATTCATATTACTGTTGTTGCTGATAAACCTTTACAGTATTTACTAAATAATATGAAAGGCCTACATTCTATTTATCTTGGAGGAACACATTAAACACAAGATGATCAGCTCAGAAGCCATTATCTATGTCAGATCATGGTTAATGTTATCAGATTGTCTCTTATATTTTCTGTGTCCCTTGCTAAGCTGCAGAGGAGAGTTTCTTCCTTATTTGTCACCCAGTCTGTTGACCTTTTAGAACAAACAATGGTTATTCTAGCTTATGCTCCTGCTAAAATAGGAATTGGGACATTTCATAACATATTGTATCTTATTTATAATATTTCGATAAAGCAAAATTGCAATGCTCAAGGTAGCACCCAACATAGTTTAAAAGCAATTATATGAATTCTTATATAAAAACTATAATCACAAAGGGGGTGGGATGAGGAATCTGTGGCTGTCCAGGTTTCACCGGACTCCAGCTCCCATTTTCCCTGATCATTGACGATGCTGGCTGGGGCTGATGGGAGTTGCATGTCAGGCACCAGCTGGAGGGCTCCCTATCACCAGAACAGCACAACAAAAAGAAGAACCTGAAACAATATAACCACCAAACCTCCACAAGATTCTCCAATCCATACGCCTTCACAAAAATGTGAGGCTTATGCAAATTTCTAAAGCTGGAGATAAACTTACATATACAATCTGCAGGAATTGTTCCTTAATATAACATTAATGCAATACAGAGAGCTCTGCTTCTTGTTGCAGAAGTTCTAATACTCCAAACTAATAACCAAACTAAGGGAACCTGAAGCAGAATTTTTGAAGTTGACCTCAGCAGATAGATGGGCCTATATGGGGAGAGGTGATATCTGGTGTAGTCTTCAGATGACAGTGGGGTTTAAAGTTCTCAACATCACTTTGAATATTGTCTGAAAACGTATGAGTAGCTAGCACAGTTGAGCAGCAGTGTGTTTTCATTTGTCTATGCTTGCCAAAAGCCAGGCTAGAGCTTTTTGGACATTGCTGCAGGTTTTGGACTGCAGCCTCCAGACTATCTTCAAGGAGAGCCCCACATGACAGAACACATAATTTGAAATTGTAAAGCATGGTTAACTTTTGCAAGCTTCTGATTGTCTAGGAAAAGGTATCACATATAAGCTGATAAACTATATTATTGGACCCTATCAAAGCCTGCTTATCCAACGGTAGTGTTCGAGGTTATGCATCCTGATAGTACAACATGCTTACCATAGAGGTAGTTCTATTACATTTGACCTCCCGTCAGGCATCACTTCAATCTGCATGTGCATTCCAATATTAATGCAGCTGTTCTCAAAACAATGTCATTAATTCTACCTCCATGCTAACACTTTTTGCAGTGCTGACACAGGGGAACTGTATATACTACCTTTATACTTTATATGAAAGTGCAGTTTATAAATATTTAAATACTTAACAACTTTTCTCCTTTCTCTGCCCTGTCACTGAAAAGCACAATTAAAGCACTGTACAATTAAAGCACTATCACACCACTTTAAACTCATGACTGCCCCACAAAGAATCCTGGGAACTAGTTAATGGTGCTGAGAGTTTTTAGGATGCTCCTATTCCTCTCACTGAGCTACAGTTCGCAGAGTTTCCTGGGAAGAGGGATTGACTGATAAACCACAATGGGACTTATACCTGAGTGAAGGAAATAAGATTCTCCTCCTAAATCTTAATACCCTTAATAAACTACAGCTCCCAGGATTCTTTGTGGGGAGCCACAACTGTTGAAAGCAATATACTACTATTTTTAAAGTATAGTGTAGATAAGGCTGAAGTTTCAAGAGGAAGGCATAGTGCAGCCATTCCAGCAGTGTTAACCCTCTTCTGAATGTTCTCAAAAAGAAACATCAAAAGGTTAGACAGATAATAGATTGCATGTAGCAGTATATTTCTTCTTTTGGACAATGGGCGTGATCTCTGAGTATTAGAAAAAAACATTTACTCGGGGTGCAATTCACATTCCTTGGGAAATAAAAGCACGTATTCTCATTTTAATTGGTCTGATATTCATCAATAAGCTTTAGGTTAAAAAAAAAAAAAGATTATTTGAAATGACAAATGCAACTCGGAAAAAAAACGTATTAAGTAAATAAATGTGAAAGTATATCATTATAAACGAACCATTAGGGAAACAGAATTTCAGGACAGCTTAAGAGAGCATGAAGTCTTAATGTCAAATGACATACTGAAATTTCCACTACGTATTTTTATTTATTTATTGTTCAATTTATATCACACTTTCCCTCTGAATAACTCCAGGCTCTGTACATGGCTCTCCCGCTCCCCACTCTACCCTCACAGCAACTATGAGTAGGTTAAGCTGAGAGATGGGGACTGGCCCAAAGTCACCCATGACTGGAGGTTTGTCCAAGCGCCCCTGGAAAAGAGACACAGCCCACTCTGAAAAGTCAATGACATTGCAGAGTAAGGCACAGATAGGAAACCTTTGGCCCTCCAGATGTTGGACTACAACTCCAATTATCCCCAGTCATTGGTTGTGCTGGCAGGGGCTGATGAGAGTTGAGTCCAACAACATCCAGTGTTCATGTGAATAAAATAACTCTCAAGACCGTGCTTAGATTATAGAGAAGACAGAGGGCTCCAGACATCCTTTCTTTTTGTACCAGCTTCCCTCAGCTACTGTGTTGATTTGGCTAAAATTGGGGGGTGGTTGGGGAAGGAGAAAGAGGGGTTATAAGGCCTGCCCCTACCTTAACCCCCTCCAAATATTTGGCAGCAGAAATATGTTTAGGTAACATAATGCACACATACACACCACACCTCAGTTACACACATTACTCTCGGTTTTAGTCCCCATCTTACATAATTACCTATTCTGATCTGTCATGAGCAGGTGCCCTAGTAAGGCTGAACAGGAGAAGTGGAGTGGTACTCTAGTCTTTTAGATTTCCCTAAGTGTGACATCATACTGGTTACTTAGAAACAATGATGCTTTGAACAGCCTGTAAGCATTCTATGAGGGGATGCCTGGATTTTTTTTTGTAAAGTCCTTCTCTTCAAAAGCCTGCTGATGTCTTCAGATCACAGTGAACACCTGAAAACTAAATGAGCCATTTTAAAAGAGAATTGTGGGATATTTATATATATACGAGGTAAGCCTTTTATTTATTTGGTGAGAAATGTACTTTGAGTTAAATGGGCGAGTAAAGAATAAGAACAAATAGTGGCAAAGTGGTTTGCAAGTCTGTTGTACCCTTCATAATAGATATAGTAACCCTGTTTCCAGCAGTGACCTGGTGAGATTTAGTAACCTGGTAAACTGTAAAGACCAGCAAGCATGAATGTTATAGTTGCTTAGGGAACCATAAGCTTGAAGGAACATGATAGTCCCAACATTTTATTTCAACATTAGCAAGGCAGAGAGGTAACACAGAGAGATGTGAAGCCCTATAACAACAACTCTGCCATTTTGTGTGTGTATCCTTTCCCCCCATAAGGACCTAAATGGAAAAATGAAAAAGGCTGGGGGGTGGGGGACAGGGAACCCCCCAAAATTACTAAACTTGGGTTTTCATAGGGAATGAAACATTTAAAACCAATTGCAAACCACTGCCTAAATTGGCTTGCCAACCCACATACCTCCATCATACCTGGCTCAGGTTTCAACTTCTTTGCCCTCATGATCCATCCCAAAATGCCTCCATTCAGAATTTTCAGTCTCCTGGATTTGGTAGATGTAAATGAACGGTAGAGTTATGTGTCATCCACATAGTTGACATTTTAACCCAAGACTCCAGATGACTTCTTACAGCAGTTTCACAGGGATGTCAAAAGAAATCTGGTCAAAAAGATGTCAGGGGACAAAATAGAACCCTAAGTCATCCCAAATGTCAAGTCCCCCGACCATTCAAAAAGGATCCAAGCAAAGTTAACTCCATGCCTCTTGAGTCCCATCTTGGCAAGACAGCCCAGAAAGATTGTTTAGGAGTATAATCTGGGAGTTTTTCAAGTGCCTTAATCCTGCAGAAGGATGGCTTCCCCCTTACCTAGGGTCAGACTTGATGTGGCATTGTTCATGTGACCATCATGGTCCTGAACTGGAGTGACCCAGGCGCAGCCAGCTTTTATTCCGAGGCGGACCATAGTAAAGACTTCCTGACTCCGATCTGCCAGCCAGGTTCCACCCCATGATTAAGCAGTTCAAAATTCCAGGGTGGTTGGGTATCCTGCCAGCCCAAGCTGCTGGCTGTGAGAGGTCTGGCTGGCTTTCACCCCTTGGGGACAGTGGGGGGCCACAACCAGCCACCCCTGCCCACCCGCAAGCAGGGCAAGCGGTCATCTCCAAACCATTGCCAAAAGCAGCCTCTTGTACAAAACATTGCAATAGCCCAGATATAATGCCAGTTACAAGAATTCACTGGCTATCAAACTATGCAGTGTCAATTCTTTCCACTCCATAATTCACAGTAACTAACCCCCCCCAAAAGAAAACTATCAAGAAATAGTGTGGGTCACTTGGTCAAGAAGGATAGTGTCTATTTATCATGAAGCAATGCTAAGCAGGGAAAGGGGATAGAAAGGATGCAGATAACATGGTTGATGTGTTTGTATAAACCACAACTACATGAGCCCTCTCACAATATAATTTCATTTGCAGGAATGTTCTGACGGATAGCAATAGTATGTTTTTAAAGGTTTGACACCTTATTTTCATCTGGAACTAACGCTGCTTTAAATTTGGTTTCACTAATAGCATATTTGAAAGGAGCGTGCTTGATAAGCAATGTCTGCTTATGATGAAGGAGAAGAGGAAGGAGACCCATATGAGGACATTACCGAGCCAAAATCAGCTGCTGCTGAATCACTCCTTCCTAAGGAACCTGAACCTGCTCCAAGGTATAGGCTCTTAGTTTTGGTACAGAATCTCCACATTTCATGCATTCCATTTCATGTACAGAACGATGTGTTAATGCTAATCTAACGATATATTTCAGGCAAGAAGGTAAGTACCATATTCAAAGCAATTTAAAGACAAATCAGAATGCCATGTCTTCAGGATTTAAAGGGCCAATTAATGCATGTTTATTCAGGAGTAAGCTCTACTAATACCTCCTGGCAAAGAGCTATATATGGCAAATGTGCCTTAAACTGCAATTCTATCCATATGTACCTGGGGTAAGTCCCATTGAACTCAGTGAGGTTTATTTCTGAGTAGACATATATCAGATTGCACTGATGGAAACCTAAGCAGCTGGAGAGGAAAACGAGTTTCTCATTTTTAGCTGACTTCCGTGGGGGTTCAAAACATTTTGAGACTGTATAATTTGCAAGGTATATACCGTAGAATATAAATAAAGTTCTTATCTTAGTACTTCTAGACAAGTTACAGTGGTACCTCTGGTTACGTACTTAATTCGTTCCGGAGGTCTGTTCTTAACCTGAAACTGTTCTTAACCTGAAGCACCTCTTTAGCTAATGGGGCCTCCCACTGCTGCCACACCGCTGGAGCACAATTTCTGTTCTCATCCTGAAGCAAAGTTCTTAACCCGAGGTAATATTTCTGGGTTAGCAGAGTCTGTAACCTGAAGCGTATGTAACCTGAAGCGTATATAACCCGAGGTACCACTGTACATATTACATGTTACCTGGATTACTAGAGGAAATGGCAGAATGTGATATAAACTGTAGATCAAAATCTGCAATCCTATGAGCTGGGAGAAAGCATCAGTGAAGTGAGTAGACCAATACATGGAGGGTAATGCTAGCAATGCCTACTAGTCATGATGGCTGTGCTCAGCCTCCACAGTTGGCAACAGCCTTCTGAATACCAGTTGCTGTAAACTGTAGACGGGGAGAGTGTTCTTGTGCTTGAGTCCTGTGTGTGGGTTTGCCTCAGGCATCTGATAAGTCACTGTGAGGACAGGATGGGGCACTGGCTTGATCCAGCAGAGGTTTTTCTTACATTCTTAATTACCTTCATCATGCATAGAATTGGGTTATGACTCTCATTACCTGGATCCCATTTCTGAACTATGTTTAAGCAAAGGGAGAAATAATGAGTAGTCTATATAAAGCTGTGCATGTCTACTAAGAATTGAGTCTCACTGTGTTCAGTTAGTCAATAGAGCATGAGACTCTTTATCTCAGGATTGTGGGTTCGAGCTTCATGTTGGGCAAAAGATTCCTGCGACACAAAGGGTTGGACTAGGTGACCCCTCGCAGTCCCTCTCCCAACTCTACAATTCTATGATTCTATGAAAATGTGCTATGAAAAGAGCAGCAGCAAAAATCTGCTAAAAATGCATAATGATGTGTGTGTATGCTGAACATGGTGTCCAAGATGTAAAAGGAACATAACTTGAAGAATGGTCAAGACGATAAAATACTAGTTAAAACTTTGGTATCTTCCAGTATTTTGTGTGCCTTTCTTTGTTCGATGATAGAAAAGGTTATTTTGGCTTAATATTGATAAAATTCAAGGAAATGGCTTTAATAAATAAATAAATCCTGCACAAAGCAACTTGCTCATAATAGCAGCATTTCTTGTTAGATTTACCCTTGTACATTTGAATTCCATTCATGGGAAAGATATTGGAAGAGAGCTGTTATGAAGTCTTTCTTGCAGGTTTCCCATAGTCATCTGGTTGGACACTGTGAGAAAAGGATGCTGCAGTAGGTGGGCAACTAGCCATAGTTGTCTCACAGAGAGAGATTCGGACTGAGTCTCAGGGTCACATCTGCCACCCCTCCTTTTCAATCCCCTCACTGCCATGATCCAGGCATCATTTTGGAGGGCTCAGCACACAATTGTAATGTGGGTCCCCTCCTATACACACACAATGATTCCATCCAATACATAGAATTTCGTTACTCACAGGAAAGAAAAGTTTATATTTAAAAATTCTAAAATTACATCTTCCGCATATCTGAAAGTAAACCATGTCCCAGAAAATACCACACTCTTTTTGCTTAATTAAAAAAAGAAAGAAAACCTGGCTTGAAGAAGAGTTCAACAACCCTTAGCTGACTATTTTGTAACTTTTGGCTGGTCCAAAATAAATAAATAAATATCCTGTCAATGTTTCATCAAGGATGATGGCAAAAGGTGTATCTGCTTGGAAAACTTTGCTTGATTGGTTCTTCTTTGTTATATGTTCCACAAGCAAATATCTTTTGTGATATTATTAAGTGTTTTTTAAAAGAAAATAATGTGTAGCTGTAATGAAAACATTAATATATATATTTAAAACAGTTATGCTTTTATTTTGTTTTGTTCTAATGAACCAATATGAACACAAGCATTTTCCCACTGCACAATCATGAAATATCTAAAAACAAAACAAAATAGGTGGTTTAGCCATTCTTGCCCCGCTAGCGAATGATGGCAGGCTATAGCAACACTGGCTCTTATTGGTCTTTTTGATGAGTGACCCTTATTATTATGGCACTTTGTCCTGCCTTTCTGTCTGTGCAAAAGGAACACTGTCGAGTGGCCTTCTGCCCTACTTTCCAGTCCTTTAGTGACTTCTTTCTGAAGGATTCTGAAGAACCATATCAAGGGAAAGCAGCAGAGACCTTGAACCTATATTCAACACACTCACAGTCTTGCCCACTTGGGTAAGATGTACTCTTTCTGTTTAAATAATTGCAATTATTTAAGAATTTGCATCTGTAAATATATATCACCATATGCAATTTTGATGCAAATAAGTGTCCTCTTTTTTGTGGGGGATGGGTTGGGTTAAAGTATCTAGTGGCCACCTTAGAATTCTTGAACTGGTAGGTCTTGAGAGATCATGTCACCTGGGGAAGCACACATTTCTGTCTCTCAAAAGACAAGGGCTGGTTTAACTGCACAAACATACTTTCTCTAGGACAACAATTCACTGTTCAGAATGTTGCCTGCACTGCTTCTTAGCACTCCAGCAAATCCAGACAATGGGGACATAAAGGGAAATCAGTTCCTAGAAACATCTTCAAGCATAATAATCAATTTAGCCTTTATCCGCCCCCCCCCCCCACCTTAGTAATGATATTGCACCCTTAGCCAGACTCCTCTCCGCACCTTACCCTGCCCACATGGTAGGACCCTGCTCACTTCAAGGAGCAGTAGACAAGTGAACATCGTTATCTGAATGTGGGCTCTTCTCTGATGTTGCTGGAATATGCCCTCCTTAAAATGGAAAAGGAACAATCTAGGCTCATATTTTTTTATGGAGACAATCCATTGCACAGCCCCTTTATTATCACGAGCCAAACTCTGAAGCTTGTCAGAGTCTCTGCCAGAACTGACCCTTATAAGCAGACATTCTGCAACCCTGATCTACATTCAGCTTGGTGGCATTCCTAGATAATGTGTCCAGGGCATGGCCTTACAGAGGCTCTTTAAACTTTTTCTTGACCCTTGAGTTGCCAAATGGGACAGGTGCCCTGATCCGGAAGAAGATGGAGCCACCAAGAAACAGAGATGGGAAGGAGCTACTGCGACAGCCGAGCGCAGTCCCTGGTTGCCTTGGCAATGCAGAACTGAACTTTACCTGAGGCAGCCCAGGAAGCATTATAAGAGTTGGGAAGACACCTGGGCCCAAACATAGTTTACCACTTTTTTCAAGTGAATGCCGCTAGTCCTCTTCCTAGCCCATATATTTTATATATACCTGTGTGATGCAGTGGTTAGAGTATCAGAGAAGGATTGCTGAGGCTGGGGCTTCACATTTCCACTCAGCTATGAAGATCACATGGCAATGATGACCACTTTGTCTCAGCCTAACTATTCTCACAGGATTGTTCTGAGAGTAATATGGACAGAAGGAAAAATCATATGTACCAACCTGAACTAGGAAAAAATATAGGATGTAAGGGAGGGACAAGGCAGTTGGAATTCATGGAGGCAAAACACTGATGATCTATCAAGAAGTCGCTTCTTTAAAGCAGATTATTGCAGACTACAAAAGGAATCCTAGCTTTGAATCGTCTGAATCTGCTGGAAAAGCAGTTCATCTGCTTGATAATATGTTTGCGTATTCTTGGCTGGAAAACCTGTTCCCCCCCTATGTGAAATCACAGTAGAAATGTACTTTAAGATGCTTCAAACTGAAATCTTTTTGTTTCTTTATTGTGTCAGCACCCCACAGCCGCCAGCTGGTAGAATGGACTGCTGCTGCCTTCTGTGGAGTATCATCTGGTTGGTGGTGCTGGTGGCTTTTGCTTGGCCCTTGAGTGTGGCTATGGCAGCCCTTTATGGATTTGTATCACCCATGATTACCCTAATAGGACTTGATGATATCAGTGAGTCTCTGCTACAAGCAGTACATGTGGGACGAGAGTGTGCTCAGAACGTCAGAATGGGCAGGCCTATTGCTTGAAGAAAAGATCTCGCAGCATTAGGTGTCCCTTCCCTTTACCTATATCTTATCACGAGTGCTGATCTGTAATTCTTCTTTTTCAACCATCTATATTAAAAAGTTCTTATTTCACTATAAAATTGGTTTCATGATATTTTTACCTATCCGCCATTTTAGCCATCGCCACTATATAAATAATCTAACCTCTGCAACTTAAACTCTTGCAAAGACATCATCAGTTGAGATGGGCAATTTGCTTATTGATGCTTTAATTGATCAATACCAAAGTGGATTTTAGTGTGTGCATAAGAGGACATATTTTACAATACATTATAGTATTGTGTGGACTGTGCCAAAAGCAACAAGATTTGGCTCCACACTGGTAAAAGGGGAGGGTTGATATCTTTTTGTAGAACCCGCTTCTGTTGGAGACATTGAGCATTTCCACATGGCAGATTCTGGTAGGTTTGGTGCTGCTTGTGGATGCAAGCTTTGTGCAGTGTCCATGTGACATTGTCATAATCAAAATGCCATCCTACATTATTTTCCCATTTAATCCAGATTTACCATTTCTGCAGAAAATCCAGGAAGTGAGAAACACAAGAAGAGAACCTGCCATTTTCATGCCAACTAGTGAAACATGTTTAAGTGGTAGGGGTGGGGAAGAAATTAGTTAGTTTACATTTTAATACAGAGCTTCCTAATTCGTACTTCCTAAAGCAATAAGCAAACCAAAACACAATTATCCCTCGAAGTTTGCAGTTGTCTGAATTTGGGGGTGCAGTTCTTCAACCAAATAATGTCTATACAAATGTTGTATTAGGGACAGTGTGTATAGAAATGCACATATTTTTGAAAGTGGCATTCAAAAATGCATTATATTTTGGGAAATTGGTCGCAAAAACATATATATCAGGAAAAATTGCACACAAAAATGTGCATAGCAGGAAGAATTTGAACTAAAATTGTGAAAAAAATTAATGAGGACTTTTAATGAAGAAAAATAATTTGCCAGCTGACATAGAAATGTGGAGAACTGAGCTCGACTAGAAAAAGGAGACACTGAGATTGACAGATTTGTCCATCTCTGGGAAATAGTAAACCCAGATTAAATGGGAAGGAAATATGGGATGGCATTTTGATAGGGATGGGTATTGTGTGGACCCTGAGAAAAACTTCATTGCTGGAGCATTTTAAGAAAAAAGAAAAAACTGCTACATGATTTCAGTGTAGAAATGTATTTTGAAATGCTTCTGACTGAAATCTTTTTGTTTCTTTATTATGCCAGCCCAGCACCACCACCCACAACTCACTACTGCTGTCTTCTGTGGAGTATCATCTGGTTGGCTGTGTTGGTTTGTTTTGCTTGGCCCCTGAGTGTGGCTCTGGCAGCCCTTTATGGATTTGCATCACCAATGGTTACCCTGTTAGGATTTGATGATGCCATTGGATCTTTGCTGCAAGCAGTAAATTTGGGAAGAGAGTGTGCTCAGAACATCAGAACTGGCAAGCCCATCATTTGAAGAAAAGATCTCACAGCATTTTAGCATTCCATTCTTTCACAAGCATCCTTTATATGTATTTAGCACTAACAGTCCACCTGTATCTCTTCTTTTGACCATTCACATTAAAAAGTACTTAATTCATTATAAAAGTGGCGTTATGATATTTTTACCTGACCCATCCTTTTAGCTTTTGGCATGTAAATATACTAACCAGTATAACTTAAAAACTAGGACCCTACCCTGAAAGGTCTTCACAAGCACACATGCCAGCTGTGAAGTGTAACTTGTTTACTGGTTGTTGGTGTTGCAATTAACCAGTTCTATTGCGCTTGAGTCCCCTTTAGTAATTTAGAGACAAGGGTAAATGTTGGTCCAAATCCTGAAAATTCAATGTCCCTAAATTATACAAGTCACCCAGGTGGGACATTTCTAATTATGGGGACTGGAAAGCCCTATTTTGCCAATCCAACTCACACGATTACAAATGCATGATGCAAACACATTTCCTGATGCCTCTCAGGTGCATCATTGGTGCCCGATCAGTACACCTCTCCATGACTTTTAAGGATAGCACCTGCAGTGGAGAGTTTGCTTTAAGCACAAAAGCTCATAGAATCATAGAATTGCAGAGCTGGAAGGGACCTCGTCGCCCATGTAGTCCAACCCCCTGGAATGCAGGAGTCTCAACTAAGGCTCTTAGATCCCTGGAAGCTTGTAATCATGTGAGGGGAAAATGCCTGAACTGGGCTAGAGGTTATGCCAGTATCTAGAAGATGCTGTGCATTCCTATAATTTATAGGGGGACCATTTCAGGGAGAGAGACATCCCTGTGTTCCAGACCATGGGCCAAGCATTGGCAATCTGTTGCCCATCCAGGTGTTATTGGACTTCAACAGCCTTCAGCCCCAGCCAGTGTAGCCAATGGTCAGAGAAGAAGGGAGTTGTAGTCCAGCAACATCTGGAGGATCACAGATTCCCCATCCCTGCCATAACAACAAGTCATCTTAAAATACACCATTTCCTCCTATTTGATCTTATTTATACATGAGAGTAGGTCCTTTTGAATCATGCTGTGAGTCTTTACTCTGCCCTCAGTCTTGAAATAATGTCCCAGATGGCAAGGATGAGAACTAGAGGCAGGAAAAATCCAAGCCAGATGTGGTGTCTCTTTGAAGTTCGTCTAACAAGAAATTTATTTAGATAGAAGTTGTGGGTGTCTTGCAGTAGTGCAGTGAACTCCTAACTCTTAGTCAAGGTAGCTGATCTGGAGAAGATGAGAGAGGTTTGTGGAGGGCACCTCTGGGAACCCTGCTCCCAAGATGACAACTCATCTAATGTCTCATAGAAGGAGAGTGTCGCTCTAAAGAAGGGGAATAATCCCTTATAAGGGACAGTGAGTCTCATGCTGAGAATAGGCTTCTGAGGGTGGGTAGGTGGAGATTTAGGGGCTCCTGGAAGTGAGTGATTTGATAATTAGAAGAATCAATTTATTTACATCTATTCATTATTAATTTAATTTATACCCTTCCATTTTTCACAAAGGAGCCTGGGGTGGCATATAGCTTTATGTGAGATAGGGGGATGTAAATTGCATTGCTGACTTGCCTGCTTGATGTGAAGGTTCAAGATGCCATGCTCCATCAAGGTAGGCCGAGCAGTAGTCAACAGTCAAGGTGCACATTAGCAATGACAGGGTAGGGTAATTTAGATATACAGTCCTGGAAACAAAATTTAGGTGGCTAGGTAGGAAGTTGAAAGTCAGAACCCCCAAGATAGCTTTCTTAGAAATGCTATCTGTGCCAGGTGATTAGCTGAACTAATGCCAAGCTATGGGGCCTCAACATGTAGAAGGTGTCAGGAAAAGGGGGCTGGATTTGTTAGGCACTGGAGAACTTTTGGGCACGACATGTGGCTGCTTTATCCAATATGGACAATACAACACTCTCATACTGATATCCAAGTGGAAATGCCCCAAAGTGTCCCTTATAGACAAAACCCCATGACCTCATCATGTACTCTTGAATACAGACATGTCAAAGCAGTTGGTTTGAATATGTATGCCATCAGCTTTTCTGCATTTCCCATGGAACAGAAGATTTGCTTCTGGTAGCACCTGAGGCCCTATGGCTCCATAAATAAAACAGCTGTCTTTGTGGATATCTGTCACTTCAGAACTCACAGGAAGAAGGGAAGCTGTACATTAGTTGTACACTTTAGTTACAAATGCCTAGCAGCTCTTTTGGGAGATGTTCCAGGCCATTCCAATCTCTAATCATTCACCTCCTTTTGATCAGGTTAACTTCTTCTGTGCTGAATTGGCAAGAGCTGATCTGGTATTTTTGAAAACAAAGGGTGGAATTCAACGTAGCACTAAATGGGGTATGCTCGAGGGGAACAAGATCTGCTTGCACGACAGGACTTTCTCCTCCCCTTGCATGCCCCCTAAATGTTTTCTGGGTTTTTCCCAACCCTCCAGAGCAAATTTAGGGGGGCCCTGGGGGTGGTAAGGAGAGGAAATGGGGGAAAGCCCTGTTGTGTTAGAGGAACTATGCAACAACGTAGTTCAAAAACCTGATTCTTCCAGTGCCTTTTTGATCCCAACATTATATAACCCTCAAGTAATGCTTTTGTTTGTTTGTTTGTTTGTTTATTTGTTTGTTTGTTTGTTTCCTGTTCACCAGCCACTGTAACATCACTTTAAGGCAGGAAGCAGTAGGATTTTGGCCATAGGAATGAGTTTTATTTGGGTCCTTTGGGAAAGGCTATAATGGGGCAGATGCCATTTTTTTATTTACACACATTAACTTACTATTCTACTCAACAGAGTTTTTATAATGAATGTTTCAATAAGTGGATACTTCCAAGGGTTTGAAGGTAATAAATGGATAGTTTTGATTTCTGCTGTTCTTTCAGTAAAGCAAATTAAGCTTGGGCAGACTAAAACTCACTGATTTGTCAGCTGCAGAGCAATACACTGTGATGGCTTTAGACGTTCAAATTCACCATCTCCATCCATAACACACCCACAGAAATGCCTTTGTGTGCTGTGGAAAGACTCCACTTCTTATATTCTATGGGCTGAGAGGAAGTTTGGTATCTATATATTTCTAGAGACTGAAAACATTTATCCATACAATTCTGTTTTGAGGGGGAGCCAGTGTGCTTGGGTTTTTGTTACAACTTCTCTAATACTTTGCAAATTGTTATTAGCTACAACGCTGAGGATAGGCTGAGGAGAAAACCAAAGGAGGATTAGCATCCTGAGCTAAATTCCTCATTGACTATTTACACACCCAGTGTTTCATCTGTTATAAGGTCAAAGAACACCTAATTCCTCTATTTGGTTACACCAAAAATAATGCTGTTAATGTTCGCAGTAAGATTGTATTTCAGAGAAAATAATCTGAAAAAGCTGCAAGTTTTGTAATTTCTTTTATGACAGCACACACCGCTTTGCAACATCTGGTGTGTACATAAGATTTTTGTGTGGGAAATGCTGATAAAACAGCAAAATACAAGTGCATTGCGGCATACACCTTTAATTAGAAGTAGCTAGCAGAGTCCTCCTCTCCCCCTTCCTGATGCTTGCTTTCCAAATATCTCACATAGACATGCACATGTCTGGATAATTTAAAGTCTGAGTTCCCAAAGGACATTGTACTCTGCCATATAATGAAGTTCCTCTAGGATACACATTGACAATCTGGGCCATTGCATACCAAGCGAAGCCCACTCAACAACTGCCTCTCCGGTCTTTCTATTTTTAACTAAAGAACAACAAAAAAATCCTTAAATTGTTGGGATGAATCTATGAGATTCCACCGCTGGAGCAAATTATGAATCTAGATGTTTCAATAACTGAGCAGGGAAGCAACTGCCACATTTCATTAATACCAGAGCTCGCTTTTTGGTTTGTTTGTTTGTGGTTCAAGCTGTTTCATCTTCCTTGTGTGCATGACTATGCAGTAACAATCAAACGTGCACAAAAAAGGACAAAAACTGGAAGGTTAAATGAACATGTGCTAATGCATTCCATCAGAAACATGCCCCTGCCACACACATCTTGCCTATTTGCCAAATTACAGGAGGCAAGCATTTTTCTTCCCATGTTTATCAAAGCTTAAAGACACTTCTAGTGCACTCTGTGTCAGAAACATATGCTGCTTTCTCTCTAAGTTAGGTACTTTTTCATGACAGTCTCAGTAATCAGCCTGCTCACCTGCTGTTACTGAATAAGAGCTGGCTATGAAAGAAAGAGGGAAAAGAAAGAAATTGATGAGTTCCAAAACACAGTTTCTCTCTTTCTTTCTTTCTTTCAGGTTATTTGATGTGGATGGTACTGTTGAAAACGTCCTGTGTAAATTTCTGAAATCTAGCAATACATTTTTAAAAATTTATTAGATGTATCTCCTGTTCTGTCCCCTGGGTTCAGAGCAGCTTATAGCAGTTTCTCCAAATGTGGACACTTCTGTCCCCAAGGGACTCACAGTCCAAATACATTATGATTTTGCTGAGCCCTTCTCTCTGTGTGCATAATAAGCAGATGGATAAGAGGGGACTCTGGCCATGCTACTGGCACCACCTCTGACATCACATGCCACCCTGATGACCTTTTCACAGGTCTGGAAAAAATCACCTATGTCCACACCACTTTTCAGATCTTTCACTCTGTGCATGAAGGTCAGAGGCAGCACCAAGGAGTGCATGACATTGTGGACCAAGCTAGTGAAACAGTTCTGTTCTCCCTTCCTCATGAATTCCTTGTACACATTGCGAAGTTATGATGAATGAGCTTGTGGCTTAGATTATGGACTTCCTAGCTCCAAGAGCTGCTGCACATGACAGAATTTCCTGTATGGAACTCTACTCTGGCATGACAAAACTTTCAATTAATGTTATCAATTTATGCCTTCATCTGTCCCATTTGACAAACTACATGCAGCTTCCTGTATGGATGTGATCGCTGAATAGGAAATTGGTCTAGATAAGAAGCCAATGAAGTCTTTTACTCCATTAACCACCTTAATCATCATCCTCATCAACTTTATAACAAGGTAAAGCGATATGATGACCACTCCCCTATTACAGACCTGGATCTGAGACATCCTAGTTTGCACAAAGCCAGCCTCTGGATCTGTGGCTGACCTAAAGTTTCAAGCAGGGGCTTTTCAACCAATGACCCATGCACTAAAAAGCCATGGCTCTACATCAGCTCTCAAATATGTACTTACCATTGGCTCTAATGGCCACTGCATGATGTCACAAAATCCCTTCACTGGGTGGGTCATTGCCACAATGCCAGGAATGCCCAGCACCATGAGGTGAAATGTCGCACTGACACGAAAATATTTAATAGCAATGGAACACAGATGGTCGTGGAAATAACTCACCTGCATTTTAGCCACTTGTGATTCATCACTTTTTATTTACTTTTTTATTCATAGAATTTCTATACCACCCTTCATCCAAGGATCACAGGACAGTTTACAATTCAAAATCAAAATAAATCAAAATAAAATACTCAGTTGCACTTATTCAACATTTTGTTAATGGGTCAATATGTTTCAAATCTTCAGGATGTGAGGGCCATTCCTTATGTAGCTAGCAGGGCTGGGGGAATCCCCAAAGCTTGCAAATGTAGAGGGAACCCTGAAAACAGCCCAATGGGAACAAACCTTGCTCGGTGGCCATGGGGTTAGGGCCGTCTTACCCATAGGCACTAGGGGTGCGGGGCACCCAGGGGCTGGGGTCTCAGGGGCGCCAGGCCGAGAGTCCCGGGCCCAGGAGTTAAGCCTGGGGAAGAGCCCATCCGTCGGTTGGAGTGCCGCGGCAGGCTCACCTGCTGTGGGAGGCTCTGCGCTGTGAATTCAGGGGCGACCGAGCCAGCGAGACGCTGAGGTGGCCGGCCAACTCCACCCTCCTGTGCACCTGGGACTGGGCAACCTGGGGGGGGGGGCGCCAGGCAGATCTTTGCACCCCGGCGCCGCATATGCTTAAGACAGCCCTGCATGGGGTACTGGTTGGCTGTTTGGGGGCTGGCTGGGGACAATGACAGAAAGTAGAGTGGGAACAGAACGGAATGATCTCAGAGAAATGGAAATGCTGAAAACATTCAGCTGCAGAACCCACTTATTCATTCCTTATAGGTATTTATTCAATTTCTACCCCACCCTTCCTTACAAAGGAACGCAAGGCAGCAAAAACATAAATAATAAAACTTTCCCCAAAGCATTCTGAAAACAGTGCAAACAGTCTAATAGACAGTTTGAAACATTCTCTCGCCGGCTGATCACCCCAAGTGCAGAAATTGATTTTGGTGAAACCTCCTTTCTGCTTAAGGAATGTTATAGATTAACAACCCCTTATGGGGTGGGGTGGTCTCTGAACACGCACAGAAGGCAATGGGGCCTGGGGTGGGGGAGGGGAAGCTCCTTGCATCTTGCTGAAGGAATCCATCCCTGCCCTTTGAAAGCTTCTCCCTCCGCTGTCTAGTTGCCGACACCCCCACCCTCTGCAGTGACACATGCCAGACACTGTGGCAGCGAGAGCTTAATTCATTGATCTTTCCACAGCTTTGAGATTCTTTAAGCGCACCAAGATGGAGAAAGCCATTTCCATTCATTGAGGAGGCATATGTGTTTTAACTTGCCTCCAGAAGTGAGTTGACATGAGTCTCCCCCCCACCCCCCACCCACCCACATACACACAGACTCGCCCCCCTCCCCTTCAAAAGGGTTCCCTATTTGGCCATCCCCCTTAGCAGCTGGACTACAAACCCCCTCGGCTTACCTTACATGGGCTGTGGGGCCCCGAGTGTTTCGCCCGGGCTGTGACTTTTGCCTTCCCTACTCCATTAATGGCCTCGCTGCTCCTCAATGGCGTGAAGGCGACCAAATAAGGACAAGGTGCCTGGCCGGTCCCTCAGGAGCCGGAGAGTGACACCGCCACTCCGCCGAGTATAAATGGGTGGCGCTCCCTGCGAGTCGGGACCCAGCCTGGTGCTCAGGACCCCCGCGCAGTTCTAAGTGTTGAGCTGGTGAGTAGCGCAGCTGACCAAGCCCGGCCGTCTAAGCCTGGATGCGGCAAGGCAGGAGCCGCGCTGGGCATCCTCAGGGCAGCCTCCCTGCCAAGCACCTCGGTTGTCTTCGACGGGACGTGTGTTTGCGCGACTGGGCGATCCAGAGAGGTTGGGTGGGCTACGAAGCATTGAATTGGATCCGCTGCGCAACCCTGCGCACAGATCTACCTGGAAGCAAGTCACACTTTGTTCGATGGGGCTGTGCGCGCTTGCAGCTTCGCGCTGCGATCCTAGCCCCGTTTTACCTGGGGGTAAGCCCCATTCAATAGGACTTACTTACGGTTAGGATCACGCTGTTTCAGCCAATGAAGCGCCAGGCAAGATCGGTTTAAATTTACTCTTCCCATCCGGATTGTGGATCGCCTTTGGGGTGCGCTGCGCGGCTTGCGCGCGCGGAAGAGATGGCTAGAGAGTAACAGGTTTAAGTTCAACTACTCTCAGAGTTAACTGTGTAGGATTGGGCTATTTGGTCTCCCTCGGAAAATTCACCGGTGGTTTTGTTTTGCTTGCAGCACGCTGCCCGAGACATAACAAAGAAATGTTGTGTTTGCTCTCTAAGCCGCCACATTAGCGCTATTTCTAACTTTACATTTCACCCTCTCCACTTGTACAGTTGCGGGGAGGGGAATCCCAAGAAATAACGACTTTTGAAAGTACTGACACCCCCAAAAAAACCTTACTGGGATTCCAAATTTGCGTTCAGTCAAAAATATGAGGGTCCCGAGTTTGGACAGGGCAATACAAGAAAATAGGAGAGCGCTGCGATCCACAAATTGCTTGAGGCGGGCGCTGTTGAATTCGAGCGGGCTAAATCCCTAAAGCGATCCAAACACGGCACCTGCTTAAGCAATGTGTAGACCGCGCCAACTACAGTCGTGTCTCCCGTGGCGCGAAGGCATTCTGACCTGTTGTAACTGGAGCCCCGCCGGATGAATTAGAGGAGCGCAGCCAAGGAATATCATGGGTGGCATGTGGGGAAGGGAGCCCGTTGCCTGGAGCCTGGAACCGGCCCGAGCGGGGAACTTTCGGCTGGGTGGAGTTTGTTGTTGTTTGTTTTGTCTCTTCGTGCTTAGACGTGAAGGGTCTTTTGAGATCGGGAGGGGAGAAGCGACCCAGCCTCGGGGGCTCTCTGCTTAGCGCTGCCGCCGATTTCGGTCTGGCCCCCCGGCCCGGACGACGCGCCCTACTTGCCGATCTTGTGTCTTTCAGCTCCCTGATTCCTTCCCGAGATGTGTGACGACGAGGAGACCACCGCCCTCGTGTGCGACAATGGATCGGGCTTGGTCAAGGCAGGCTTCGCCGGAGACGATGCCCCTCGCGCCGTCTTCCCTTCCATCGTCGGCCGCCCCAGGCACCAGGTAAACTTTCCACCCCCGACGACACCAAAGAACAAGGAGAGAGCAGTCTTTTCCTTTGACTTGCCCGGGGGACTGTCAAACTAATGCATACATGTGCAGTGTACGCGAACACGCGTCCCTTTTTCCTTTTCCTTTAAAACCCGTCCTAGCTCCACTGTATACTCCGATCTTTCCCTCTCCAGATTTTCCTCTCCCTCAGCAGTCCTCGCTTCTCTAACTTTCTCTTCTTCAGCTTGCTGCAGTGAATCTCCCCATCCCCTTGCCGCAAACTTTTCTCTTCTTATCTGTTTGGCAGATCAGTTTGTGTGCCTCCACAAATCATAAACTTGTAACATTGGGCATAAAGAGACACAACGCTCCTCAAACTCGTTTTCTACAGTACTTGGTCATTGACCGCAACAGATTGATTGAATTCATGTTCCAGTTTTTGACATTCCAATCCCCGCTCCGTCTTCATTTACTTGCTAGTAACACTTCAATTCCTTGCTCCCCCTTTTGCTTTGATCTTCTATTCCTCTTCCCCATTGGCGAGTTCCAACTTTTTAAGCTGGAAGTGATTTGAAAACTAATATAAATCGGTCTTCCCCGTTTCTGTCTTGTACATAGTTGCTGCACATAACTAAACCTTCCCGTTTGGCACAGTGCCACTTCCACAGTGCCGCAAGGACCTACAATGTACAGTTGGCACCTTATATAAATGCTCATTAATAGTAACCTTATCTCCCAGTAGTTTGCAGCTGCAAAGCAACTTTGCATGCCCTGCTTCTATAATCCTATTTTCCTCACTTGCATTCCAATCACCTTCCAAGGAATTTAGGTCAATGTCAATGGGGTTATTCCATATCTCACAACAGACTTGTCAGATGGACTACGATCAGAAATAGTGACTTTTTCCATATCACCCAGAGACTTGAACAATAATTTCCAAGTCCTCTTACTACTCCATGGCCCCTTAAACTTCCATTCTATTACTTCTTTTGCTTTTAGTCCTCTGCTCCATTTCTCTCCTTTTCTATCCTGTATTTGCTTCTCACTTGTATCTTATTCCCTTGCTTACTTTCCTTTTTGTGTTAGCTTCCCAGGCTGTTACTTTCTATTATTCACTTTCCGTTGAAAAATAGTTTTAAAATTTTGTATGTTAACAATCTCATACCTATGATAAATACATGACTTTTGGGTCCTCTCAAATAAGTAGTAGCAGTGCCAATCCTTATTCCATACTCACCCAACATTGTTGAACTACAGATCCCATTATCCCTGGCTACTGGCAATGCTGAATGGGGATGATGGGAGTTGTAGTCCATCGTCCTCTGAAGGGCTACTCTTGATCTGCAAATTTTATAAGTCTTAAAAAATCCACTTTCCCCATAACCATAGAAAGAGATCACCTTTAACTTTTTAAACTTTAACTTGGCATGATTTCTGGAACATAACATTGGATGTATTTGCTAATAAACGTGACATGTTGAACTATGCTGGCCAATTCAGGTTCATGGACGCAATGAAAAACAGGCATGACCCAGACCCAGTTATCCAGTGGAAGAACTTGAAGCATGCCATCAGTATAACTCCAAAACGCTTTAACACTGTTCCTTAAATTTCTGAGGCTGCATTTGCCAAACCGCAGTAGTTTACTTCAACAGTAACCAACCATCAATTACTTCATCCTGGGAAGTACGTGGAAATATTGTACAGGAGTAATGTCCACGTAGTGCTGCCAGTGAGGAAACTAGAGAAGTTGTTGTTGTTTTTTACTGTGGCAGTTAGTGCTGGAACAAACTAGTAAACTACTACTAAATGACAGGTGATGCAAATGCACCCTAAATACATTTTATATATTAGTTTTCATTCACCCACATTTTATACCTGTTCCATAACCAAGCGAAAGAAGAAAATGACCTTTTAATAACACGAATTAAATGATGAATTGTTGACACCATCTTTCATCAACTTTCCTCTGCTTGTCTCCACTGAAGTCAATCATTTTGTCCTTTAAGCTACACTGTCTCACAATGCCTGGCATTGTTTTCTTGTCTCTTCTGCCCTCTAGGGTGTCATGGTTGGTATGGGCCAGAAAGACTCCTATGTAGGTGATGAAGCTCAGAGCAAGAGAGGTATCCTGACCTTGAAATATCCCATTGAACATGGCATTATCACTAACTGGGATGACATGGAAAAAATCTGGCACCATACTTTCTATAATGAACTGCGTGTTGCCCCCGAAGAACATCCCACCCTGCTTACCGAGGCTCCTCTGAACCCCAAGGCCAACCGTGAAAAGATGACCCAAATCATGTTTGAGACCTTCAATGTGCCTGCCATGTATGTGGCCATCCAAGCTGTTCTATCCCTTTATGCTTCTGGACGTACTACAGGTAAAAAGCAACTGGTTGTTTGGCTTAGCAGTCTCTCTACACCTAAGCCAACCAAGTTCACTCCCTCCTTGTATTTTGCATTAAATTTGGATCGGGGGTGGGGAACATGCAACTCCACAGAAGTTGGAGCACAACTAGGATCAGCCCCAACCAACACCAGGCAGTAATCAGGGATGATGGGAGTTGTAGCTGCAACAACATCTGGAGTTGCCATAGCTTCCCCAACCCTGAGCTAGATTCTCAGAAAGCTGTAGTTCCTACAATAATGCTCAGTCTCTATTGCACATTAGAGACCCCCAACTTTTTCTCCCTTTGCAGGCATGGTAATAGCCCACTGGTTTAGCCATTCTAAGTGGTGCCCAGTAAACATTATGGCATCAATATATGTATCCCAAATTCCATAGGACCTGGCACCATCTTGGAGACCAACCGAGCTGGAGACCAAAGGGCCCAATAAATATATTTAGAAGCACCTGGGAATTTCCACCCTTCTTTTCCTGCAGTTGGCGCCTTCCCATTTTTTCTTTATGATTTCTCTAATTTATTTGAATGTCACTCCATAATAAGAAATTATCTGTGTGGCTCACAATATACAAGTAAAAAATGCCAACTGGAATGCAAAGTAAAACATAAAGCCATTGAAAAGGAAGACAACAACAAACTACATAAGTACAACAAAACTCCCAAAATTAAAAACTGATTTTAAGAAACAGGTTAAATTATTCAACCTGATTAAATTATTTAAAAAGCCTGGCCTGGGTGAACAGAAAGGTCTTCAGCAGGTGCCAAAACAAACACAAAGAAGGGAAGATGATTCCAGAAAGGGGTTACCACTTCAGAGAAGGCTCTCCTACCATATAGGCAGGCCAGTCATGTGATTCCTTCTCACCTGGTCATTGCCTAGCCAAGATGAAGGATGATGATCAGGTGCTCTTGGCCCTTTATATGTCATAGCAGCTTTGTGGGATAAATGACACCATTTTGTGAATACAGCATGGGCATGCTATGCTGGGGGGGGGGGGACAATCTGTAGTAAATACTCTCAGTATTAAAAAATAAATATCTTACCATAGTTGTAATGGAAGACACTACCATTACTGATAGAAAAGGTAAGCTGAAGATGAATTTCAGGAAGTCTTTGTCTTGGATATTATGGTCTGTGGCATGATGCTGAGAACTATTTGAAATAAGAAAGCTCTCCCTTCTCAGTCATTTTTGTTATATCAAGGGCCCCACTTGAGTCTTTATTTGCATACAAATTCTTCTGACCTGCTAAATTGCTTGCTGAAAGGCCCCATAGCTCCTGAAAACGTTGCTATAGGTTTGTTTGCATAAAGGCTTATCTGATCTTGGCCATTACTATCTCACAGGTATTGTCCTTGATTCCGGGGATGGTGTTACGCACAATGTCCCAATCTATGAAGGTTATGCTCTCCCTCATGCCATCATGCGCCTGGATCTGGCAGGCAGGGATCTGACCGACTACCTCATGAAGATTCTAACAGAACGTGGTTATTCCTTTGTGACAACTGGTAAGCACAATTCAGGCTCACTTGGAAATGTGGGTGGGGGGGAGCAATGGTTTGTTTTAATATAGATTTCTATTTGTCCATGAAGATTTTGACTACACATCCACACAAGCACGGCAACAAAATATTGAACAAACTAAATACATTGCCTACATTGTCACCACAATTAAAAGGCATTTCTGTGAACTAATTCCTCTTATTATAAAACCCTCCCCAAACATGTTGATTATAAAATGTGCACATTTAATGCAAAAATATTCTGCTTAACTTTCTTTTAAAACATGAGTTCTGCTACATTCTACACTAACACATACCACTTTTAGAAGACTTGAAAATAGCAACTCGGTAGAATTAAATTCAATGATAGCCAAAGTCATATAAAATGGATTAAATATATATATATATTAATCCTCTGACTGGAACTGTGCTTCTTGCCAGATTCCACATGGGCCACCCCCACTACCATTTTCTCCTCTTACCCTGCAAGACTTTGCTTTTGCACAAATCCTGCTTCTCCTACAATTCTTCAACCCATCTAGTTTATTGAGTGATGCTGGAGGCACCTCCAGGATGTGACAGATCGCTATACTCCTGTTTGAGTGCAGGGAACCTCTCAGAGAAAGGGATAGTTTCTTTCCTCAATACACTTTCATTCGCCTTGGTTCCCACTTGCCTTTCCTTGGCCTTTATCTCCTCTTCTCTGCCATTAATTTCTGGTTTTGCCTTTACAGCTGAACGTGAGATTGTCCGTGACATTAAGGAGAAGTTGTGCTACGTTGCTCTGGACTTTGAGAATGAAATGGCTACTGCAGCCTCCTCCTCTTCTCTAGAGAAGAGCTACGAGTTGCCTGATGGCCAGGTCATCACAATTGGGAACGAGCGTTTCCGCTGCCCAGAAACACTCTTCCAACCATCTTTCATTGGTAAGTGTCCTGAAGCATGCAACATGCAAAACTCATCTATGTTACAGAATCCCTCACAAATTTTAGGATCATTACTACTGACAAGTGCCTGACGGAAGGAAGTGTGTGTGGTGATTGGGGGGTGGGGAAGGTAGTGGGATGGTTAGGCCAGATTCAGTCATAGAACTAAAACTTCTGGTAACAAACTGCCCCCCCCCCCCAGATCAGTTAAGGAAGAAAGAAAGCATCTAACTGATTACATGGCATATCATACTTATAGAACAACTAGTGAACTATCTACAGTGGTACCTCGAGTTACAAACACCTCAGGTTACAGACTCTGCTAACCTGGAAGTAGTACCTCGGGTTAAGAACTTTACCTCAGGATAAGAACAGAAATTGCGCAGTGGCGGCGCAGTGGCAGTGGGAGGCTAAAGTGGTACCTCAGGTTAAGAACGGTTTCAGGTTAAGAACAGACCTCTGGAACGAATTAAGGTAGTAACCAGAGGTAACACTTTATATAATATACAAGTTACATGCAACACATATTTTATAGCCACAAAAAATAATAGGCACCTCTCTTGACTATCCATAGACCTGCTCTTCTACATAAATGGTATCTTCCTTAAAAGGAGGATTTCTTGTTTGTGGCACTTACCAAGTACATTTTTAAAAATACACAATCATAGTTTCCCAATTTGTGTAGGTCCGCATCTGCTTAGATGGCTGCTTTGAAATACTAAACACAACTTTGCTGCTGTGTACAATGCCTTAAAATACTTTCATGGAGAAATCTAACACCTTTGGGGTTCAAAATGCTTTGGGGAGTTATTATTGATAAAATTTCTATCCCATCTTTCCCCTGGATTTCGGGTGGTGTGGGTGGTTCCCTCACACGGGGCTGAGCTGAGGTGCAAAACAACAACAACCAAACATATATTTATATGGGTAGCTACTGGTAAGATCCATAACAAAGCATCTGTACCAAAAGGAATTATTGTGAAAATAAGTAGTATTGGGGTGGGGGCGCCAAATTCTGACCTCACTCAGGGCGCCATATTACCAAAGCCCACCCCTATTCCAAGGTGCTCAATCAATATGGCAGTATACATGGTTTTGCCCTTCTCCATTTTATCCTCAAAACAACCCTTTGTGGTAGTTTAGGCTGAGAGAAAATGACTGGTTTTCATGTGAGCTTTCATGATTGAGTGTGGATTTGAACCCTGGTTTTCCAGGCCCTAGTCTGACAAAAACCACTTCACCACATTGGCTCCACCACATAGTTATGTCTGTGTGGAATGGCATCCCATCCCCAATGTGAGCCTTGTTGATGACCAAGGACTAGTTTAGGGGGGCTTTATTGTATTTAGCAAGTGATAACAAAGTCTAAGGAGATGGATTGCTTTGTTTAGACAGTGTCTAGCAAACTGTGGCACTAAAGGAGTAAAATGTAGCATTGGAACTGGCTGTCAGCTGCTGCTGCATTCCTTTTTTTTGGCACACGTTCTCACCACACAGCAAAAATCCTCATTTGTTGAGTTTGCTCTTTTTTTGGGGGGGGGAGGAGACATGTGTATCCTGAAGAATTACTGCATCTAGTCCAACAAACATGTGCGTCTGAGGCCTAATAACTTTATCCTCTTGGTTATTCTTCTCAGTTAGTTAAATTAAATTATCCAGCCGTGTGAGGCTTCTCTCCATCAGCAAAATGACTAATTACACTAGGGGTGTTGGGGAGGGGTGAGGAGACATCTATTAGGAATATCTACATATCTGACTAGCTCCCTAGTTTTATGGGCTGAATGTCTATTGCCATGGACTATTAGATGTGCCTGTGTCGCAGGCATGAATGCCAAAGGCACAACATCATTTACTTTAAAGACTAGAGTGGTTGTCCTGTGCCAATCACATTGCAATGTTCAACAAAAGAAAATAATCACAATAAATGCTCCTCAAATATAATTTTTTCTTTGGCAATTTAATCTTGAACACAATAAAGAGCAGGTCTTCTGGCCTTGCAGAAACTTGTATCCATGGCTAATTTATTATTGACCCTTCCAGTGCCCAGCAGCAGCAGCAGCAGCAGCAACAACAACAACAATGATTTATTAAATATAGAATGGCACTCCAGATTATGCCAGATCCAGTATGTTAGTAACATCAAAGTGACGAGTTACAAATAAAGGAAAGTAATATGCTTGAGGAAAGGCTGTGTGTTAGTAGCTTGGCATTGTGGTTTTGATTGACTGCATTTGTGAGTTTTATTTGAGCCATAGTTCTGAGGGTTTACGGTATATACCTTAGACAAAGGTGTGTTGCAGAGGTTTTACCTCCTTGCACTTCAATAGAGTTTGCAGGGACAACTCCGCATAAGATCCGTTGAAATGGGTGGAGATGCTACTGGAGCAGTGCCTGAGAAATGCACCCTGTAAATGCTCCAAAGATAACTTGAAGTTCCAGAAAGGCTGGGGTAGATTCCTATTCCCTAAAACCAACCTTTGATTTGATTGAGATAGTAATCTCCCCTTGTTCTGCCAAATAAATCTGATGGATGCAGCAAGTGTTTATAGTGTAAGTTTTGTGTGTTTAAATGCAGCTGCTCGTCAGCTGCTGTTTCATTAAGGATCAAGTTTCAGTTCACTTTAAGCAGCCACCTGTCAACTAATACATTGGAACGTAACCCGTAAATTCTTACTTCTGATGTATTTTCTCCCCATGCTCCCAGCTAAGCTCCTGCTCATACCTTCATCATCTGTCGCCTTCATAAACACAGGCTCTGCATTTCTCCACTTTCAAATGCAATTGCTAGCATAACCCCCTGTGCCTTGAAGTTCTCGCCATGTGGGCCATCAGTCTTACATTGCATCATGTCAAATCAAATTAGCCCAGTCATTAAAAAAAACTGTGCTGTGTATAAATTTATGAGGACATGTGCTGTGCATATCCATCTAACATGCTGACACAAAAACGGTTCATACAGCACTTTTTTTTTTGTTCATGCAAACAATCTTAACATTCCCTGGAACGTTGCTTTAAAGCTTTGGTGTGCTAAAGTTGCCTTGAGAAATGTAAAAACGAATCAGTGCAACACAATAAACAACCATTTCTGTGAACACAGTGATTGTGTTTCCACAGCCCCTATATATAGCCAAATGTCACACAGTGACACCTGTGAAGTTCTGAACAAGCTACATTTCTGTGGTATAACTGGCATTATGCCACATTCTGAACCTTTTATATTATTATTATTATTATTTATTATTATTATTATTATTTTATTAAAAACTATCCCACCTGCCTCCTTTCCTTTCATACCTTATTTATTAACCCAGATATTAGGGTTTTAAAAAAAACTTTACCCAATTTTATGGCAAATTCTTGATGAGAAAATGGCTTTTTGCATTTTCAGTTCTCTTTTGTAGCTTTCTGCTTACGAATAGTGTTTCATAAAATCTCTTCTACCTTCGTCATTCAACAACTGCACATTTTCTTTTCTTTCCAAGGCATGGAATCTGCTGGTATTCATGAAACTACTTACAACAGCATCATGAAGTGTGACATTGACATACGTAAAGATCTGTATGCGAACAATGTACTGTCAGGTGGCACCACCATGTACCCTGGTATTGCAGATCGTATGCAGAAAGAAATTACCGCTTTGGCTCCCAGCACCATGAAAATCAAGGTGAGCACATCTTTCATGTTCCCAACTGAAAATCAGAGTAATTTCAACTTTACCCAAATCTGAAAATGTGTATGAACGTTGTGTGTCGATGTCTTATGGGACAGCAGAAACAATGATGCAAGCAGTTATATTGTCTGGAAACTGAGAACCTTGCTTCTTTCCCTCTCTTTAGATCATTGCCCCTCCTGAGAGGAAGTACTCTGTCTGGATAGGTGGTTCCATCTTAGCATCTCTTTCAACTTTCCAGCAGATGTGGATCAGCAAACAGGAGTATGATGAGGCTGGCCCATCAATTGTCCACCGCAAGTGCTTCTAAGCATCTCCCTGCCCTCCCCCTCCACTCATCTCCCACTCAGGATGACAACATGCTTCTTGAAGTCTTTTTTTCCAGTAATCCTTCCTGAACTTGGTTCAGCTATTGTACAGTTTGTTTACACACACCCGTGCAATTTATTTGTGCTTCTTTGAATATTTATTGCTTTATAAATAAACATGATCTGGGACTTGCAACCTAAATATGCTCTTCAGGCTGTTTTCTTTTGTGTGGACATCCAAAAGCTGATTAGTAATATATATATATATTTGTGGCACTTAGCGTTCAAGACATCATTGTCCTCCAGAGTGATCCTGTTTGGTGGAACAAGAAGCTCAGCTTCTTCCTATTAATTCAATCTGTCTATGTATTTTTGCTTTCCTTTTGAAACTTGAACAGATAAATACTGTATTTGATGCTAATATTTGAAAAGCAGTAGCCCGGGGTAAATAAAATATATAGGACAGGAGTGACAATCTGTTTTGCATTAAATCACTAGATTTGGAAAATTTTCTCCCCCAGTAAAGCTCAGCGTAATCTAAGCATTGAAAGCTTAAGCACTGCTCAGCAAACCCAATTCTGTTATGTTAATATGATCAGAGAGTTATTTATAATAAATTGGGTTGATTTCTTAATCCTTCAAATACCCATCAATTATTTTCTTTGGGCAAGACAGAGCAAAGGAAAACACTAATCTCTTCTGACAACTTGCCCTCCCCTACCTTCTCAAGCCTACGCCAAACCCTGAAAGAAACAACTGTAAAGCTTGGATGTGCTGAAGCAAACGTCTGGAGTAGTTACAATTTTAAACAAAATGTTATTGGTGCTTTTACAGCCCAGTTCTTATTCCTGTCTGGCACCAGGCCAGGAAATTCTCCACCCCACTGTGGGTGCTATTAAAATAGCCAAAGTAGGTGGTGAAAGGCCTGGCTATTTCTTTATGCTTTTCAACAGTTTATATACTGTTTTTAATCACAGTTGCCACACTCCTGTTCCACATGTTAGACTCACAATCTGTTGGGATTACAAGGGACAGCAACAAATGTTTTAGCAGCCATCAGTAGAGTTTCACCTAGAGACACCATCAGTATTAGGGACAGAGAGGCCTTTGAAATGAGATGAGGCTGAACTGGAGATGATTAGAGAGATCAGAAATCAGATCTACTATACCTTTAAATGTTAGTAAAACACAGGTGTGTGTGTGAAATTTGGAATTATTATTGTTGTTGTTGCAAAAGTCGGATACCAACCTCTGCAGAGCAGTGTAAAGATTTCAGGGGGTTCCAGGAGCTCATGTTTCCATTGAGAATCAAGGCTTAGCAGGGGCTGTCGTAGCTTTAAGAAATATGATTTATTCACATATTTACACCTGAATTTAGATGCAGGGAGTCCAGATCTTACAGCATGGCCATCTCATGAGGGGTCTGTTTCCCACAGCAGTGCAGCTCTGGAGTCCAAGGCATCTCTCCTAAGCCTACCTTCAGCCAGCCTGCCAAGATGGTTCTGTCCTTCCAGACCACGCATGGCGTTCTGGCCTCTCCAGCAGCTCATGGAGGACTCCTCTTTGTTCCCCTCCTCTTCTGCCAAAGCACACCTTGCTTTAAAACCCAAACCTCCTTCCTCAGACCCCTCCCCATCACCTTGGTCACTGGTTTTGCACAGACCTGAGGGATTCCTCTTTAACTGCTATGGACTGTCAATTGTTTTATAATGACTTACATTCAACCAGCCCATCCAGGCTCAGTTGAATAGGCTACACCCAGGACAGCTGCAGCCTGCATTTCCCCCTACAATATGCCAAATATTGTATATTAGCTAGATTAGAATAATATATTCATTTATTTTTTGGGGTTTAGGGGGGGATTTCCCTCTTCCCAAACAACAGTATTGTTATTTTATAAATTACCTGCCCTTCATCGAAAGGCCGCAGGGCGGGTTATAGCAATTTAAAAATACTGTATTAGATAGAGTTTAAACACTATGGGCCATAGTGTTGGAGGAGAGGGGATCTAACCCTATCAGACACATACCTATACTGCTATCAGTGGGGAAAGTGTTTTACTCCCAGTGGACAAAGACCTTCTTAGCACTGCAGTCTTAATCTGGTGTGGGCTCACCAGAGCTTTTTTCCTTTTAATAACAGTATTTAAATAAATGAAAGATCCAATCCTGGATCTCCACCATATTTTCTGGTTTTGCTTTAAGTAACAGTCATGTCACAATTATCTGGAAATTTTGTGTTTGCATGGTTACATTGGGATTATACTGGTGTTTTCTTGGGTGGCCACTTATGCAAAAAATAAATAAATAAAGAGCAAGAGCGAGAGCGAGAGCGAGAGCGAGAGAGAGAGAGAGAGAGAGAACACTGATTTACACACCCCTAAGTTACACCTGGGGGTAAAATTACATCCCTGGTGCACTTTTTATTGTAAAATTTCCACTGACGTAGACTTAGGGTGTAGTTCTCCTAGGATATTGTCACTGGCAGAGTAGTAACCAATGTCAGCAAATTTCAGCCATTTAGTGTTCTTTCAATACACACAAAAAAAGAGCCAGAGATAATTTTTTTAATCCCAAAAGAAGCAACTGAGGGACGAGGGGGTCATTGGGTTCTTCCCTGACCTGAAATTTTGTACCAAGGAGACTAGAGTTTCGGTTGATGCTGGAGATGCATAGGTTTGTTTTGCTCTGTGCTGGACCCAAAGCTATAGCTCGAGGATCTCCCTGGGAACCTAACGGGAAGGCAAGTTTTGTGGAGAATGACTGCTGGGAGTTCCTCCATCCTATGTTCAGGTTGTCTATATGTGCAAATTAAGCCATATATCCTAAAGAGACAACAGCTTCTACTGACCTTCATCCCAAGAAAATGGAAGCCTTGCTAGGTGCTTGCACTGCCGAAGCTTCTCACCACCCTAAGACTGGGCTGTGCACAACACTATATAATGTGTATGCTGTATGTATACAGTGTGTGTGTGTGTGTGTGTGTTCAAACTGTTCCCTTTATAGTACTACAGATGTCTTTTCTCCCAACTGTAAACCACTGAAGTTCTCCATTGAGCAGAATGCTGGAAAAGCTACGGGGTTCTGTTCTGCAAAGCTGCTACAGGTGGGGAAATGTTGGAGCAGACCGGACATTTCTCTGATGTATCTGGCATGAAGTATTTATTCTTATTCAGCAGCAGCCTCTCTCCAGCTATGTTATTCATAGCACATTAACTTAATCATTGCCCTGGGAATTCTGTCCATTGCTAGGAGAAAGGTAAGGGAAAGGGAAATCTTAAGGCACATTTGCGGCACTGTGGCTGCCTTTCCTTGGAAGGCCTGATAACGTCTGTCATGCCACATTTTCTACCTAATGACAAAGCTTGCAGCAGCTCCTCAGCCCTCAATGTGCTCTCAGCTCCGAGCTTCCCATTCCCCCCGCCCCCCTGCAGCCATAAGCAGCACTAAGTAAACACACTGACATACTGTGGCTGGACAACATGGAGATTAGGCAGGCTGGTCCAAAGGTGGTGGGTTATTTCAGTTCCATTGAATTGTTTGTGTTAGGAAAACAGTGCACAACTAGGATACAGATCAGACAAAAAATAATTTACGGCATTCATTTATTTATAAATATGCATATGCCACTCTTCCCAAAGAAATGCCAAAACTGTAAATATGAGACAAAACGCATCAGTTGCTCAGCTGCCATCGGTCTGTCTTGGGAGACAGTAGAAGAGCGTGCCTTCAGGGGTGAAGTCAAACTGTTGGAGGATTAATGCACCTGTTGTGGCTGTAGAGACCAATATGGGAGAGACATGTTTTGTTGCAGCTGGGGCAGCTGAAAGTGTCTGATTGTGCTCTAGTGGTTAAGAGTGGTAGTCTCGTAATCTGGGGAACCGGGTTCGCGTCTCCGCTCCTCCACATGCAGCTGCTGGGTGACCTTGGACTAGTCACACTTCTCTGAAGTCTGTCAGCCTCACTCACCTCACAGAGTGTTTGTTGTGGGAGAGGAAGGGAAAGGAGAATGTTAGCCGCTTTGAGACTACTTCGGGTAGTGATAAAGCGGGATATCAAATCCAAACTCTTCTTCTTCTTCTTGCAGGTGTACCATGGCATTTCTTCTTTCTGTGCTCCTCCCAGTGGTCATTCCTCCTCTGGTCACTGTCATGGATGCACAATCTGACTGTCTGTCTCAAGGCACTGCAGACATCTGCAAGGGATTCCCACATGGTGGGGCTGATGTTGCTAGTCTTCATGTCACATTTGCAGGCATCTTTGTAACACAGATTTGGTCTGCCAATGGGCCTGGTGCCCGAAGCCAGCTTCTTGTAGAGCACATCCTTGGGGATCCTGCCATCTTCCATTCTGTGGACATGACCAAGCCAGCATAAAATGCACATGCTCCACAGCTTGGTATTTTCCATGGAATTCAGGCTGTAGTATGGCGTGTGCAGCAACCACAATATTTGCCTTGTATCTGCAGTGTTTGGAAGCAGCTCAGTTTGTGTCAGATCAGCTATGTGTTCCAATTCCATTCAGGTTCAAATTTTATCTGTTAAATCCAAGCTCTGTTGTGTCCCCAATGACTATACAGTCATACCTCGGGTTACAGATGCTTCAGGTAGCGTGTTTTCGGGTTACGGACATGCCAAAACCCGGAAGTACCGGAACAGGTTACTTCCGGGTTTCAGTGCTCGCACATGCGCAGAAGTGCTAAATCACACTTTGTGTATGCACAGAAGTGCCGAATTGCAACCCGCACATGCGCAGATGCAGCGCTGCGGGTTGCGGATGCTGCGGGTTGTGAACGTGCCTCCCACACAGATCAGGTTCACAACCCGAGCGTCCACTGTAATAAGGAATAACAAATGGCCGTATTTTCCTTTCCTTTCGGCATAAATGGGTGAAATTTTCAGGCAAAGGAGCCCCTTCAGAGTGGATTGAGTCTCCACATCCATCAATAGGTTTTTGTGTGTGCAGGGAACCTTTAAATTTTATTTTCCAAGGAAAGAAAACATCTCTAACTTTTTAATTTTCTGCCAGAGTTGGCCGAAAATTGGAGGCATCGTCCGTTGTCTTAGAGGATGAAGCTGGTCATATTTATGAAAGATGGGTGCATCAGTTCTCCTACAAGAACCCTTTATCATTTTGTGGTGTGAAAATTGGGCTAAGACCCAATTATCAATGCACATTATTCATTTCTGGGCTTAGCTCAAAGTGTTCATTTTAGTTTTTAAACCATACATGGCTTAGGGGCAAGTCAGCTTAGGAAACTTTTGCCCTTTCATGAGTTCCCCTCTTAGTCAGATTCAGAAGCCCTACCCTTGGTCCCATGCTTGTGTGACATTGGACAAATGGATATGAAAGACAGGGTCATTTCAGTGATGGCACCAAGATTGTGAAACTCGCTCCCCTTGGAGATCTATATTGGTCCTCTTCTCTGTTAGCATTTGCTGCTTTTTTGGGGGGGGAAATCTTTCAACATGCCTTTGATTTGTGGTTCCCTGGCCCTTTCCCTAGTCTTCACACTGCGCTTTGGCTTTTAACATACTATTTTATCTGCTGCTGTTTCTTATTGTACAGTAGTACCTTAGATCCCAAATGCCTTGGTACTCGGACGTTTTGTCTCTCGAACGTTGCAAACCCGGAAGTGTGTGTTCCGGATTGCAAACATTCTTTGGAATCTGAACATCCTACAGGGCTTCCACGGCTTCCAATTGGCTGCAGGAGCTTCCAGAACAGATTCCGTTCAACTTCCAAGGGACGACTGTATAGTTTTTATGATGGTTTTTGTTTGTTCAGGGAAGATTTTAATGTATGACATATTAGTGTACTTTTGGTCATTGTGGAAGCCGCCCAGAGTGGCTGGGGAAACCCAGCCAGATGGGCGGGGTACAAATTATTATTGTTGTTGTTTTTGTTGTTGTTTGCATTTCTATTGTTTTTAACTATGTAAGCTGCTTTGAGTGTCTTCAGACCGAATAATAACTCATCTTAGCTAATTTAAGCAAAACAAGCAAAAAAGCCCAACCTCAATTCAGGTCTGAAAAAACACATGAGGACAATAAGAAAAGCCTTGGGATGCAGCAGGTGGGCAGCCACATCCCATGGATTTTCTGTAAAAAGGATCTATGGTAAATAAATGATGCTCTTTCCCCCAGGAATACGATAATCTCATCAATAATATTTGTATGGACAAATCAGGCCCTTCTTTTTAAACGCACAGGAGATTCTGTACCTTAGATAAAATTGGGAACTATTTTCAAAGCTGGTTTCCGTATGTAGACATGATAGGAAATGATTGGGGAGTATATCCCGGGGGGTTCCCTACTTTGTCACAATGCATCCTATAAGGTTGTTCCATTGGGCTTGTCTGAGTAGTAATGCAAAACAATGAAAACAAATGCTTCCCTTCGGGAACCATACAATGCCTTTCCACCACCTTCCTTCTTAAATTGTTAGAATTTAAATATATTAAAATAATTTCCCGAAGCCCCATTCCAATGTTTAATGAATGCATTTGGGGGAAGGAGTGGGTTTGTAGTGGCAACCCCCTCCCAAATCCATGTGCTTTTGTTTTGAAAGAATCCATAGGTCCTACCTATTTACAACTGAAAGTCAGTCCATAGGTCTGTCTATGGAGCTCTTCAAAAGGAATTCACTTTGGTCCAAAACAGGGACTTCGGCCAGTCTCACTGCCCTTCCCACCACACATTCAATGAACGCCTGGAAAGAGGCTTAACAGATGCCATGAAGGTTTATTAAGTTTCTAAGTGTCAGAGGCACAGAGGAGTGGCCAAAGGTTGACATTTATCCCTTATAGTTTCATCACTAGTTAGTCCCAGGCTGTGATCCATCTTGATGACACTAGCCGACTCTGTCTCCTGATTGGGAGACAATCAGGGAACCACATGTACCCTGTCCTAGACTCCTAAGATACCAAGACAGAATAAATGCAAAATATAAATGTAAAGAAATAAATAACAGTATCTATTTTCCAATCTAACAACCCGGTTTGAGAACAATACAAGTACCACTGGACAGATGATTGGTCTGCCAGGAGGGGGCGTACCAGGAGAGTTATTGTGTTCATTTTTTAAAAAATAGAATCCACAGTTCAGCTATTTTTGTCATAAATTAGGAGTTGCTGGTTTCTTATAGAGAAGTGTGGAAGACCTCAAAGCCATCTAAAATGGAAAGTTTCTATATCCAAAGCAAGGAATTCATCAGTCAGCTAAAAAATTGAGGGCGCATTTGCATTGGAAATGTGTAAATGAATTCAGCCTCCGAGCAACCCATATACAAGATTATATGGGCCACTCTGCTACAAAACAGGGTAGCTTTGAACACCAGTTGTACATAACAGAGCTGGCCTTCAAGGAAAATACATGAAAGATGCTAAACAGCTTGTGCATGCTTTACACTGTTACAATAAGAAATCAGGGCTTCTGTCAAACTTCTATCATAGGCAGGGGTTGAAAATAGTCTTCTGACTCCCTTCTCTCAAGTGTTGCATTAAGGCCAGCATAAAACAGGGCCAGAGGAGTGTGACTAGGATGATCAAGGGTCTGGAAACCAAGCCTTATGAGGAGCGCTTGAAGGAGCTGGGTATGTTCAGCCTGGGAAAGAGGAGTCTGAGAGGAGATGTGATAGCCGTCTTCAAATATCTTAAGGGCTGGAAGATGGAGTAAGCTTGTTTTCTCCCTCTTTGGAGAGCAGGACTCGAACCAATGGATTCAAGTTACAAGAAATGAGATTCTGACTGAACATCAGGAAAAATATGCTGACGGTAAGAGCTGTTTGACATTGCAATGGACTCCCTTGGAAGGTGATGGACTCTCCTTCTTGGAGGTTTTTAAGCAGAGGTTGGATGGCCATCTGTCATGGATGCTTTAGCTGACCTTATATCTGAAATGGTTACCTGGTGTGTTTTCTTATGCTAGAACATATGAACACGGGGAGGTCTCTAACTCACCTCTTGAAATAGTTGGCTGAAGTTCTTACCAGCCAGTAGTTCTAAACCAGAAGAAAGGTTCCAACAAATGACATGTGTTTGTTTCCCAGGGCACAGCTGCAAAATGGGAAGGTCTCCAGTTTTCCATCTAAAGGGGTGAGAAGGAGCCCTTGCAGACTGCTATTCTAGTTATAAAGATACCCCAATTCTCATTCACTCAATTTTTTTTGCATTGTTGCACCCATACACAGAGGATGTGTGCCCCAGGAGAAGAAGGTGCAAGGAGTGATTGTCTGTGTCCTTCTTCCTGGAAAGCAGATGTGAACACACAAGCTAGGTGGTCAAATCTGTTCAGCCACTAAAATTTGTTTTCTTTCCCAGTCAAATAAGTTTCTCAGTTAACTGAGTGAGAAAAAGCAAGGTGAAAGTGAGATAAAATAGAATTAAATTGTGAAATATATGAAATACGATTGAGCTCTGTTAAAAAGAAAAACCCTCACAGAAATACAAGAATAAAAGTCCACCAACCCCAATTTAAGTGAAATGCTTTCCTAGGGGGAATTGCATCTACCGCAGGCACCAATTTAGAGATTTCCCTCTCTATTAAAGAGCCTGACAGCCAATTATCTACCAAACAACAATCATTTAGCCAAACAGGGATCATGGATGAAATCATGTGCTGTATTGCTTAGACCCAGCTAAAGGCACACACTCCCTTTATTTTCGTCCGTCAAACATCATTTCGTACACATACCCCAATACACATGTGTTTCAGGGTTACATATATTTCATTTGAAATAAATAGACATTTTTTCTGCTCCTTTACATTTGAATTGCAGAATTCCACCCCCCAGGGCCTTGAACAGCATAGAGATTTAAAAATAAAACAAAAACCGAGTCCCCTACTGAGCTGCTGATTTCCACCCTCCTTGTTCACCACAGATGTTTCACTTTCAAATCTGTCGCACTGTGGCTCTAGTAATTTCAACGGACTGCTTCAGCACTGCCTTGCAATTTAATGTAATGTGAATTCTTCTTCTGAGACTGGTGATAAGAGAGATGTGGGGATAGAGGAGAGGGCACCAGGAATACCCAAGACATATGGTAGTGTTACCATCAAACCAAGGGAAAGAAGCACTGCCCTAAATCAGCATATTGAAGTAAGAACTGCCTGGAGCATGTACAAGATTCAGCATTTGAATGAAGACAAAAGGCGACAGGGCATTGCGCTTGGTCCAAAAGCAATGCTGTGTGTGAACGAATTCATACTGAAATATCCCAACGTGCCTTCTCACATTTCACTGTGCTTTCTCAGCTCAATTCTGAGAAAGAGGTCCATCAAAGTGAAATAAAAAGAGTTAGTTGTTCCATATGTCAAAGCAGTAAGTATTACAGATGCTTAATAATAATAATAATAATAATAATAATAATAATAATAATAATAAATGTTTATTTATACCCCGCCCTTCCCGGTTCAAAAACCAGGCTCAGGGCAGCTAACAGCAAATTTAAAACATTGATTAAAATGCGACTTAAAAACAGCATAAAATACAACATAAATGCAGCATCAATGTCAATAAAATTCAAAAATTCAGGGATCATTGGGGCGAGGGAGGCGGGAACCGCAGTCAGTAAATATCAAATGATCACCAGGGCTAACTGGTCAAGTCCTACTAGAGCCAGCAAGGAGACCAGGGAAGAGTTTAAATGAGGGGTCCCAGAAGGGTTTTTTCATAGAAAAGGAAAGGGAAAAGGGAATAGAGAATAGAGGATCAGGCTAATTCAAACTGAAGGCCAGGCAGAATAGCTCTGTCTTTCTTACAATACCCCTTCTAAAATGGTATTTCATGACCCATGGGATTATTTTTGAGGACTGTGCACCAGATTCGGGCCTATTTGGCGGGATAGGGGCCTCGTTTGAGTCAAGTTGAGACAGGCTCAGATTGCTACAGGCCAGGTTGAGTGGCCCAAAGCCATCTGGGGCCAGGGCAGCAAGTCCCATTTTGCCGACTGAAGTGAAACGGGAAGGTGCTGCCCTGCACATACACTGCATGTCGCCCACCTCCCTTGCTTCCGTCGTCGAAGCTGTGCTTACTGGCGTTGCACAGCTGCAGTTCTGGCGAGATCTCACAAGAGCCCTGACAGGTCGTTTGGAGACCTCTGCACAATCTCGCCAGAACCTGGAAGCCACAGCTGCCTCTTCTCTTTGCTTCTCTGGAGGCATCGGCAGGGGGAGAGCATCCCCCCGGAGGTGCCCCTTGGACTCTGTCACCTGGGGCAGCAGCCTCAGTCTGCCTCATGGATGAGCCAGCCCTGCCTCTATTTCTCGTTATTCTAGTCTTAAATTCAGTTCCGGTATGGGAAATCCAACCAGAAGACCAATTGTATATTGGGGAAGTAGTGATTCTAATATGGCTACCCTTCCTGCCTCTGTTCCTCCCCCCTCCTTGGCAGCTGTTAAGTTTTTGAAAATAACATAGTGAAATTGACTTGCGAGGTGGTGTGTTGTTCGATAAGCACACAGAGTGCAATGAGACTGAGTGTTTTTGGGGAGGCTCATTTAATTTCATTGTACACAGGTTGTACAGTGACAATAAAGGTATTATTATTATTATTATTATTATTATTAAAGGTGTGAAAACCTCCTCTGATGTCCTAATCCAGGCATGGCCAAACTCGACCCTCCAGCTGTTATGGGACTACAACTCCCATCATCCCTAGCTAACAGGACCAGTGGTCAGGGATGATGGGAATTGTAGTCCCAAAACAGCTGGAGGGCCACGTTTGACCATGCCTGCCCTAATCAGTTGGGAGGAGGTGAAGCCCCCCCCCACAGCTGCCTTAATCAGTCTGGGAGGTTAGTGCTGGGAACCTTCTTTAATGTTGGAAATTGTTATTGGAAAGTGAGGCATTGGGAGGAGGTGGCTATCTATAAAATCAGATGGTTTGGGCAGAGTGATTTAGAAGCTTGTGCATGGACTGATTGGCCACAGGGCTGTGCAATCTAAGGCTACCTGGGGGAATCACTTGGCTACTGCTTGAGGGCTTTCAAGTGGCAGATAGAAGTGCATACCTGGTATGTATATATTACTTGCTGTTTAGGAATAAATTCTTCTCAGCCACTTGTGTTTTGCATTGCTTATGAATTATTATTTTTTAAAGAACCACCTTGCATTTGGCAAGACAGTTCCCCACATTTCCATATCTATTTGCAATTTCATTTTTTTAGGCCGTCCTGAAAAACTTTTTGTATTTTAGTAAAAATTACTCCTATCTACACATTTGTGCACACGTTCCACTAATATAATTCATTTTTGTAGGTTATTTTAACTAAGGTTGTGTGCACTTCAGCCCATATGTGCATTTTTGTACATATTGTTGTCTGGAGAATTGCACTGCAAAATTTGAAGACACACACATTTCAAAGGATGGTTGAGTGTTGGTCTGCATATTGTTTCAGAAAGTGTGAATCAGGTAAATTTGCCTTTAAGTGCAAACTGAATCACATTTCTCCCCTCTCTCTACTAATAGCTCCAATGTTGCAAAGGTTAATGCAACTGTTGCAACAGTTCATTTGTGAGCTATCAGCTCAGGTTCTTCAAAGCTCATTAGTGTGCAAGAGTAGAGTTTATGAGTACAGAATAAATTGCTCAGGTCCTCTGCAAGGTAAGTAACATTGTGCATTGAAACGCTGTGTGTTGTGAAATGTGCTCTCTTCAAGAACTGAGATCCCACAGATAGCAGCAGATGTCCTCATATGATTTTATGAATAAAAGGTACAATCTGATGCAATCATGTCATTAATACACACGCAGGCACCAGATGAAAACACAGCAGAGCAGATGGTTTTGAGATCTTAGATGGGTGTTTTCAGTTCAGCAGCTAATTATTTAGCTGTTGTGGATTAAACCAAACACTGTCTGCAAAGCTGCTAGCATTAGTCTTTGAAAGAAAGTTCATCAAAACACTTCACGTCTTGCACTTGAAAGTGCTATTTTAAAGCATCCAAGTGCAATTACACAGCATAAGAAAAGAAATGCACGGGTTATATTTGGAAAGGGTTTGTACCTTTTCACAAAGTGCTAAATAACCGCAAACAAAAGCCTCAGAGGGGGTAAAGTTGAAATAAAGAATATTGGGTCCAGTAGAAGTTTAGAACAAAGAAATACAGTGGTATATCGGGTTAAGTACTTAATTCGTTCCGGAGGTCCGTTCTTAACCTGAAGCACCACTTTAGCTAATGAGGCCTCCTGCTGCCACCGCGCCGCCAGAGCACAATTTCTGTTCTCATCCTGAAGCAAAGTTCTTAACCTGAAGCACTTTTTCTGGGTTAGCAGAGTCTGTAACATGAAGCGTATGTAACATGAAGCGTATGTAACCTGAGGTACCACTGCAACATCCTATGACTTTTACAAACTGCAGCTGTTAGGCATTTGGGAGGTTAAAGCCATTTGTTCTGATCTAGAGCCCCATGCACACTGCATGTGCTTGCACACACAGAGCTTCTGCACATATAGAACTTCCCTGTGCATGTATGGGGTTTCCTCTCCCCTTTGATGTGAATACGGGAGACTGAAGGATCTAGTTCCCTTTATTACAGCCTTGATGGTAGGGTACGCTAACAAACTTTTAAGGTACACAGAAGGATCCTGTCATGTCCAGACCCTAGTACTCACTCTTTGACACTCCTGTGATTTCAAAAGCTGTAATACTTGAAATCATTACACAAAATCAGAATACTCTGGGAAAGATCCCGTGCTGCCATTTGAGGTTTTGCATGTGTGCAAGAGAGAGATTCTGATTTTCTCATTTTCTACAAAGC